ACATGAGCTTTTGCTATCTACTGCTAAATTTATTTGGTTATCGTTAAATGCCCATAACTATCTCGTATCTGAAGTTTTCCCACTGCCTACTATATGCAGTCTATGATTAACTGTTGGGATCAACTATACATGCTTTTTATCCTTCAAGCTGATTACAGATTTCGTTTTTCATATTCTCTGTGAGAATTTGTAGTTTAAGTTTGCATCTGATTATTTGATATCATTGCACTGAAAGTTCCTTTTTATTTGTTTAATATTCGTAATGACGAGCTCTGTGTAATGGTTTGAACGTTAGTTTTTTTTTAAGTATCACTGCCCATAAATATTGTTCCTAGTACCAGTAGCTTTCTCACTGTGTATCACATGCAATCTACGGTGAACTGTTGAATCCTTGTGCGTGCCTTGTTTCTTTCAAGCTGATAACATATTTAGTATTACCTATATCTTTTTGAGTCTGCATATGCTTATGTATCAAAAACTGTGTCTAATAGTTGCTTGAATTTTGTATTTTCAGATTCATTCGGCTGCTACTATCTTGGACAAAAACAACTTGGTTAAGTATGACAGGAAAAGTGGATACTTCCAAGTTACTGATTTGGGACGCATTGCTAGCTACTACTACATAACCCATGGGACCATAGCTACATACAATGAACATTTGAAGCCAACAATGGGTGATATAGATCTTTATCGTCTGTTCTCATTGAGTGAGGAGTTCAAGTACGTGACTGTTCGGCAAGATGAGAAGATGGAACTGGCAAAACTTTTGGATCGTGTCCCGATTCCGATCAAGGAAACTCTGGAGGAGCCGAGTGCAAAGATTAATGTTTTGCTGCAGGCATATATTTCACAGCTAAAGCTTGAGGGTCTTTCATTGACATCTGACATGGTGTATATTACTCAGGTTTGTTCTTTGTTCTCTATGCTTTTTTCTCTCATCTCTCATCTTTCGTAGTTACATTGATTAATTTCTGTAATTGTTTTCTGGTGCTAACGTTTATTTCTTTCTATCATGTTTAGAGTGCTGGACGTCTTGTACGAGCTCTTTATGAAATTGTATTGAAGCGGGGTTGGGCTCAACTGGCTGAGAAAGCTCTTAACTTATCTAAAATGGTTGGGAAGAGGATGTGGAGTGTCCAGACACCCCTTCGTCAGTTTCATGGAATTTCCAATGAGACCCTGATGACTTTGGAGAAGAAGGATTTGGTGTGGGAGAGGTACTATGATCTATCCTCACAGGAGTTAGGAGAGCTTATTCGTAGTCCTAAGATGGGCAGACCGCTTCACAAGTTCATCCACCAGTTCCCAAGGTTGAGTCTTGCAGCACAAGTTCAACCTATTACTCGAACTGTTCTGCTGGTGGAGCTCACAATTACACCTGATTTCCAGTGGGACGAAAAAGTTCATAAATATGTTGAGCCATTTTGGATAATTGTGGAAGACAATGATGGTGAGAAGATCCTTCATCACGAGTATTTTCGATTGAAGATGCAGTATATTGCTGAGGACCACACTGTAAGCTTCACTGTGCCAATCTTTGAACCGTTGCCACCTCAGTATTTTGTCCGAGTGGTTTCAGACAAGTGGCTTGGCTCGCAGACTGTGTTGCCTATATCTTTCCGACATCTCATTCTTCCAGAAAAGTACCCACCACCTACAGAGCTACTGGACTTGCAGCCCCTCCCGGTGACAGCGCTAAGGAATCCAAATTATGAGAGACTCTATCAGGATTTCAAGCATTTCAATCCGGTACAGACTCAGGTCTTTACTGTTTTGTATAACACGAACGACAATGTGTTGGTTGCTGCTCCAACGGGAAGTGGGAAGACTATATGTGCGGAGTTTGCTATACTGAAGAATCATCAAGAAGGACCGGATGCTACAATGCGTGTTGTCTACATTGCACCGCTTGAGGCTATTGCTAAGGAGCAGTTTCGTATCTGGGAGAGGAAGTTTGGGAAGGGTCTTGGTTTACGGGTTGTTGAGCTAACCGGGGAGACAGCGTTGGATCTTAAGCTGCTTGAGAAAGGGCAGATAATCATAAGTACTCCTGAGAAATGGGATGCTCTTTCCCGCAGGTGGAAGCAGAGAAAATACATTCAACAGGTTAGTCTTTTCATCGTCGACGAACTCCATCTAATTGGAGGTACAGGTGGTCCCGTATTGGAGGTGATCGTCTCTAGGATGAGATCTATTTCAAGTCAGGGCGATAATAAGATCAGGATTGTTGCACTTTCCACTTCTCTGGCTAATGCGAAAGATCTTGGGGAGTGGATTGGGGCCAGTTCACACGGCCTTTTCAACTTCCCTCCTGGAGTCCGTCCTGTTCCACTAGAGATCCACATTCAAGGAGTGGATATACCCAGTTTTGAAGCCAGGATGCAGGCGATGACCAAGCCAACCTACACCGCCATAGTCCAGCATGCCAAGAACAAGAAGCCGGCTATAGTTTTTGTCCCGACCCGTAAACATGTCCGCTTGACTGCTGTGGATCTGATGGCTTACTCGCAAATCGACAACTTGCAGAGCCCTGATTTCCTCTTGGGGAACGTGGAAGAACTGAAGCCTTTTATTGACCAAATCAAAGAGGAAACACTAAAGGAGACATTGTCCCAGGGTGTTGGGTACTTGCACGAGGGTTTAAGCAGTCTGGATCAAGAGATCGTGACGCAGCTCTTTGAAGCTGGGCGGATTCAGGTGTGTGTGATGAGCAGTTCATTGTGTTGGGGCACTCCATTAACTGCGCATTTGGTGGTCGTAATGGGGACGCAGTATTATGATGGAAGGGAAAATTCACATTCAGATTATCCCGTCGCTGATCTGCTTCAGATGATGGGGCGTGCTAGCCGACCTCTACTTGACAATGCCGGGAAGTGTGTGATATTCTGTCACGCACCGCGTAAAGAGTATTACAAGAAGTTTCTGTATGAAGCATTCCCTGTGGAAAGCAATCTCCACCATTTCTTGCATGATAACTTTAACGCAGAAGTGGTTGCTGGTGTTATAGAGAACAAGCAAGATGCAGTGGATTATCTGACATGGACTTTCATGTACAGGAGGCTTCCCCAAAACCCTAACTACTACAATCTCCAAGGAGTTAGCCACAGGCATTTGTCTGATCACCTATCAGAGCTGGTTGAGAATACCTTGTCTGATCTTGAAGCCAGTAAGTGCATAGAGATAGAGGATGAGATGGAGCTCTCGTCTCTTAACCTCGGTATGATTGCTTCCTATTATTACATCAGCTACACCACCATCGAGCGTTTCAGTTCTCTGTTGTCATCTAAAACCAAGATGAAGGGACTTCTGGAGATCCTGACATCAGCTTCAGAGTATGACAAGATCCCTATACGGCCTGGTGAAGAGGACAAGGTTCGGAGGCTCATCAATCACCAGAGGTTCTCTTTCGAAAACCCAAGATGCACGGATCCTCATGTGAAGGCAAACGCACTTCTGCAGGCGCATTTCTCGAGGCAAGGCGTAGTCGGCGGGAACTTGGCAATGGATCAGCGTGAGGTCCTTCTATCTGCAACCAGACTTCTTCAAGCGATGGTGGATGTGATATCGAGCAACGGATGGCTGAATCTTGCTCTGCTGGCTATGGAAGCAAGCCAGATGGTGACCCAAGGCATGTGGGAGCGGGACTCGATGCTTCTGCAGCTCCCTCACTTCACAAAGGAGTTAGCCAAAAGATGCCAAGAGAAGAGCATTGGAAACGTGTTTGAACTTGTGGAGATGGAGGACGAAGAACGGCGAGAGCTTCTGGGCTTGTCAGACGACAAGCTTCTAGACATTGCCAGATTCTGCAACCGCTACCCCAACATCGACCTCACTTACGAGGTTGTGGGCAGTGAAGAGGTGACCCCGGGAAAAGAGGTGACATTGCAAGTGACGCTCGAGAGAGACATGGAGGGGAGGACAGAAGTGGGACCCGTGGATGCAGCCAGGTACCCCAAGACCAAAGAAGAAGGGTGGTGGCTGGTTGTGGGAGACACCAAGACGAACCAGTTGCTGGCAATCAAGCGCGTCTCCTCGCTGCAACGGAAAGCGAAGGTGAAGTTGGATTTCGCTGTGCCGAGTGAACCAGGAGAGAAACGGTACACACTAATCTTCATGTGCGACTCTTACTTGGGTTGTGACCAGGAGTATGAATTCTCTGTTGATGTCAAAGAATCTGGCGCTGGAGATCACATGGAAGAGTGATGTTGTGTGTTTCAGGTTAATTTTCGAACTTTCCTTGGATTTCTGTTTTGTTTTTGTTTCAATTCAAGAAGTCAGAAAATGACAAATGTTTTCAATTCTTTGCAGGCGTGCTCGATTCGGAAGAGTTGTCCATTCTCCGTACCAGCTTTCCGAGAGTAGTAGATCAGTAAAGTTGTAATCGTTGTTCTAGTCTTTTTATTATCCCTTTGTTTGACCTCTTAAGGGAATAATATGATCAGTCTAGTGCTCAAAAAACTATTTACGAGTACTCATTTTATGTCATGCATCAACTTTTAGACCTATGTTTGGCTTTGTTATGACAGAGAAAGAGATATTTCAAAAGCTTACTTGAATTTTATAGCTCTGAAAGCTGACATTGCTCAAACGTATTTAAAATACTCTGCTGTGAAGCAAAACCAGAGAGAGGACTGTACATTTGTAAAATTTTGAGTTTGAACAAAGACTTGTGTATAATTCACCTAGAGCATCCCAAACCAAAAGTGGCTTTTTGTAACTGAAGCGGTTCCTTTCATTATTAAACTTGCATTATAACTAAAACTTGCTCTGATACAAGCATTGATACAATCTATAAGTCAACTCTGTTTCTCTCCCTCTCAATATTCAACGGGCCTGTCTTTCAATTTTTGGGTTAATCGCCACCATGGTAGCCATTTCTGTGGATATATAACTCAGAGAGCTTTTATCGAGTCTGCACCTTTGGATTTTAAAAATAACGATGAAAACTTTAAATTTTGTTGTAATTTGAGATTGTGTTGATTCTAAAAGACTAGGACCAAGAAATAGTAGAAGTGTTTGGTTGGTGGTATATTCTCCGTCTCTTCCCACCTCACTATATATTTTGAAGTAAAAGGGAAACAAAACAAACAAGTCAGTCACTCAAAGTCTCTCTCTCCCACATTCACCAAACTCTTTGCACATAATACCTAACGCCATGGATTCAGATTTCGGAATTCCCAGAGAACTCTCTCCTCTTCAGCAACTCCGATCTCAGTACCAGCCCGAGCTCCCTCCTTGTCTCCAGGTTCTTCTTCTTCTTCTTCTACTCCCTTAATAGATCTACTGCTTCTTTCTTTCCACTGTTTCTACTTGTTCCAATCATTGGATCTATTTCAAGACTTCGTTTTCCTGCTTGATAATATCCATCATCGAGTTTTGCAATTACGACCGGAGTTTCTGTTGTTTGTTGTTTGCTGCGATTTCTTAATTCGAGGAACTTGCAATGTTGGTGCTGCTATAGCAGATCTGTTTTTCATACTGTAAATCATCTCCGATCTGCTTTATTCCGACTCGAACTTGCTCATTTTTCCTGTTCTGTTTGGTGTTCGTATCCAGGGAACTACTGTTCGCGTGGAGCTTGGTGATGGAACCACTGTGGCAGAAGCTACTGATTCGCATATCATGGCTCGCGCCTTCCCACACACCTTAGGCCAGCCTTTGGCTCACTTCCTCAGGGAAACTGCCAAAGTTTCTGATGCTCACATCATTACTGAGCTTCCATCAGTTAGGTACGGCATCCATTTTTTGCTTCTCCATTTCCTGGATTCTCTCTATGTTGTTTACTCTTAAGGGAGTTTGTATTATTCAGCTTTTACTCTTAAGGGAGTTTGTATTATTCAGCTTATGAGCTATCTGTTTTCCAACTCTAGAGTCGGAATCGTGTTTTGTGGAAGGCAAGCTCCGGGTGGACACAATGTCATATGGGGTCTTTACGAGGCTCTTAAGGTCCACAACGCAAACAGCACTTTGCTTGGCTTTTTGGGTAAGTTTCGTTTTTTCTCTCTGATACTCACTGCTGAGCAGATTCTGCTTCACTTTCTGTTTGAAAAAAATCTATTTTTTTTGGTAATACAAATCACCAAACTTTATACACTTTGGGATGAGTACTTAGTTTATTTCTGCTAAAAAACGTCTATAGGTGGTTCGGAAGGTCTCTTTGCGCAAAAGACTCTGGAGATCACAGATGATGTACTCCAGACTTACAAAAACCAAGGTAGGTTGTTTGATGCAAGGCATTGTCGTGATATATTCAGATTCTTGTTCATTTCCTCATTCTGATTATTTGGCGGTGAAATGTTATGTTTTGAGGTGGTTATGATTTGCTCGGAAGAACCAAAGATCAGATCAGAACCACTGAGCAGGTTAACGCTGCACTCAAAGCTTGCACAGATTTGAAGTTAGATGGCCTTGTTATCATTGGAGGTACCTTGCGTTTTTAATTTATATCATCATATGTGAAGTTTTGTCGTGATATTTTTTGGCTAATCCAAGGATTTATATTTGGGGTTTTGAAGGTGTAATATCAAACACTGATGCGGCTCACCTTGCTGAATTTTTCGCTGAAGCAAAATGCTCAACAAAGGTCCTAATTTGTTCTTTATAAGCATTTTCTTTTCCGATAGTTTTGTGCAGAATCGCGTTATGAAGCACACTGCTTATTCATTTTCACATCTCAACAGAAATACCTACTGATACTATAAGTTACCCATAAAATTTCAGGTAGTTGGTGTTCCAGTTACTACAAATGGAGATCTCAAGAATCAGTTTGTGGAGGCAAACGTTGGTTTTGATACCATATGCAAGGTACATCTGAACTTTAACCATCTGGCTACTTTTGTAGCTGTTGCAGCCAACATGATCCCTTTGTCCTTGTTAGTCTTTACAGAAACATATGTTATTTTTGGCTAATGATCTTTTGCTTCGTACAGGTGAACTCTCAGCTCATTAGCAATGCCTGTACTGATGCTCTGTCTGCAGAGAAGGTAAATGCTATTCCTTGGTCAACTTTCATGTTTTAAGAGATTGCTAGGGCGTTCATAACCATGTAACTGCAGTTTATTGACCTAATAGTCTCATTAATAAGATATATTTCGATGAAGGATGACAAATTGAACAGTGGGAAGTTGTGTTCTTTATGAATTTGATATCAAATTTTACTTTTGTTTTATTGGCAGTATTATTACTTCATCCGTCTGATGGGTCGGAAGCACTCTCATGTTGCCCTTGAGTGCACACTCCAGTCTCATCCAAACATGGTTGGTTTTTTTTTTTTTTACTTTCCAAAACAGAGACAAGTGATTCTGTTTGCGTGCTCGTATCTGTAGACTCTCATTTTTATATGATGCGTTTGTCTCAGGTTATTTTGGGCGAGGAGGTTGCAGCATCTAAGCTCACCATTTTTGACATTTCAAAACAGATCTGTGATGCTGTTCAAGCAAGAGCAGGACAAGGTCTAATAACGAAAACTATATACGAAAGATTATGCAATCATGTGTTTATACTGTTCACTAACTCTAGTGGAATACCATTTGTTTGCACCAGACAAGAACCATGGAGTCATCCTCATTCCTGAAGGGATCATAGAGAGTATTCCTGAAGTCTACGCTCTGTTAAAGGTAATGATTTGAAACTTGTAGACATCATATGTATATATCATTTAAAGCCTACTCTTCTTCTTTCTTAAATACCGAGATGTATTTTTTAGTATATATCATGTCTAAGCAGATACTTTTGTGATGCAGGAAATTCACGGGCATCTTAGGCAGGGTGTAGCTGCTGATAAGATCTCTACTCAGCTCTCACCTTGGTCATCTGCTTTGTTTGAATTTCTTCCTCCGTTCATTAAGAAACAGGTTTGATTTCTCTTTGGCATGAGGCTCCTCGTTGTGTAACTCCAAAGAAAATGAGTATGAATGCTTATAAGGCAGTGATTTTGTTGATGCAGCTACTTCTCCATCCCGAGTCTGATGATTCTGCTCAGCTATCCCAGGTAAGAAGAAGATGTTGGAGCGACTGTGTTATAAAATAAAGTTGGATTCCTAAAAAGCTTGTTTTTCTTTCTTCTCTAGATTGAGACGGAGAAACTTCTTGCGTATCTTGTGGAGACCGAGATGAACAAGCGCTTGGTATGCTCCTCTTGTTTCTCACTGATTTCAAATACTATTATACGAATATTCAAGGTGTAACATCTTGCCTATAAAAATTAAAACTTTGAACTTGACAGAAAGAAGGCACATACAAGGGGAAGAAATTCAATGCTATATGTCACTTCTTTGGATACCAAGCTCGTGGATCTCTTCCATCTAAATTCGATTGTGATTACGCCTACGTAAGTCACTTGCCACTCTCACCACAATACCAATCATCTGGATTAAATATTCACACTATTATATGGAATAAATCTGTCAGGTTCTTGGACATATATGTTACCACATCCTTGCAGCTGGTCTGAACGGTTACATGGCAACAGTAACCAACCTTAAAAGTCCTGTAAACAAGTGGAAATGTGGTGCTGCACCTATTACAGTTGAGTTTCGGTCTTCTTCCATTTTTCTGAAAGACGGTGTTGAAACAGTTTCTTTTTTTTTACTGATTCCTCTGGCTATATAACCTTTTTAGGCGATGATGACGGTGAAGCATTGGTCCCAAAATGCTAGTTCCACTTCAACTTCAATCGGTAGACCTGCAATTCATCCGGCTATGGTGGATCTGAAAGGCAAAGCATACGAGTAAGAAGCCTTGTTTTCCCCCACAAAAAGAACATATGAACACACTTGCTATATATAGTAACGTTTGCGTCAAGCATGTCTTAACTTGCTGGTGTTTTTTTGCAGCCTATTGAGACAGAACGCACAAAAGTTCTTGATGGAAGATCTGTACAGGAACCCAGGACCGCTTCAGTATGATGGTCCTGGCGCTGATGCTAAAGCAGTGAGCCTCTGTGTTGAAGATCAAGATTACATGGGACGTATCAAGAAGCTGCAGGAATATCTAGACCAGGTTAAAAACTTTATGTTGTGGGTTTCGTAGTTAGGGAATGAATATTCGTATTCTTTCATATCATAATTTTAACATTTTGAGAGGGGTTGATCAGGTGAGGACGATAGTGAAGCCAGGATGCTCTCAAGACGTATTGAAAGCAGCACTGAGTGTGATGGCTTCGGTGACTGATGTTCTTACGACTATCTCTTCATCTTCAACTGTTGGTGGTCAACAATTTGCTTAAATCGCCAGAGTCAACTCTCTCTTATAAAAGCTTTCATGATCTTTTGCATCCTTCCACATTTCGTGTTTCTTGTTCTCCTTTTTTGTTTGTTTGTTCTTTTGCTATGTAACTTTTGTTGTTGTTTTTAAAAGTTGTTGAATTCGAAAAGAGAGAACAAAGTTTTGGGATTATAGAGTTTCATTTGTATTTTCGACTTAAGTCTTTTTGTTCTTTTTTATCTCAAGAGACTGAAATAATTCTCATATTGTACAAGAATCTTAAATTTGACCTGTCTTTTCCAAAAATATAGCTTGGTTAACTAGTACTTGAAAGTTTGTAAAGTTTTCACGATTTCATTCTTTAATGGGATAAATTTTGATTGGTTATCCAAATCATATACAATTCTAGATAATTACGGTTTATATATATCAAAAGCCATTCTGCGATTATAAAATGTGTGTCAGAAATCTGTGAAAAATATAAATTTATAAAATTCGACTAAAAAATAGCGCTTAAAGAGAAAAGAAAATTTAAAAAAACCCTAGTTGTAACGCTCCGGTTTGAATTTTGAAAAACAAGAACCGTTGTGAAATGAGTCTGAAAGAGGGAATATACCCTTCACAATCTCTATATATAACAGATCTACATTTCTCTATCCGCCTCTTCTCTCTTCTTCCTCCCATTAGCAATTGTGAAGAAGAAAAGAAGACTTGATCTTTAGAGAGAGAGAGAGAAATAAAAAAAGATAAGCGATATGGACAATGGAATTAAAACTGCTGTGTCCGCCATGGAAGCCTTCGAGAAGCTTGAGAAAGTAGGTGAAGGTACTTACGGGAAGGTTTATAGGGCAAGAGAGAAGGCTACTGGGTTGATCGTCGCTTTGAAGAAGACGCGTCTCCATGAGGACGAAGAAGGCGTTCCTCCCACCACTCTTCGCGAGATCTCCATCTTGCGCATGCTCGCTCGCGATCCCCACATCGTTAGGTCTAATTTCTGATTGGGTTTTTAGCCTCTTTATCGAATTACCCGGTTCCTTGATCTTGCTTGTTGACTTTAGGGCTCCGATTATCATTTCTTCTTCCTGCAAATTCTCGCTTTTCTCTTTCTGGGATTTAGTCCTCTTTCTGGAATTTCCCGATTGATTGATCTCTCATATTGATTTTGAGGTCTCCGAATCTTGCTGAAATTCTCGTGTTGTGTCACTCTTAGATGGTAGATCTTAGTTTCATCTTTTTTGGATTCTTCAGTTGTTGAAACCCTTAGGGCTCCGTATATGATCCAAATACCAGAAAATGTCAAAATGGTGGAATCTCTGTAATTGCATTTCTTCTAAAGATCATCTTTTTATTCTGCAGGTTGATGGATGTTAAGCAAGGATTGAACAAAGAAGGCAAAACTGTACTCTACCTGGTTTTCGAGTACGTTGACACTGATCTCAAGAAATTCATCAGAAGCTTTAAGCAAGTTGGACAGAACATTCCACAGAATACTGTCAAGGTTTGAACATGTGGAGCTTCTTTGTCCTCTTTAACTCTCACTCAATGAGCCTCGTTTAAGCTAAAAAAAAACATATTTTTTGCTTTGAAATCTTGGTTGCAGTGCTTGATGTACCAACTATGCAAAGGCATGGCCTTTTGCCATGGCCATGGAGTGTTGCACAGGTGAAAAAATCTTCTCTTTTTTTTCAAGACAACAATCAATTCGTTGAGAAAACCCACTCGGAGACGGATCACTAATCTTTCTTCTCTTTGTTTGATTACAGGGATCTTAAACCTCACAATCTCTTGATGGACCGGAGTACAATGACGCTCAAAATAGCAGATCTTGGATTAGCCAGAGCCTTCACCCTCCCAATGAAAAAGTATACACATGAGGTACAAAGTCTATGTAGAGTCAACTTCTGTATCATCATAACTTAGTTTTGTTCTGGAGTTTAACTCAATAATAATTTTTTCTGCATTGCAACAGATACTAACTCTATGGTATAGAGCTCCGGAAGTCCTTCTTGGAGCAACCCATTACTCAACTGCAGTGGATATGTGGTCCGTTGGCTGCATTTTTGGTACAAACTCTTTCTCTTTGGGCTTCATTGGTTTCACTTGAATGTAACTATAGCAGAGAACCTAACTGTTTTGTTTTCCTTTGGGGGTTTGTAGCGGAACTAGTGAACAAGCAAGCAATCTTTGCTGGAGACTCTGAGCTCCAACAGCTCCTCCGTATCTTCAGGTACGTCTTTGTGTTCTTCTTCATAATTCTCACTTCTCAGACGCATAAACATGACATTTCACTTACTGGCTTGCTCTGTTTCTTCCATTTTTGTGAAATTCAGGTTGCTGGGAACACCGAACGAGCAAGTGTGGCCTGGAGTGAGCACACTCAAGGACTGGCATGAATACCCACAATGGAAACCGATGAGCCTCTCAACAGCTGTTCCAAACCTCGAGGAGGCCGGACTTGATCTCTTATCAGTAAGTCTCCCCAAATGTTTCCAACACATCTTACTTGACTAGTTGCGAATTCACTCAGCTGAAAGTAATTTGCGTTTTATCTTTCTTTCTAAACAGAAAATGCTCGAGTACGAGCCTGCGAAACGAATCTCAGCAAAGAAGGCTATGGAGCATCCTTACTTCGATGATCTACCTGACAAGTCCTCTCTCTGAGGCCTCTCTTTATGAAAACTCTCATTAGTATACTTTGTTTCAACTCTGTATTTGCTTGTCTCAAGCATTTATCTGCTATCTTAGGATGATTGAGTTTTAAATTTCCCTTTCGATTGGATCTCTCTATTCCCAGTTGTATAACATTGAAAGAATATATCAATTTCTGTAATAGTCCAAAGTAGAAAGATTTTCAAATGTTAGTTGTTTGTTTGTGCATGTGTGTGTGTGTGTGTGTGTGTTCAGGCTACAAGCCACATGAAAAATGTAGGCCAAACGGTGAGAGAAACCGAAGCCAAAGCATAACTCCAGAACAGAATCACAGAGCATTCGCTTTCTCCTGATCCGAATAGTTGTGTGATTGTACCTGCCAAAAACAAAGGACAGTCAATGAGAAAGACGGTGTGATGTGTTGTTTTGTAGTAGTTTTTTCTTGAGTCTGAAGAGCGAACCAAGATTCATTGCCGGTGGAACAACAAACTGAAGCAGAAGAACAAATCGGTAGAGCGGCTCGGATGAAACCAAACCCAAGTGATGCGCTCCCTGTACTATTAAAACACCTGATATTGGCAGCAACACGTACCGCGCAACCACCACTCCCACTATCACTGACTTTTGTATTCCTGAACTCCTCAGGCCTGTGATTATTGATTGAAAGAGAGAGCACATGATGTTCAAGGATTTATCTCTTGGAAAAATGTATTTACAGCTTTTGTTATTGTTTTGATTTTACCTCTGAGAAGGTTTCCTCCTATAATAAGAGTCAGAAGAGGAATCGCTCCTTCCCTTCAAGAAGTGGGATCAAGCTACTCAACTAAGCATTTAGATAATCATTTGACAATAATGAATCAATTATATTAAATGTTGTTGAGTACCCCAATAAAGAGACTGAGTCCTCAATCACTCGGAGTGGAGCTGTGTTGCCGACTAGTAGCTTCCTTAGTGTAGGAATGAGCCCAATAGCAAGAGCGATAAGCTGAAAGAGGACAAACATGCTTATTATCACTATGAAGATACATAAGAAGCTTAGTATCACTTTCTTTTGGTTCAAGGGAGCATTGAAACAAACCGCTGCAATGGTCGAAGGAGCAAAGATTGTTCTTAGATTGATTTTCTGTGCTACAGAACATACTCTTTGCTTGATCTTTCTCCAAGTTCCAAACTGTCACATACAACAATCTCCCCAAAAACTATAAGTTAAAGAGCATATATAATGCTTGTGAGAATATCTCAAAAGAAAGAGCTGTAACTAGAGTGAGACCTGCTCCTCAACTTCAACGTCTTTGGAAGGAATCAGTGGCACTGTAGAGGAGATACCAAGTATTGGTGTTTCACTGCCTGTATTTGCTAGCATTCTCATAAGATTGTACACATAAGTCCATATGTAGATTGCTCCAATCTAATATACATCACAAAAACGTTTTTGACTTCCAATAGCACAAGAAGACGAAGAAGAAGAAGAAGAAGAAGAAGAAGCAATTAAGAAAATGGTGGACATACCGCCATAGAGAGTGCAATATAACCTAATCCATATTTCTCACAAGTCTCAGGATCTCCAAAAGGACTTCCCTTCTCATTGCATATAGCTGGGATAATGATGAGTGGCATATTTCCCAAATTCCCTTTTGGTTTCCACATTTTGTTTTCATTTGTTAGTAAGCAAACAAAAGATTCTTAAACAAAAAACAATCTGTGAATTGAAAAATATGAAGTCATACCAGCAGCACAGCAACCAACTATGATGCCACGGAGATGCGAAGGAGGTTTAGTGATTTTGATAACAATCCAACCCAGAAACGAGCCAATGATGAATGTGAGCAGAACATTCAGTGGCATGAACCACCTGAAAAATTACTCACAAAAAAAATTAAAATATCATCTTCAATCAAAATTTATCAATCAGGAACTCACATTTTCACCATGCTTTCATAAGTAATAGTCTCAGATAGACTGCTTGCTACGAGTGAAGGGCTAAACACGTAGAAAACTATCTGTAAACAAAAAAAAAAGCAAAGCAAGTTACGTAAGAATCTCTTAGAATCAATAGTAAGCTTGATGGTGATGATTGTGAGGAAAATTAAAACTGACGTTGTTGAGCTGTTTTCTAGCATCTTGATTCAGAATGTTGACACGATCAAGAGCCAAGTAAAATCCGATTGCTGTTATCACCAGAATCTTAGCAACTGGTATCGACGAGGTTATGAACAGATCCAAAAGCTTCATCGTCGTCTCTCGTCACGTACAATCTGATAGCAATCCTAACAAATATAGCTTCTATTTATCATCATTATTTTACACTCGAATCGAAATATATATGGAGTTTGTGATTAGATTGGTTTATCAACCATCTCCATCGACGTCGGGCTTCGGAGATAAATCAAATTACGAACAATGTCGAAAAAAATCACGAAACAGAGGAAATCTCCAGGAAATCGGTAGATTTTTCAATTTAGAGAGCAATCATCGATTCGTGAGGGCTTACCGTATTGGAAACGCGAGAGGAATAGAGATCGATTGTCTTCTTCTATGGATTTGTCGAGCTAAGAAACAGAGTTACGAGACGTAAAATGAAGAAGACGTGAAGATGATGAGGGAAACTTGGGGAGTGGCTTTCGCTCTCTTGAAACCCAATTTGGCCTACGCTTTGCTTTGCATGCGCTCTCGTTTCTTACTTTTAGTAGTTAGTATGAATAACTACCAAACAAAACAAATTAACATTATATCCTCGTGACAATGAATTATGATGTATCTCTGTATTTTTTGAATCAATCTCAATTTCACTTTATATTTGTTCCTTTATAAAACGTGTTTTTATCTTCTTTACTTCTTCTTTACACTTGGAGAGTTGGGTGTATAGTCGGTTAAGAAAACTGATAAATTTTATATAACAAAAATTGGTAGCATATAATAAATGATAAATGATTTGATGATGTCATCATTTTCTTATAAACAAACAATAGAAAAATCAAAAATGTAATTGTCTAAATATCTCATGATTGATATATTTTGCTCGTCTTAATTAATTTGAGATACTTTTGGTGAAGTTTCAAACAGCAAACGGATGCATAAAGATAAACAAAAATTTATAAAGGAAGACATTTTGCCAAACTAAATTTACAACAAATTAAGACATTTTGATGAACTAAGGCATATTAGGTGTATAAAAAGACATTTTTACCCTTAAGTGATAATAATTATCGTTGACGAGTGTGTGTGGATGACAACAACTGCTGTGGACGAATGTGCATGGATATTATAGATGGATGAGAATACACAAATATTATGGTTGAATATTAATGCATGGATAAATGTGAATGTGTGGATCGCCAACACTATTATACCATTACCGAAGATAAATGGATGAAAATAAATATATGTTATGGATGGATGAGAATATATAGATGTTATGGATAGATGTGAAAGCATTGTTGACACATATGAATGTGAATGCGTGAATGACACATATGGATGTGAATGCATTATCAAAGACAAAATTATCAAGATATGATGGAACAGTAACCCAAAATGCTTCAAAACCCTTAATACCTAAATTTGTAATGACTTTTTTCAAAGTGCCTTTTTTTTTAATGTGTCAAAGATAAACAGATTTTTTGGAACTCAGAGAGAACCCACTCAAAACACATACAAATTATTAGAAACGACAATTAAACTCTCAACGATATAAAGAAAGCTACGCAGCCCACAACTCAAGTGTCTTTGGTATCATGTTTTCACACAACTGATTATTTCAATGCATATAGACTCTAATCAAACCTTGACAGTACTTGAGCACCCGTGAGATGGAGATGATCAATGGTCGATAGGAGGAGATTTCTCGCTGAAGAACCGAGCAAGAACCTTACTTTCGAGAACCGCTAAAGCCTCTGTAGATTTTATGGATAAGGGGGTCTTGTACTGAGCCACGGAAGCACCACGAGAGACGAAAAATTCCATAAGCGCATCGAACGTTCCATTTTGCACCACTCTTATCTCTAGAGCTCCAATGGCTCCTTCCTTAGTCCTCTCTTTTCTATAGGAAGCGTTCAATGATTCCTCCACCACATGGCAACATTCCACCAATACCTTGTCATCGACTTTAGTACTGGTGTTGTCCAAGTTTTTGGCTTTGAGTTCCCAATAAAGAACGTAGTGACTTGGAGTAGAAGTAGTGGAGATATCGGCACAGCTGGTGAAGTCCATCAACATCAAATCCGAAGATTCTAGAACGAGTTTCGCATTAGTCACTGCTTTTAGAAGTTCTACTTCTGTTGTTCCCTCTGATTGGATGCTTAGAACCTCGTTCTTCCTACGTGCGAATCTAAACTGAGGCGCCTTGTTGTGAAATCCAGCCACTTGTAATATATCGTCCATTTTATATCTGTATAAACCTATATATAGCAAAATAAATACATACATTTAACAAGAAGACTTTTTTTTAGCAAAAATAAGATTATTATTCATCATTAACTCACCGGAATAAGTTGTGACCAATGGCACGTAGTAACACCCTAACTTCACGTCCGCAAGATCAACAATGTCGTTGTTGCTTTCTTTATCAACAGGTAAAAACTCAAAGAACGCGATATTGGGCATAAACGTGTAGGTCACATCTTGTGGCTTGCACAGAGGATTCACGTTAATCCCGAAAAATGTTTCGGACGACGCATAAGTTGGGGAAATGAGAGGTAGTTTATCGGAGTAGAACTCCAATGTTGGAACATATTGAGCCATCTGACCTGTGAAAACGCCTTCAATATATTTGGCATTAGGCCAAAGTTGTCGGATAATACCTTGCCATGACTTGTGGCTGCAAATTTGTTGTATAAGATCAGCTAATCCTGGATTAGGTCCTTTAAGTATCGTAGAGACTGACGCTCTGCAACTTAGGTCGGTGATCCAGTCGCTTACTTGACCTGATCGGATATTAGCGCACAACTCTCTCCAGTAAGTTTCAAGAGTAGTGATTGCTCGAACCACGATTGGAGAAAAAACAGCCCCGATTCTTACAACGTCATCTCTTTGGACAAGGCCACATAGAAGGTGACAGTACAAACTTTGCTTGTTGTCTGGACACCAAAAGACTTCATCGGGGCTTGTGTAGGAATTGTACCAGTACGTTGGCCGGTCTCTGACGTACTTGCTTTCGAAGAAACTCGAAGTTGCAAACGTGGCTGGAAAGCAAGAGGATTTTGTACTTGTGGACTCCTCTCTTAATAAAAGAAACATCATCCCTTTTCCATGCTCAACACCATCGACATGTCTACAATTATATATTTGATGATGGATGTTAAGTTAGTTAGGGAAGAAAAAAAAAACACACACACACACACATTTGTAATGTGACAACACTTGATTTAAAGAAAAAAAGGAAATACTTTGATATAATAAGCGAGCGTAGGTCATAGATGAATCTCATGTTCTCCAAGTACTTGTCGTTCAGAGGCAATATCTTTTGTTTCCCTCCTGAAGTTCCAGAGCTAAACCCACAAGTCCACACTAATTATTATGACAAAGATGCTTTGTAGTATTATATTTTTGAAGGGAAAGAAAAAAAAAAGAAGCTTATTGTATACCTTAAAAGGAATCCAGTAATGGGTAGAGCTGAAAGAACCTTGGAAGGCTCCCCTTTCGCGAGACGGTCTAAATAAGGCTGAACATCTTCGTAGGTCACAAATGGTACGCTCGTTTTGAAGAGCTCTTTATCAGAGCTTCCATGGAGGAAGCGGTGGAGGTACTCCGTGTCTTCGTTGAGTGTGAGTATCTCCTTGAGTACATCGTCTTGTATTTGCTTCACATTGGATGTCAAATCATCAAGAACCTTTAGATTCCCGTTCAATATGTCTTTGAGATCGAATCTTAGACTCATATTTGGTTGAAACAGATTGATTCAACAAAACTGAATAAATTGATATGTCGTAAAAGACGTGTATTTAAATGATTTAACAACCCCCTATGATTGATTATTTCAAGTGGGATTTGATTTGACTAGGTATGTATCGGCACTACGCAGCTGGATATTTTTTTAATATAATAAAGCTATTTCATAATGTAAATAAATATCATATTTATTTGTTATTATCTTAAGTTATGTATTTATATGTTTTAAATCTGAATATGCATTGTATATCTTTAATTTTATTATTTTTCAAAATTATAATATGCTATCAAATTTGTTTAATTAATTAACTATAAATGTATATGTAAGAATAAATTAATATATTTTTAAGTACATTTATGCTAATGACAAATATAATTTATTTTTCTACACTAAATTGCAGCTTGATTCTTCCTTAAAATTCAACTTTAAAAAAAAGTTTATTAAATGAAAAAAAATCGAAAATTGTATTTTCCCGTTAAACAAAAAAAAAATTTATTTTCCGAGAAATCGCAGATTCCTATCAAAACTAAGAAATTTCAATTTCTTGTCAAACCAAAAATCATGTTTTCCTACCAAAACCGAGAAATTACATTATCCTGCGAAAAAATTATGCTTCTTGCAAAAACCAAAAAAATCCCATTATCCGTCAAATACAGAAAATTTGCATTTCCCATCAAAACCGAGAAATCGTATTTTTTCGTCAAAATTGAAAAATTGTATTTTTTATCGAAACCGAGAAATCATATTTTCTAGTCAAAACCTATATATTTTATTTTCCCTTCAAATCAATTTTTTTTTTGTTTTTCCACCAAAACCGAAAATCACATTTTCCTACCAAACCCGAGATCTCACATTTTCCCATCATAACTGAGAATTTCTGTTTTTCCACCAAAACTGAAAATCATAGTTTTTCGCCAAAACTGAGAAAACCCAAATTCCCGCCAAAATCAAGAAATCTCATATTCTCGCCAAAACTGAGAAATTTTGTTTTCTCGTTGAACCGATAAATCATGTTTTTCTGACAAACTAAGAAATTATAATTTTCTGCCAAAATCGTAAAATTGCATTTTTCCGCAAAAACTATAAAACTGTATTTTCTTGCGAAAACCAAGAAATTGCATTATCCATCAAAAACAGAAAAATTACATTGCCCATCAAAACCGAGAATTCGCATTTCTTGTCAAAACTGAGATATTTTGTTTTCCCATCATATTATATTTATTTTATAGATGAGTATTATATTTGTTTTTTTAGTTTAAGTTATGTATTTATATATTTTAAATCCGAATAAACATTTTATATCTTTAATTTTTTTTTATTTTTCTGAATTATAATTTACTATCAAATTTGTTTAGCTAACTAACTATAAATGTATATGTAAGAATAAAACAATACATTTTTAAGTACATTCATGCTAATGGCAAATGTAATTTATTTTCTCCACTAAATTACCACTTGATCCTCCTTTGTAATTATATAAAGCAAAATGCCATTTTAAAACAAAATTATTAATTAATATGATTATTTTGAATTTTAAAATATATTTATAATTCTCATACTGTACTATATGCAATCAAGATTAGAGAATGGATTCATGCACATCATCTTTTAATATTAACCGAACCGATGGTTAAAATCAATATTCTAGTTCTCATGTACTAATCACTAATACAGCATATATGAATAATGGATAGGAAGAGGAGAATGAATGAATTAAACATTAATGATATTAAATAGCTTGTATTATCAAAACAATAAAATGAGTTAAGAATAGTTTTTTAACTCAGATGAATTAAAAATATTTTTTAGATAAATTGTGGGCTTACTTATAGATTTCAATCTATGTTAGTTTTTTTTAAATGAACTGTATTAATAAAATATTTTATTGGTTGATTTTTTGCTGAAATGTCATGTTGAGAAAGCTTGAAAAAACTTAGGTTTCATCATTTAGAGAGATTTATGGGTTATTGTTGTATTGATTTGATTGATAAACGTCGGTAGATACTGGACAGTAACTACAAAACTTAGTGTTACCTATAAAGTGTCGTCTTCTATAAATAAATCCCACTAAACCCATTTATCACATACAAATTGATTGACTGCACAGGGCCCTAATAAATGCCAACAAACCCATTTATCACATACAAAATGATTCAACTAATCTATCTAGTTTTGCTTGTTGTTTCAGTGGTGTCTGTAACACATCGATACTTTAGGAGTTGTGCAATATTTTACCCTCCATCATTAAGCGTACATCCTTTTTACTCTTTTACATACATGTTTAACTCAATAATGTGCACTTGGATTTAGCGTCGTCGCAAACGTTTCTGGAAATCATGGTTCTTTGCTATAACTAGGACCAAGAGAATTGCCATTCGTTTATTTGCATCCAAAAAACAAAAACAGGAGCCTTTACTTGACAACTATATTGATCATGTTTACAACCGTTAAACCATTATTAACTCAGAAATCACCCCTTCACCATTAAAGTCAGTCGCAACAACATAGGTGTGTACTTTAAGAAGACACTGTGTTTGTCAAGTTTTCTCACTATCGAGTATGTGAGTAATGGTTAAGCGGATATAGATACACAGACCAAAGGATCCTCACTCAAAAGCTGAACCAACTCCATAAGACTTACCCATTGCAGAGGCACAATTTTTGACCTTTTCTTCCAGATATATTACTCTCCGGAGCTTCAACTTTCACAGATTTTTACCCTGCGGAAAAGATGCCGAAAGCTGTGTAAAGGGAAGTCGACGCAAAAAAACTAAAAAACGTCTAGTTCTATCCGATTTCAGAGCAAAGCCAAACACAAAAGCTGTGTCAAACTAGATTTTACCGATCCTTTTACAGCCACCACGAGGTAATGCGCATTAGCAAATCCATCGAGGCCATTGTATAAACATAACATATATATTGAAAAAAAGGAAGGAAGAGGAGATAGTTGCTGGATGAGCAACAACAAGCATTATTCAACGGCAGACCAATCTCTCTCTAATAACACTTAATGACCAGAAAGAAGTCAGAAGTGTCACTCCAAGTTCAAGTCTATAAAAAAGATTCAGCAATTGCGCAGAGATTGTATTCCACAACATCAATCAATAATACTTGTTTAAGAAAAAGAAAGAAAAAAACTCTGAAGTGATTTGAATCCTTTAATCACACCTCATCGTGCTTTCCTGTTAAAAGACAGAAACTAAGATCCATAAGTTTGAACTTTGAGATTAAAAGAGAGATGTAGGATACAAAATAGTCTGCAAACAAAGCTAAAAGCAAAGCATTTAACTTAAATTTACCGCACCAAAGCTTGTAAAAATTCTATTAGAATTCTCGACTTACAATTATAGGACAGAGTATCTGCCGGGTTGTGCTCCTCCAGGAAGGGACAAAGCCTGATTTGTAATGTCTTCAAGAACACGCTTAAGTTCTCCTTTCGCTTGCTTAACAGATTTCTCAGTAGGGCCTTCAATGAACAAGTAGAGCTTGCGTTCCCCAGGTCCTGCGATACGTCCGGGAGGATAAAACTGACCTCTAGTGGTAATGGCGGCTCCAGTCCAATCTGATATTGGACCCAAAGTATCTTTGTGGGTCACCTTCCAACGAGCATTTTGTGGAAAATCATTGATTTCTAGCTCTGCTTCGTAGTGTTCAGGCATTGCATCAGCTTGTATCTTTGCCAGGTTATGTTGCAGGTTAATGGCAGCAACCATGGCTGCCGCACGGCCTGCCCCATCAATAACGCCAGGAACAGCAACCGGAAGGACACCTGGCACAACGGCAAGCCCGACACTATTTGTCGGTAAATGGTTAGCAGTCACAGGCGCAATCACTGGAGCATTAGCTTTAGCAGCAGCAGCAGCAATGGCGGCTATCTGAGCAACAGCAAGTGTTGCCTGCTGTGAGATATCACCACCTGCCTTTCTAACTACATCATTCTCATCTTCCGAGTCAGACTTGTCTTCCTCAAACCCATACTCCTTCGCTTGTGCTTTCTTTGCTGCTTTCCTAACTTCTTCCTCCTCTTCGTTGAATTTAAAGCCACTACCTCCATAGCCAGTTCCATGAGCTTGCTCAATACCCTGCTTCACTTTTGCCATGAAACCATCAGCAATTGCTTTCACATCATCGGGGACTGGCTGCTCAGAAAGTTCCAGGGCCTTGACCAAATCTGGTGCATATTTTGCATCATCTTCAGATATAAATGTCACAGCACAGCCTTTACGCCCTGCCCTTCCTGTCCTGCCAACACGATGCACATAGTCTTCATAGTGATTTGGAGCATCATAGTTTACAACCAACTCAAGATCTTTCACATCTAGACCCCTAGCTGCAATACTTGTGGCAATCAACAAATTGCAGACATTGCTCTTGAAATCAGATATAGTTGATTCGCGATCAGTCTGATCCTTACCCCCGTGAAGAGATAGGCAAGGGTAACTCCTTTTAATCAAATCCCTAAACAAGGCATCACACTTTTCCTGTGACTGAACAAAAATCAACATTTTTCCTTTCTCATACCATTCCCCAAGGAGTTCCAGAAGCCTAAAGAACCTCTCATTCTCTGGTCTGACTTCCACTAGCTGAGTTATATCCTTATTTACAACACTCCTTCCACCAACCTGTATTTCAATCGGCTTGTTCAAGACTTTACGTGCCAAAGTTTCAACTTGGCGTGGAAAAGTGGCAGAAAAGAGCACAGTCTGCCGATCAGGTCGGATATTTTGAATAATACGAGTTATTTGAGGCTCAAAACCCATGTCAAACATACGATCAGCTTCATCCATTACCAAAAACGTGACCCTCCGCAGATTGGTGATTTTTCCACCGCTTGTGCAAAGAATATCAATCATCCTCCCAGGAGTGCAAACAACAATCTCAGTCCCTCGTTTTAGGTCACTAATTTGCTGCGCAACTCCTGATCCTCCATACACAGGAACACATCTTATACCCAGTGCCTTTGAAAACTTTTTAATGTCGCTGTGAATCTGCTGAACAAGCTCCCTAGTAGGTGCCATCACAAGCCCAATCGGCCCCTCACCAGCTTCAACTGGAGGCTGATCCTTGATATGCCTCAACATAGGCAGAACAAAACCTAGCGTTTTACCTGAGCCGGTTTTTGCAACTCCAATACAATCTCGACCGCTCATGATGATTGGAAGTGCTTGTGTTTGGATAGGCATTGGCGTTTCATACTTGAGCTTCTTCATGGTATCCAAAATTTTGTTAGTTAGTCCAGTCTGATGCCAAGATCTTATGGGTCTAGGTACATCCTTTCCATGAACTTTCAGCTCCAATTCCTTTCTGTAAGCTGTAACTTCTTCTTCTGTCATCCTTGAAATATCCTTCACTTCAATATAGAAGTTCTTCCGGAAAGGTTCATACTCTATTTTTGAGTGGTCAACCAGAGACAATTTTTCTGCTTTCGTCTTCTTTACCCTCTTCATGAACTCCTCATCGTCTTCCTCTAAACTTGGATCATCATCATTCTTCGGTTCTGAATAATCGGAATCAGAATCTTCACCTTGCATTATCCGACCAAGGGACTTATTGAAACTTTTCTTTGGCTGGTCACCACTTTCCTTCCCATCAAAAATACCATCCTTATCTACTGGAGGAGGAGCACTACTGCTAAGCTTCTCAACCTCAGGTAATACCATAGCATTCATAAAAGCATCTAAAGGATCAATTTCTTCTTCATCTGCAGCTCCATCATCTCCATTCTCAGAGACAGTAACAGCTGTCTCATTTTCCAAGTCTGCCATCTTGGCATCTCCACCATTTTCGGGTTTAGTCTCTCCATCAACTTTTATCTCTGTTTCTGATTTTTCCTCCTGGTGGCCTTCTTCATCATCAGATTCTCCTTCCAGAGTCCAAGCCTTGCCGGCCTTGGGCTCTTTATCATCCGCTTCACCCTTACTTTCACTCTCAGCTTCCTCCTTTTTCCTCTTTAACTCTTGCCACTCCTGGATTCTTCTTCTTCGTTTTTCCACCTCCTCATCCAACTTTTTCTGCTCATCCTCCTGTTCTTCTTCGCGGGTTTTCTTCTCTTTCTTTTCACCATCCTCCTCGCCACTCTTTCTCCTTGGACTATCTCCATTTTCATCTCCATGCCTGCTAGATCTACCAACACTCTTTTCACGCTCTTTCTCCTTCCGTTCTTCGCCCTCTTTTCTTCTACGCTTCAAATCACGCTTGACATCATCATCACTCTCTTCGTTGCCATCCTCTCGTGACCTCCCTCTTTCCCGGTTCCTGCTACCCCTTTCTTTCTCACGTTCTCTCCTATCCCTCTCTGCATCTTCCCGTTCCCGATCCCGCCTTTCTCTTTCTTTTACTCTCTCCTTCTCCCGCTCCTCTCGCTCCCGTTCTCTCCTCGCTCTATCCTTCTCCCTTTCTCTTTCTCTCTCCTTTCTCTCCTCCCTCTCTCTATCTCTATCTCTTTTCCGATCTTTGCCCCTATCTCTCTCATGGTCTCGGTGTCCTCTCTCCTTCTCCTTCGCTCTGCGTTTATCCCTCTCATCATCTTCTTCATCGTCATCTTCGGAATCGCTACTCTTCTTTCTCTCCGACCGTCTCTTCGCCCGCTCTTTATCCCTCCGTCTCCGCTCCTTGTCCTTCTCTTTACGCTTCTCCCTCTCTTCATCATCATCTCTATCGTACTCATCTTCAGAATCACTACTCTTCACTCTCTCAGACCGTCTCTTGCGTCTGTCCTTCTCGCGGCGCTTCTCCGAACTCTTATCCTTCTTCCGCTCCTTACTCCGATCACGATCTCGCCTATTCTTCTTCAAATCATCCTCCTCCTCCTCCATGTCCAAATCTTCGTTCCTCAACTTAGATTTATGTACCTCCATTCCTAAATTCAGCTCGAACACCACAATTCCGGATACTAAACCACGTAATTACGAAGATTCGGCGAAAAACAATCAGATTCACCCGCCACGAAATCTTCAAGGATTGCAGAAGATCGAACGAAGCGACAATTCACCCCGCAGAATAACGCGTGAGCGACCGCGAGCTGCTTGATTCAGAGGCAAATGTATAAGAAATCAACTCAGATTAATCGAAACAGTACACAAACAAAGTTTAGAGCTTACACAGATAAATCCTCAGAGGAGAAGACGAAGCTAATAGAAGAATCGAGAGAGACCGGAACGCGAAACCCTAACGAATCGTTATTATTGTGGAGTGTGTTTGCTAAAAATCTGAGATGGCGGTTTTTCTAAATTATTTACTTAACATAAATTAGCGGCTCCGAGCCAAAAGTTTCTTTGATTTCGCTCCATAATGAGCCCATATTTCACTTGACGATTTGGTTATCTAGTTGAACCCCCGTATGGCCCAATGAAAGACCATAGCAAATTAGCGAGATGTCGGGCCTTTATTATTTAATATAATCTGTACCAAAAATAATTCCCAATTTGTTATAAGATATTTTCCTTATACTATATTCTCATTTATTTGAAAATCTCCTAAGATGATAATAAATCTATAAAAGAAAAAATATTGACTTTTAAAAACATTTACAGATGGGTTCAAATTTAAATATTTTGATTTCTTTCTAATTTCGAAATATATAAGTTTGACTTAATTATATTCTTTAAATTATTCAAATGTTTAAAACATATATTTTAGTAATTTTTGCAATTTTCATCAATGTATCATTATGATAATAATATCATGTTAACTATTAACTTTGACATATGAAACTTTATATAACAAGATTTATTATAATTATTCATTATTATTTATATAATAATATATTTAAAAAAACTGCTTTATTAAAAATATTACAACTTTTAATTAATGGTAAAAAATTGAGTGTAAAAAATATAGATTAAAAACTTTCATATACAAAAAATTATGAATTTTTTTTTGTAAATGTTTACTTTTTTAATTTATGTTTGTGTTATCATAATTTAGTTTAACAATACAAAATTAATTTACTTTTTATTTATCTTTGTTTAGCGTAAATATTTTTGATACTATTTCTACAGTTAAAATTGTTTTTAATAAGTTTGATTAATCCATTATAGTTGCAGTAAGAAATTTAATTGTAATAGTCATCAATCGTTAAAAATAATCAGAACTAATGATGATAAAAATATGTATTTTTCAATATACCTTAATCTTCTGTTATTATCTTTTACTATTATTTTTAAACTAACTGATCATTTATTTGCTAATTGATTTGACTGTTTTCTAGCAGCATCAATTAGACCTAATTTGTTTTCGTTGAAACATGCAAAACGATTTTATTCAAAGTCTCCAAAAAGGCAAAAAATAACAGAAAAAAGGATGAGTATTGACTATTGAGTAAAACCAAAAATACTTTATTGTAAAATTAAAGTTGAGGAACTCTGGTGAAGTGTTGAAATCTCTCGCTCAGCGTTTCAAACATAAAAACCCCATCCATCTCTAATTTCTTCCGCCCACTCAAAGATTCTTCTCCGCTTCAAATAGCCTCTGCGTAGTCTCTGCTCTTTCCTCTCTGCATCTTCTCCGGTTTCTCTCAGTTTTCCCCGGCTACTAGCCCTAGCGCGCCACCGGAGCTCCCGTGCTGTCGTCGCCGTCGCTGAAGAACAGGCAAGCATTTGTTTTTTTTTCTCTTTGCCGGTCTCCCTAATTTCTCAAGCTTTTTCGGTTTTCTCGGCTTGTTTTATGTCTTGGGTTTTGATTAGTCTGAGGCTGTGAATTAGAGCAATAGTGCGCTCTAATTCTCAATTCCGTTGTCTTCTAAATAGAGTTAGAGAATCTATCATTTCCAGACGGAGAAGGAATATATATACGCATTTTGCTTTATGGATTTTGGGTTTACCATTGTCTTTTCTGGGTTTGCTCTTATGACGTTATCTTGCTGTGATTGAATACTCCAGGAAAGAAGAGAAGCTTTTAATGGCCGGTATCGAAATGCAAGAGCAAGGTGTGCCTTGTGCTGCTGATGTTGTCCCCAAGGTAGAACCTTCGGAGACAGAAATTTCTCAAAACCCTAGCGAAATCCCTCCTCCTCTTCTTCTCGGAGATAAGACTGTTACTCCACACAGTGATGCCCGTGTAACTGAATTTGCCGTTCCCAAGGAACCTGTTGCTAATGGTCATGGGAAGAACGGCGATGCTGGAGTTGTTTCTCACTCTGAGACGAAGACAGGTGATGAAAATCCCAAAAAGCGGAAGACTTGGCTGCTGAGTGACTCTGAGGTATTTAAAAATCACTCCTTTGTTGGAGAAGGGGAAAGAAGCTTTAGTGGTAAATACTATAATGGTGACCTTTCTCTAACAAAGTCTCACATTTTTCTCTACAGGCACTGGGAAGTGATGAAGCAGGGACACCAGAAGATCAGAAGGCGTTTCTAATTGAATTGGAGACGTTTCACAGAGAGAATTACCTGGACTATAAACCTCTCAAGTTTTATGGACAGCCTTTAAACACTCTCAAGTGAGTTTGTTGTGGAAAGTGTTGATTTTGTTCTTAAATAAACTCATACATCTGCTTAATCAGTGCCTGAATTTTGCTTGTTTTTACTATTCAATGTAGGCTATGGCGAGCGGTTGTTAAACTAGGTGGCTATGACGTGGTAATTATACAACATCACCCCTTGTTGATAACCAAAACCATATCATTTAAGCTGGCTCGTATGATTTATCACCTATATTTTATTTGTTTGGGTTAGGGATAAGATGTGAATACATCTCGGGTGAATATTTAAGTCGGTAATCTAATTGATGATAAGAGTATCTATAACTATGGGAAATACTTTCAGAGAGGAGATTTTATACTTTAAAGTGATTTAATTATGCAGATATTGAGATATATTAAAGAGTGTTTGATATGTTGTCGGGAAAGTATTTTGGTTTACCGTTGTTAGCTATAAAGGGGAGTTTATATTCAATGTCTTTTGGTCTTTAAAGATTCCCTTTGTTTTTTTCATGTAATGTAGGTCACCACATCTAAGCTATGGCGCCAAGTTGGAGAATCTTTCCATCCTCCGAAGTATGGCTGTTGTTGCCCTTAGACTCTCCTTTAGTCTTTACTGATTTTTCATGATGGTAACTTGTTATTGGTTTGGCTCTCTTTGTTCAGGACATGCACAACAGTCTCCTACACATTCCGTAATTTTTATGAAAAGGTGAGTTTCGTTGCTGTGCATAAGTATCCTGTCTTCACTTTTACTTAATCCACTTCAGAACAATTCTCCGTGTGATTCTTTTTGGTATGACTTTTATACCGTGACTTCTTTTGGCATTGGATGACGAATGTTTTTTTCTACCTATCTTATCATATGTATATAGGTACATTATGATCTGAATATTTGCTTCACTTGCAGGCACTTTTGGAGTACGAGAAGTATTTGAGGAAAACTGGTGAGCTTAGCCTTCCTGGTTCAGCACTCATTGTGTCTCCAAGCCTCGAGAAAGAGGTAAGAACTTCCGCTAGAAAATGTGGCTTTTATGCTTTTGGCTTTTGGAAACTGTCGGATTTATGGAAAGACGGGTTGATATAGAAAGTTCAGATGAAGATATCAGCTAGATCTTGCACCATGTACGGATAAAATGTTGTTGACGCTGAGGGAATGATAGCTTAAGAGTTCTTTTTAAGCATTAATTTAATGCAGAAAGCAATTTCTGGAATGTGAAATACCTTGTTAAACCCTACTATATGCTGTCTGACTGTGCATAACCCAGTAAATTACCATATAAATGTAGGCAGTTAGCCATCAAGGTTCAGGATCAGGCAGGGCACGAAGAGATTCTGCAGCTCGTGCTATGCAAAATTGGCATGCACAGCGCCTTGTTGGATCTGGAGATGTTACTGTGCCTATTGTTAAGGTTTCACTTCAAAACTTACCGCATTTTTTTTTTGTTTAACTTCATCTGCAGAAATTCGGTCTGCACCAGTGATGTGATGTTCTCCTTTTGTTTCAGGATAAGGGATTCACCTCAACTCCAAAGCATAAGAAACTCAAAAGCATTGGTAACTTATTTCTCAAGCCGTTGCTTTAATTTTTTTTGTCAGCAAGGATTGCTTAATATTTTGTTTTAAACGGTTATTTCAGGGCTGCAGAAACACAACACACAAACTAGCATGGACCCTGTTGTTCCACAAGAAGCAGACAAAGAGTTACGAATCCTCTCCTGCTTATTTGCAACTTTGATTTTTTGTTTATTTCTTTTAAATCCCTCCTTTGTATCTTGTCCCTGACCAATGCAAGATATTAATACTAATATGATTTTTTGGCGCCTTAGGTCGGTTGCTGATGTTGTTGATGATGGACCCCTTGCTGACTGGGTGAAGATAACTGTCAAAGAAACTGTGAGTAACTTCTGCCATCTTTTTTTTCTCCCGTTGTAACTAGTGCACAAGAAAAGTTTGATTAAAAGGCCGCTGAAGAAATGTCAAAAAATTTGCAAACTGGATTGTTTGTTTCCAATCTGAAATCTTACCAAAATCTGTTTTTTTTTCTCTTCCTCTCTTTGAATTCACAGAATGATTCCTTTGAGATATTTGCTTTGGTACCTGGACTTCTTCGCAAAGAGGTGAGCACTCTCTTGAAAACCCCTATTTTTGAAAAGCTACTTGAGAAGTCTTTGAATTTTGTATGAATGCATATTACTGTGGCAATTACACAGCAAGCACAAAGAGATCTATTAGCTACTTAAGCAGTTAGGTCTGAAGCAGCGTAGATTTTTGGAAGGTCTGACCTTTAGTTACAGAGAAAGTGGTTCTAGTCTGAATACACAGTTTTGTTGGCGATACGTGTTTTCTGGTGTAATCATTACAGAGTTCAAAGTCCTGAACAGAATTTTTTTGGTTTCTTCTCAGGTTCGAATTCAATCAGATCCTGCAGGACGGCTGGTTATAACAGGCGAGCCTGAGCAGCTTGACAACCCTTGGGGGATTACTCCATTCAAAAAGGTAAAAACTTTATTATATACTTCAGATATTGCCATTAACCGATACAGAGACCTGTTGTATCTAACCGAGAACCGTCTCTATGGTTTCACCAGGTTATTGGCTTATCAGCAAGAATCGATCCGCTCCACACATCTGCGGTCATGAGCATGCACGGTCGGTTGTTCATACGAGTTCCGTTTGAGCAGTGACTGATCTCAAGAGCGAACTCTTCAGTTTCTTCTAGGAATTCATTTGTTATCGGAGCCAAATTGGTAGGCGGCTGAAGCAGTTTTAACTGTAATTTTAGACTGAAGAATGAAGTTAAGATTAGACAATCAAACATTGGTATCTTAGTGTAAGATATGTCTTTTGTAAAAGTTGATATTACATTAGTTGGAGAAGCTGCTCCAGCCTTTTAGGGGTGCAACAAATAATTATATGTTTGGTTCAAAATTGGAATGTTAAGCTTTTCGTATTTATGCGTTTTTATAGATATGAATAGTTTTACCTATCCCATCTACTATATATATATGTAGTTCTAACGATTTTTTTTTCATGCTTTTTCCGGTTTTCAAAAAGTACTCCTGAGATGATTTGTTTTCAAAAAGTGAAAGAAAAGTATGACTTTGGTGGTGCATATAATTAAAGGGGAAAACAATAATAACAAAAAAAATCTCATTGACATTTGCATGAATCTAAAAAGTTCATGATTACACTTGAGGGACATGGTGAAAAGAAAATAAAGTTCATGATTTGTTTCAAAATTTTTATCATTAGGTAAATTTAAGGTTCAAGATCGTGAAGTCCCAGGCTAGATACCAGAAAATTATTGCAGGATATGGATGTATGAGAATGCTAATTCCAAAATTTAAAGGGTATTACACACAGTAAACAAATGTTGGTCTCTAAACAATTCATTTTACAAATAAACAACACAATTAATTTCTTAACTAGATTAGAAGATAATATGTATTATGACAAGTATATTATCACATATATGAGTTTACATTAAATTTAGTTATATATACATCACTGAAAATAAAATCCAGCTGCTTCTTCTCAACTTGGTGTAGCTCAGTTGCATGTAAGGCAGATGACATGGCCACATGGGAATTTGATAATATATACGAACACAGCTACAACGCTTTTTCCCTTTCAGAGCCCCAAAAATCCATATCAAAATAACAAAAAGTAGGTGATTATATTTTATTTTATTTATTTTGCCAAAACATTTCTTGCTGGATGTATACATTATCACTGTATTTGAAACAAACAGAAATCTTATTTTTGAGACCATATCATGATAAATTAGCGTCAGTATTTAAACTCGTAAACTTGAAGGAAATTTTTTTCTGTTGGGTATCTGTTACAACAATTGGAATATCGACTTATTTGCTTGAATATTCATTCTCATCATACAATAGTTAGAACTAGCTCAATTTATGTGAAATAAGAACTCTATTTTGATACAAAAAGCTCGGGTTTTATTTAAACTCACAATCTCTTTGATCGGAAATCATATCTTATTAACTTTGCTTATATATATATAGTCACTAGTCAGTATTTCAAACTCGTACGTAAGCTTGAAACCTTTCATCTTTTGGGTAGCCATCTATTACAACAATTGAGATATCAACTCCGATAGATTATTTTCTCAAAAACAACACACGTCGCGAGAACTATTTAGTCGAATATTCATTTTCATATATCTTTCAATAGTTAGAACATAGAACTAACTCAATTTATAGTAATTATACAGTGCATGTTCATCAAATCTTGAGTAGCTTTGAAAACCCGGCCAGTTTACTTTTGGAGTTTGTGTTGGTTATTTGAAACTGAAACATACTAAAATTATTTAGTTTTTTGGAGTATTTGTTTTAGTATGTTGGTAGTATCATTTAAATAACATTTATATAAGCTTCTTCCACTTTTGTTCCTAGTCAATAAATTTGTCCCTAGGGAATTGGAACATTCCTCTTTTTCACATATCTTGGTAATCAAAACCCTTTTTTTGTTATCTTGCAACAGAGACTCAAGTCTTTTAAATGACACTACCAATTATTCATGCCTCCTACTTAATCTTCCCATGTAACCGACGTGAAAAAACCCATTTACTAACCTCATGTTTCTACTGTGCTGTAACGGTTGTCTTTAACCTGGTCCTTTGCTAAAATTTCAATGCAATATTCTTCATGATCTTGTCCCCAAAATTGGTTTTTTAAAATCGATGCACATATATGACCGAAAAAATCTCATTTCGTAGAATAAAACGAAAGTATACTAACATATAAACGAATAAAAAACCAGAATATATTTGAATTGTTGGCTGAGACACAGATTCTCCATATATAAAAGCCAATGAAGTAGTTTACTATCATTGTAATATGAACCGCATATATGTGACCTACAATTTGTTTAAAGCTACTTATCGGTTGGATTTATAAACTCTCTTAGAAAGGATCGAACCGGTTGGTGTCATTAGCCATTGCAATGCATATACTTTATGCATGTTGTGCAAGTAAGTCGAGTGTTCGAATGGATAACATACATGGTATATATAGCACAGTTTCAATGCCTGCTTAAAATATTCTTTTATAGCCATGATTTTTCTCTAATTAGGCGGCGAAACTAAGTGAGAGATCGCTTAGTCGAGCCGTTTCCGAAATGCTTAGTTTACCAATTTAGACATCCAGTCGAGATCTTAAACGGTATACGCGAGCGATAGATTTCTCTAAACAGTCAAATGATTAACTACAACATAAATTAAAAAAAAATTACAAGATATGTAAGCGTTTAGGAACGACTATTATAAATGTTTTGATCTATATTTTAAAACAAGTTGGAGTGAATGTGCATCATACTGCAGCAAACAGTTATGAGAAATATTTGCGGCGTATATGGGTTGATACTTGATATAAACATCAAAGACTATATATTATTGGAACGTTTTATATAAAGTAGAGCAACTTCTGATGGGATGTCAAGAATATAAACTTATTAAAAGAATCGAACTCGTTATTAAATAGACCTATATATATCTATCAATTCGAGCTAACAATAATACTTAATAGTTATAGGGTACAGCACGAAACCCTAGCAATGAATAAAAGAAAGACATAGATGGAGAGGTTTACGAGAGACAAATATGCATTCCTCTAACGTCTAGCATCTATCAAAGATGAGAAGAAAGAAAAAAAAGCACGAAAACTCAAATATGCATATCAACTAAATAAAAAAAACAAATACCAAAGATCCCAAATGAAAGACGACTCCACAAAATGATTTTAAAAAACACATAAATTTCCGTTGACAGTTATGTGAATTCAATTAAAAAGGTGGTCTTGAAGGTGTCCCAGCTCCCCATCCAAGCAAATGAGGATCACCGGAGAACCCATAACCACCCACATTACCTCCTAACTGTCCCTGACCGGTCACTCCAGACGGCGGAGATGCTGACGGCGCTTGCTGCATCTGAGATGGTCCTCCCCCTCCCCCTCCTCCGCCACCACCACCACCACCCTCTTCCTCCTCTTCCTCAGTAATGGGCAACCTCTCGAACACCGCATTTGAGAACGATGCAGCCATTAGTATAACCGGAGCTGATGCTACAAGCGGAGCCACCACGCTTCCTCCAACCACCTGACCTTGCCCTCCGGCTAAAAATATTGACAAACCACCAGCACCTGGCGGTGCAGGTGGTGGCAAAACGGTACCTGTTAGCGAAAGAATCTCAAACCTTCCATGTAGAGTCACAACTCCTCCTCCTGCTCCAGCCCCAACGCCACCTCCACTTCCGGGAGTGACTGGCTGACGGAGAGTGACGTTAGAAACGGTGCCGTTTCCTCCTAGAACGGAGACGCCTCTCCCTCTCCGCCTAGCGTAAGTGGAGACACTCTCAACTATGTCTGCCCCGGGAGACACCTCAAGGACGTGAGATCTAAGCGCGTTGGGGCTATCGCGCGTGACTATGATCGGTGGCTTCGCTTTGTTCTTAGATCCCGGTGGACGTCCACGTGGACGTTTCCCTGGTGCTGAGCTTGATGTAGCCGGGTCTGAATCGGGTCGGCCCGGTTGATGATGATCCTTGTTTGAGTGATCAGATTCTCTTGAATCATCCGAGGGTTGCTCTTGTTGATGCTGCTGCTGCTGCTGCTGATGGTGATGGTGGTGATGTTGATGCTGGTCGATGAGATTGATCCCACCTTGCGGTTGATGCTGTTGGTGGTGAATCTCCGGTCTGAAGAGGTTATGGAAGTATCTAGAAGCTCCACCGCCTTGCTCGTAACCGCCTTCCATCGCCGCCGCATCTACTAAATCCCTCTCCCACCACTGCTTATTCGCCAGCTCAAATCAACTTTCTTGATTCTTGATCCTTCTCGCTCTCATATATGTGAAGGTGAGGAAGAGCGTGAAGAGAAAGAAAAAAAATAGCTCAGATCGAGAAGTCAAAACTCAGGATTTTGAGGAACCAATAGCTCAAAGAATTAGATGTGATCAGTTACACAAGCCGACAAAATCAGAACAGAACTAAATTAAAGACCAAGCAAAGAGAAAAAAGGCTATAGCTTAAGTAAAATGATCTCTCTTTCTCTCTCAGGTGGGGGAAAGTTAAGAGGAAACCCTAGTTAGGTGGATTAACTAGGGCAAGATGAAGAAGCAGCTTCTTCTTGCATACGAGACAACTTCGTATTTTAGCGATGTGTTCTGGAAAAAGGAGAGAGAAGCTTGAGATTCATGTGCGACTCTGCAATAAATTTTTGGTCCTCTCATTGAACGAGGAAAGTAAAAGCAAAGACATACACCGAGAATTTAGCGGAGAAACAGTCCCCTTTATTATATTTTGATTATTTTCTATACATCTTAATACTATTTAATATAAATATATTTTATGAATACATGTTAAAAAAATAGTGTGTAAGTGGGTTATATCCTTACATGAGATCCCAGAGAAAGCTACATAGGGCTTCGTCGAGGTTTTTCTTTGGCTCCAATCAGATAAAAAATGTGTTGAGAAGTAGTTTCAGAATTTTGAAAGCCTGGTGGATGATAAGATTAGCATGAGATCTTAAAGAAAAAAAAGTACAAGGATGATTTGTTGTTTATCGAAAACTATAGACGACATATTGAAAGCGCATTATTTTTTATTTAATTTTCAACACAAAATGTCAAGTGGAAGTTGGGTACAAAGATGATAAATGAATCTCACACTCACTTTAAGGCGCGTGAAGATTACGTTTAAACAAAAGTTATAGTATATTTAATCTTATCATGCTACTAATTATATTGTTTTATAGTTTAGTACAAACTTACCTTATTACTACGTTGTGAGACATTTGTAGGCTAGTGGTTTTCTTAGCGCTGATATCATTTATATCCAAACAGGATTCATGAATACGGTTCGTGAGTTATATATATAGACAAAGCTTTTCTCTATATATTATATTTCTATTGTCAATTCATAATTTATAAATGTGTTATTTATTGTTGAAATCAATTATATAGTATATGGTTAGCAAATAGTACAATATTCTAATAAGAACCCACGTTGCTTTAGTAAACAGACGGATACGAACAATCTTTGCTGAAAAAAGAGAGAATTAGTTTACTTTTATGCGTCGCAGAACAATAATTGATTAACCATGCTTTATTGATTAATTAATAATTTCTTTTTAAAACTATACCCCTTCTCTCTATATACATGTGTGTGTGTGTGATTGAAACCGAGCTAATTAGATTATCAGAGAATCGATGGTCTTACTAAAGTTTCCCACTTGTTTACATTTGTTATTTTTATCTATATCTTCTTTTACAGTCTTGGAAGAGGGCATAAGCCGCATAACTACGAACAATCAATCTAGATAATGGTCCTTTATTATAATGAGGACTATATTCCTTTAAATATCATAAAACAGAGTGGACCCTTTTTTAATAATAACTTTGGAGAAAGCTAATGATCCCATTAATGTAAAATAGTAGTTAGTAATTATTACAATGTCATTACAGTTGATATTTTTGGTTTGCAAAAGTAATATATGGTTTTGTTACCTTACGTCGAATTTGATGTATAGAGAACTAATTTGATAAACCTTTTTCCTAGCATGGATATATAACACGAAAGTAATACTGTACTGAATTTGGTGTAGTACTAATTAAACTGATCTTTTGGTTATCGAGTAGTGTTTTGGTCGAATAATGTAAGTATAATTCCTCCAAAAGAATGATCACTTTTTTAATTGTTTTTGTAAAAATCAAACTATTTGATAGATTCATTTTTGCGGACTAGATTAATTATATCAGTCTTTAAGACCTGTTTGAAAGTTTTGATTTTTTAGCAATAAGTTTTTCATAAATATATAAATCATGAATATATTTATCTTTAGATAAATCAGTTGACGAGAAATAAAAACTAATAATTTGATATATCATTTCCATACAATGAGAAATTATTTTTTTTAGCTTTGCCATAATTAATTTGTTGGAGAAAAGAAAACGTTCGATAACTCCAAAAACACTTACCAAATCAACCCATCGAAATAATTGCAAATTTATTGAAGTGACTAAACTGGATCCGACCCATTAATGCTTGACCTCATCGGACCGTGACTGTTTGTCCTAATTTTTAACTGCACTGCACCCATATAGTAACACCTAAAGCTCCTCAACGTGGACGCATGTGGGCTGAACTACGTGGGACCCTTTTAAAACGGATCAGAACCGTCCATCCTCTTGGCATGCGGGACCCACGAACCGTCGTTCTCATCGGCGCAACCTGGCGAGTCAGGGCTCGGTGCAATGTACTTGAACCGGACACGTTAGCTTGAACCGCACGTGCACAGACAAAAGTCACGTGCGGTCAAAAGGTCAGAGCATGAAAGTGAAAGGCAGGCAGTGTGACCACGTGGAGGTGGTCGGAAACATCGGTACTTGGTCAATTACCTTATCCAATCACACTCCTCTCGAATCTATATAACTTACCCATATCAATCACTCTTCCTTAAGGTTTGTACTTGGGTTCACTTCTGCCGTATTTAAAATTTTGAACATAATAAATTCAGAGTTTCTTTTGTTTTACGTGTCTAAAATTATCGAAAAAATCTATATAGTTCCAAGGTTATATAATACTACTGGAAGTGTATTGAAATTTGACAATATATAGTGGCATAGGAAATTTGTAAAAATGAATGTATTTTTTAAAAAAATTGTGTCATAAGTGGAAGGTGTTTAGCACAAAACATATATTGTATCCACCTATTTTTTGTTCTTTGTGAAACTGCTTCCATTCAATTCAAGCCGATTCAAATGGTTTAAAACTTGCTTTGTAAAGTTATTTTTTAATAGATATTTACATTTATACCCAAAAAGGTATATAATATTTTAAGCCCTAGAGCTACGTGCCAAATCAAGTACAACATGCAAGTCCATAAGCATGAGTGTATGAAACGGTCCTATATTCTTATGAGTTATGACCCTCCCTACTGGTTTAGATCGATCAACCCCTTTCTCGATAAATTGATACGTCCAGTGATCGCATAGAATCAAAGTTATAACTACGACACATGTGTCATAAGATAACTCGATCCTTGCGTTCTAGGTAAGAGATCTTTATTAACAAACGTATCAGATATAAACATTCCGACATAAACTGATAATAACATCATTTCACCTGATAATGATGCAGCTTGTTTGGACAAATAATTCAAATACTATAGTTTTTGTGAGGTTCGGACAACATTAAACAAGATCTCGAAACTAAATTGCATACCCACTTTAACAATAGTTAATATACCCTACTCGATATGACATCATTTCAATTAAATATCTGAAAAATTATCAGACAGCCAAAAAACTTTAATGATTATACCCAATAATCAGTACGCTTAATTTTATTTAATTTGCTTTTTTTTTTAATAGTATCAATCAAAGTACCACGCGCCAGATATATATGAGATTATGCCGTGTATATCATCCCTACTATATATGCCAATACAAAAATTTACATCTTTATGAAGAAAATTTACAGTTTTGAATGTTTAAAGCAAACAAGTTCGGTAATTTTAACATAAAAAATGCTACTAGTTATTTATTGGAATCTCAAATTTTCCGATACGTGGTATTTTTTGCACCAGTAAAAAAGAACGGGAACGTGAGCCTCGCACTTAAAATGCGGCCATACTTTCTCTAAACAAAAATTTGCATTCGCTTTGACAACAAAAAAAGCATCGTACATGATAGTTCAACGACCACACATCAATTTTTTAAAATAAAAAATTATTAACTGGATTGAATTTGGTAATTTACTGACAGTTGATTATGGATGCATAAAAATCGTAGAACAAAAAAATCAATCAACAAGTCTAATCCAGCTCTTTATATCAAATTGTCAATCAAATCATACTTTATTTGGTTTGTCGCACGGAATCTAACATGTCCCGCTTCTTTGCTCTGTATTAGTGGAATGATGTGTGTTTTAGAACATTATTAAGCTATAAACGAGGTTGTATTATTACTATACATGGGAATAACCGCTTGCTAGTTGCTACATATCTCCCTTATACTATATTGACAAACAACAAAATTTATAATAGATATTATTTAACTCTTACGACTTTGACTTGACATTTTTATTCCATAGAAAACTAATAGGGTGAAGTTGAAACTGTATTTAATTGCTCCTATCAATGTGGAGAACTTTGGTACCCCAAACATACCTATGTTACTATATACAAATGTTTAGTTTGCAATTTTTTTTTTTACTAACGTAATGATGGTCACAACTTAAGAGGATCTATCAATTAATTAGTGGTCTCCACTAGGTTCTTATAAATAAATTCAAAAGCAGTTGTGATCAATCAGAAATTACGGGTCAACTTTATCGATAATGCCCAATCCCATTCTCACATCTTTGGCGACTTGTGATCTGCAACCACCCCCATCCACCAAATTTTCTAATTATAAACCGGGAAAATAAAACAAAACCAAATGTCTTTTCGAAACTTAATGTCTCTTTCATTATTTTTCTACTCATAATGAATTTGAACAAGCTATATACACCTTATGCATATACATTTGCCAAGTGAACTACAAACTGTTTTGAAGAAAACATTTAAACTTTGAACAAAAAAAAATATATATATATATATATATATTTAAACTTAAACTATAGAAATGATAAGATATATATGCCTTTTAAACATACAAAAACTTGTTGGCTACATGTTATTTGTATATAGTGAAACTAAAGGTGATTTATATGTCAAAAAGGGGGAGAAAAAAACAAATGTGATTAGGATTAACTAGTAGGGAGGAAGCAACATGGGCAAATTGCCAAATTGGTTTGATAACGGGCCCACTTGTCTACCTGACCGTTTTGGACTTTCTGAGTTAGTGTCGAAGGCTTTGGGCCCATAAAGAGGACCCCACTCAAGACAGGACAAAAGATTCTTAGAAATCACCCACGTAGACATTACAACGTGGAGATCTGACCACGTGTGCGGACTCTGACGGGGTACTCGTCAGACTGACGTGGACGGTCACGACCTGTTATTAGTTCGTTTTGTTCCAAGGTTTTTAGATGGTTACTAAATTGGGCCTTAAGATTTGCCCAATTAATATATTAGCCCATTAATTAGAGTAGGCCCAATTATGAAGAAATCTTACGCAGGCATCGCATCTCTCTCGATCGTCGACGACGATTCCCGATGGTCATCTAGAATCAACCTCCGAAGCCGCCGGAATCGTATCAAGGAGCACCTAAAACCTGTCATCTCCGACGAGAATCTGATTTCAAGTAAGTCGATTCTGTTTCGTTGCTGAGAACACAAGTTACAGCGATTGCTTTAGATGACGGAGCTGATACTTTGACAGTTTAATCGAATAATTCTTCGGCATAGGAGCCGTCGCTGGTAGGATGCTCGAGTTACGCGATAGAGAGTGCTATTTGCTCTTCTGTCTTATCGTCTTCATAATCGCTGTGCCTTGTTTCAGCCATGAAAGCCTGTTAGTGTTCTTAAAAAAACCTCGCTTTTTAGCATTTCCCCAAAAATCTTCAGTTCGTTTTTGGTATAGTAGAAGATGATGTTATCAAGTGATATTTTTCGTAGGTTTGATGGAAAACCTTTATATGCTGGGAAGGAACTGTGGAAGGAGACAATGCCATTGCAATCTGGATTTCGAGTTTACAAATTAGAGGGGCTTAAATCGAATTCTTGGTATGAAGTCAAGATATCGTACCCAGCTTCTGTATGTCAAAAATGTGTTCTCTTGTTCTTGCTCTTTTTTCTGGAAACCTTTGCTTCCATGTTTCTTGCGCTTGTTGAAAAGCTGATCTTTTGCTTTGATAACAGATACCGGCTCTCTTCTCGCTGCAACTGTTGAGGAACGGTGAAATGGGTTTGAAGCTGAACCAGATGAGAAAATTACTAAACACTGAGAAATTGATCTTCAAAACCGAAAGTCTTGAACATGTTAATGAAAACAAGGTATTTGCAATCAGCTCCTACAGCTTAGAAAGAAGCATGAAACCGAGTCCATGTTTTGTTTTTTTCTGGTTTAGGACGGATTGTATGTTTTGGTGACTGTGGAACCCGAAGGAATCGTGGCTATACCAAATTTCAAAGAGAGGGCGTTCATCATTTACAACATAGGCAAGCCTTTTTTCTACTTACTACTATCTTATCAATCTTCTTCTTCTCACAGCATAGGACTTGTGGTGAGTGAAGTGTTTCCTTCTAAAACCTGAAACTCTCATGGGTGACAGTTTGTGAAGAACAGCTCCTAGGCATCGCTTACTCATGCTGGTCAGTGGTGGTTTTAGTAGTACTGTGTCTCGTGGTCGCGCTGATTCTTCCCCGGTTTCTCCCATCTTATCGTCTGATCAAAGATGGAGATCATGACCGTTAAAGGCTTTAAGGCCCTTGCCAAGTTCATATCGAATGGGAAGCATATGGTTAATACACATACGGTTTTTTTCTTGTGTTTTGTTTCTCTCACATCTCTGTTTCTTTACTCTACTTCTTCTCTTCTTTTGTTTGATTATCACAGTGTAGAACCCTAATGACATCAAAATTCCTCCGACTAAACTGCACCATTAATCACAAAAAATAATGTTTTTTTTCCATCTTGCTCTACTCCTACTGGCACAAACTCTTTCCAAACACCAGACTTTAATCGATTATTAGAATCAAATGCCGCTTGAGTTGTCATCTTTACCATATTAATACCTTTAATTGACTAAACCGGAGCAAACCGTACCGAATCCTTGAGTAAATATTTATGTGAAATAAATACATCGATTAAACCACTCTACGTTATATCCGAACCAAACCGAAGGATTTCCCAACAAAAAAAAACACACAAATACAAATCCGAGTGGAGTACCTATATACATTTACAAATATTAGTTAAAAAAATCTGTGAATTTTACAAAAAAAAAAAAATCTTCGTTATTATTACACACAGATTAAAAATCTTCTATTATGGGTAAAAAGGAACAATGAAACGACCTTTGGAGTTGTGATTTTCGACTAAACATTAAACGGATCTTTGGAGTTGTGATTTTCGACTAAACATTAAACCTGTATCTTGATTAAATCCATGCTTTCAGATTTGGTACATAAATCCTTTAGTATACCAATTTAGAGTCGTAAAGCAATTTAAATATGACATTAGCAGGATGGAGAATATTTTGGATATCTCCTTTATATGCCAGTGAAGCGTCATGAGGCTGATTTAACTACGAAGTCTACGATTAATGATTCTGTGTGACAGATCTGAATTTCGAGACCTTCTTTAGCCTCCACAGCCTGGTGGACTCCCTCAGACCATCTCCTTTTCTCTTCAACTGAAAATATTTGAAATCCTTACTTTACTGTCTTAAATATTATAAGATACAAGTGAAAACGTCAATTTTATGAAATGAAACAAAGAGTACAAATGAAGCCAGAGCTACCTATACCTCGTTAATTATAAGTGCTTTCCCATTTCTCACTAAATATTGAACATCACGCTTGTAAAATTTCTTTAGCTTTTAAAGCACTCATACCAACCTGCATTAGTTACTATCTAACTGAAACATTCTTACTCAGAGAATCCCTTTACTCATAACTATATATGTAAGGAAAATAATACACTACTCACTCATGCCACATCAATGTGGAAAACCCATAAGCCACTACTATCTTTCAGCTCTTTGAAAAACCAAACCGAAAGATCTGCCATGATGCCATCAATTCACCCATGATTTTAAAGATTAATAAATATGATACATTGAGTTTATTTGGCGGCAGTAATCAGTAAACCACTATTAACTCGGACGGTGATAAAAAAAGAAAAGAACAAAAACCCGGCACATTACACTTTACACGTATCACAATTTGCTTTAACCGATAAATTCACGAGAGAACACACACATAATTCCATAATTACAGCGTTAATTACATAAATCAGATATGATTTGCGCGGGACCCATTCTTATGAGAGCGAAGAAGAACTCTCTCTCTCTCTCAATCCATGAATCATAATCACGCATCATCGTCGTCGTCATCACCAACTTCTTCATCATCATCAATGTGAATACCCCAAAACGAATCTTTCTTTTCCCCTTTTCTTTTCTATCTAACCTAAATCACACTGATTCGTCCCTCTTTCCCGCTCCCGCTTTTTTTCTTATCTCCATTTTCCCCTGCGCTCTATTCAAATTCGTCTCCGAATTGTCTCTCTCGTTTCTGTGTTCTGTTTTTCACAATTCGTCGCAATCAGCAATTCAGAAACCCTAGACCCATCCTTCTCTCTCTCTCTCTCTCTCTCTCTCTCTCTCTCTCTCTCTCTCTCTCTCTCTCTCTCTCTCTTCTTCCTGTCCCATCATCTGTCAAAGTTTAAAAACCCCCTTTTCCCCTAACTTTTTTTTTTATCTTCAGTTTTTTTTTTCCCGGGAAATTTTATCTCTGTCATGATCATTTCTTGTTAGTATGATCCTTTATTAGGTTTCCTTGGGGCCGATCTCGCCTTTTCCTCTTTTCCCTCCCTCTTATAGTCGCAGACCCGAGTAAACCCTAGAATCTCCATTTTCAATTCGATTTGGTTCTGTATTTTCCATCTTTACTCGCCTAAGGTTTGATCATTCAAATTATTCTCTCTAGGGTTTACTGGGTCAAGTTTTAGTAACCGCTTAGAATCGGTCCTTGTCCATACATCATCTCTCTCTATATTCCACTTGCAAAAGGTCTTGTGTCTCTGGCTCCAATCATGGCGTATCACTCGATTCCGGGCTCTGGGTTTCATTATTCGAATTCCCCGTTTGGCGATACAACCTTTACCAAGGTCTTTGTTGGTGGCCTCGCGTGGGAGACTCAAAGCGAGACTCTTCGTCGGCATTTCGAACCCTATGGTGAAATCCTTGAGGCGGTCGTTATTACCGATAAGAACACCGGTCGATCCAAAGGTTACGGCTTTGTGAGTTTCCTATCTATTGTTGATGCTTTTTTTAATATTTCTATATCTGAAGTTGGATTTTTGCTGCTTTTAATGAACAATATCCTCTGCTTCCATGGTATGCTTAGATATTATTGGGTTCTAAATTCTGCTTTAGAGTTATAATTATAGTGAATACATCTTTGGGGCTCGCAGATACAAGATGATTTGTTTGGCGTAGGATCCTAGCTCCCTGTATAAACAAAGCAAAGAAAAAAGAGTTGAGAGTTCGTAAAAATGCTGGTTTTGCTGAAACCTCTTTGGCCATCTTTGCTACTTATATGCCTGTTAGCTTATTTCCACGATTGTTGAATGACTCAGCGCTCTGTTATTGATTCTAATGGAGGATTCAGGTGACTTTCCGAGACCCAGAGGCTGCTAGGAGAGCCTGTGCCGACCCAGCGCCTATAATAGATGGCAGACGAGCGAATTGTAATCTTGCTTCTCTTGGGAGACCTCGGCTTCCTATGCAATATGCAGTGATACCCAATATTCCTGGTCAGTCTTGCTTCAGTATTCATCTGTTCCTTTTTTTTTTCCTTGCATTACTTACTGTGACCTTCATATTTTGGTGGATCATGACCGTGTAACCCTGTAATTTATTGCATTTTTTTTGTTGGTTAGGACGAATGAGACCTGCTTCCCCATATGTTGGAAGTGTGCATGGTCCTCGCGGTTCACTTTTTGGAAGCCATCCCTACCAGCAACCACCTGCTTATGGCTATCAGCAAGGAGTGATGTACCCTTACGGGTGAGTTATGCAATTTGAGGTTCATTTTTTAAATCTGTTGAAACGGACATGATTTGAAGTGCTAATCGGTTGTTATGTCTACCTGATAGTCCCACATCTCCCAAAGGTGGAAATTTTGTTCTGTCGCTTTGATCAAGTGGCATTTACTATCACAGCATGGACAATCACTTAGAGATTATAACGAGCTAGGGGTCAATAGTTATCTTCTGACACTTAGGGTTCTTGAGTGTAGCACAGTAGCACTGTGATATGACATGTTGTGATTGGTAATGTTGCAGGAAGAATACAAAAATAATTGCAGAGGATATGTCGCCGAGCTCAATTTGTTTTTGACAGGCAAGGTCATGAAATGTACTTGGACTTTGAAAAGGCCAAACGATCTAGATTTTAGGAATGAATATTTTGCAATGGACTTTTAGGCTATTTTCTCCTAGTTTTAGCATCTTCCTTTTATAGTATAATGTATCTTAGCCATCTTTCCTTTGAGTGTCTAGCAAAAGCTTTACTCATCCGTCTCTAAATTTAGTTGCTCTTTTTGGTGTTCTCTCAGGGTTACGCCATATGGACCTGAGTACATGTACTCACAGTCTCAGGTAGACATCTTAAAAATTCTGCAGACGCTTTGTTGTTTATATATGCATTTAAAACTATTTGGCTTCGCTTTTATAACTCATGGCTTCTCTTCATGGAATTGTAGGGCTTATATGGTCCTTACACGGGGCAGCAGTACCTTCAGGTTTATGGAGTACCTGGGGCAGTTAACTCACCGGGCTACCAATACGGGCAATTGACTCAGAATATTCCGGGTGGTCACGGTTACACAGCAGTACAGGGTTATTCAGTTCCAGGAAGTCATGTTGTGCAGCTTGGTGGAACCAGTGTCACTTCAACTATGTCTGCTATTCAATCTCCCTACCCTTCAGCTATAGCCGGTCCTGCCCCAACGCAGTCCCATGTCATTGTCCAGACTCCTCAGTATGTGCAGAGTAGCGGTTCTGATCAAACAACAGGGTGAAAACTCGACCAGGGTAAGTATTTATTGATTATATTAAGGATGTGAATCAGCTTGGAGATGATACACACTTACACTCCCTCGGAATACTGCAGAAAAGGGAAAGAAGTTAAAGGACAGTGAAAATGCTACTCTGAGTAGTGGCAGGCTTGCTGTTTAAGCTTTACGCATTATTTATTATAGCATTCTAGAGGTAAGCTTGTTACTTCAAACCCCCTTTTAGTTTCATTACTTGCAAATGTTTTCGATCTCAACCACATTTCATTACTGTTGTTGCAGGTTTATAAGTAGTCTTGTTCACTAAAGAAGTCAAAAAGGGTTGCTCTCAGGAAGCGGATGTTAGGGCAAAGGACAATGGAAGTTTCATGGTTCGTGCTTCTGTTATCTTAACACACTCTCTCTCTCATCATGTATATAGCCACGACAAGCTTTTCTGGCTTAAACTATATGAATGGTTTCACTCCGGAAACAAGGGTTTTCGTGGTAAACCGGTAGGAATAAGTTTGGTGTACAAAGAAACATGCACATATATTATAGAATGGTGGAATCAAAATCTGATTCTTTTGGTAGTTTACGTAGTCCTCTTACGACACACTTTCTTAAGGCATAGGAGTGTTAGTAAGAAGATTGTTAGGTAAAGCCTTTTTAAGTCCTCTCGAGTCGAGTCCTCAGCATTGTAAGTAAAAAATTATTGTCTATTGAGCTGACTTAGCTTCTTGTCTGTGCATATATCTTAGCTCCAGGGTTCTCTTTTCCATGTCTGTACAGTTTCTAGGCTGATTAAATTGTTTTTCTGGATATTCCTTATTGTTTCTGTCTATGGCTCCATCTTCTCAAGAATCTCTTCTGTTTTTTACTCCATTTTTCTCGTTAAAATATCTTCTTTTACTATTAGTTTTGGAGATGAAAAGATTTGAATTAGTTTAAAACCCACCATCGTCAATATTTAATGTCCATATCGAGGTAATGGCAAGGTAGTGATGTTTGGATGTCCGTCAAAACTGGATCTTGAGATGGTTATTGGATTAGTCTGCACAAACAAATGAATCAACCAAATTTGTAGAATCATCGCAGTTATATTTTATGTTCCCATTTTCCCACCACTTCTTTTTGTCTTCTTTTCAATTCTCATTCCTTTCCCACTCAAAATTGTACTATAACCTCAAATATTTTCCTTCATTAGCTTAAAATTTGACTTTGGAGCAAAATATCCGTTAAAATAAACACTTTCTTAACGATCAAGAAGTAGCTACATTTATCTGAGACATCATTACTAAATACACAACCTCAAATATACTATATCTGAGACATCAAAAAGTATTGTTTGTTCATTTTAGGATAAGACAAATAAAATATATATGGGCTTTTGACTATTTAGAAGCCCAGAAGTGTTACAACAACACGGCACGTGGCACAATCCAGGTGACAACTGCGGTTATTTGCGGGTCCCACGTGGTAGCCACGTGTAACGAGGAAAGGAGCCCATCCTCTTTGCATTTTGTCTTTTGCCCCTACCAAAATATTTCTCGTCTCCTCTCTCGCTGGGAATCTCGTCTGCTCCGTAGAGCTACCCATCACTGCAAAACAAGGTCAAAATCCATTATTGCTATTTTTCTCTGATGCAAGTTTTCGGATTTCTTCTCGTCTTCTCCTTCACTGTGTGATAAATCTTATTAACTGAACTCGATGGACTTGCCAAGATTGAAATTGCAGAATCCCTAATTAGCTGTGGTTTAGTTTTGTGGAGCAATGTGGGATAGATTCTTGCAATAAAGAGTACCAATTGTTTCTTCATCAAGCGTAATGACCTTTGTTTTTAACAAAAAACTGTTTTTGAACTAACTTGTCAAATCAAATGGGTATCTAGTTTCATGACTTGGATTATGATGTTTTCTGGGTAGAAATGAAAAGTTTTTCTACGTAGCTGATGATCTACATCAGGACAGCTTTCTCATCGTTTCACTATATTTTCAGATTCAGTTTTTTTTGTTTTGCTTATCTTACTTAGATTCTGCTGTTAAGGAGGGCTCGGTTACGTTATCTCCTTAGCGATGATAATAGAGATTGTTCAAAATAGGTAAAACACAGGGATAAAAATGGTGGAACTTAGGAAGCATTTAACACTAAATCTGGCAAATTTGAGACACGCTCTCAATTTGTTTACTGTAGCTACAGTTTTTGGCATGTCCTTATGTGACATTGATTGTGCCACATTCATTTGTAATGCAGCTTTATTATATATGTAGTTATCTGCCAAAATCGAGAACGAGCAAGAGGAAAACATGAGTCTGTGTTGCGATGGGTTATCGAACGATCAGTGTTTCTTGGTCAACTTCATCATGAGCAATTACTTGGGTCCTGATTTGTATTATGATAACCCAAGATGCTCAGCTTCTCAAAGATTAGCCAAAGGTTTGCCTCCTTACACACTGAATCACATTGGATCTTCCTCTCTAAATGTTGCGCAGCTACAGAACTTGTACTATTATGTACTGAGAAACGCCGACTCCAGCCTCCTCCTTCGTCCGGACATGATTTATGCGTATCTGAAGGGATGCATACCTTTGGAGCCCTCTCAAAATTCTCATCAGTTCACATATTTTTTCCCGACGAGTCTTCACCCGCATAAAAGTTATTCACCGAGCCAAGAGATAGTTGAGGGGTATTCTCCGAGCCTCGAGATTGTGAAGGGGATTGTAGTTATCGATGATCCTGCAGTGGAGTTCATAAACAAGGAAGAACTCCAGAGATTCAGGTGCTTGTCATTGCTGAACGACCTGAAAATCGACAGAGCCGTGTCTTTATCTCCTCGACCTGTGCAGCTGGATGGAAGCAGGAGAACCGAGCAGGACTGTTCAAGAAATGGGGAAGTGACGACCAATGGACTTGTCACTAACCAAGACGTCAACTCATATGGCGAGCTTGGAGAAACGTGCAAAAGAAAGAAACAGGAGGAAGCAGTTGCTGATCATGATGTTTGTGTAATCAGTGAAACCCGAGAAGGAGTTTCAGGAAGCATACCACAGAGCCAGGGAAAGGAGCAGGGCTGTTCAAGAAATTGGGAAGCGACATCCAATGGACTTGTCTCTGACCAAGACTTGCCTAAAGAATCATGCAAGAGAAAGAAAAAGGAAGAAGAAGCAGTTGCTGATCATGCTTTTTGCGGAATCAGTAAGACCCCAGACAGATTCCGGGAGACGTACAAGAGAAAACGGTTCAAGAACTCATCAACTAAAGCAAGAAACAAGAATGGCGAAACTCTTACGGAAAGAGACAGAACATATAAACCCACCAGCCTACCACTTGTAATTGTTCCTCCTGAAATTAAGGAAGGTGATGCAGAGCCGGCGGTTGTTACCACGGGAACAGCCAGCAAAGAAAATTTTGGACCATCCATTGGGACTGTCGACATTGGTGTCAACAAAGTTGCTTACTGTTTTCAGGTTGCTTTGCCCGGTGTCTACAAAGACTACGGTATTATATTTATGTTTTGCTAACTATATCCACACATGTCTCATCGGGTCAAAATGATGAACACATGAGTTGGTTTGGTCTTCATTGTGCAGGTGAGTTCAGCTGTGAGATTGAATCAGATGGAAAGGTTACACTGGAGGGATCGAGTACTACAGGAGTGAAAACGATCAAGAAGTATTCTCGGGTTTTCGAGATGAATAACCGGAATCTGTATCCGCCTGGACCGTTCAAGCTATGTTTTAGTCTCCCAGGACCAGTTGATCCGCGGCTAGTCTCTCCTGTCTTCCGAACAGACGGTATTTTCGAGGCTGTCGTCATCCGACTCAAAAACTCTAATTAAACCAGAGGTTCCTTCAAGTTGGGAACAGTAGGATCTCTGTAAATCTTTTTTTTTTGTTAATGGGGATCGAAGCTAGGCCCTAATCAAACAGCATGTATCTAACTTTTTGGACATGGCTCTGTCGATTTTGCGTGATTTGCTAACTATCCGTCCGTCTTTCTTCGTTATGTTGATTCAGAAATGTTTTCATGTTAACTTGTTAAGACTCGCCGAAGCACTAATGTTGTACTTGTTACTACTCTTCATCAGTGAATCAAACCGAAACTAAACGGATTAATACAAAAAAAACGACAAGAATTCTATACAGAAAATAGCTGAAGTTTAATTCCTCTCTTTTCCCATTCCTTATTTCTTCGAATCACTCCTGCAATTCCCTGAAACCATAATCCCCTGATCTTCAAATAACAAAAGTGAAACAAGACAAATATCTGCAAGATCGTATTGATTGTTAGGCGAGTAATGTGCATACATTCAATAAATATTGTTGAACTGAATCCTAAAGAAGGCGTTGGAGCTTGGAACTTGTTTGTGCTAGAGAAATGTCGTAAGATTGAATCATCTGGAACACACACACCTTTGTTATATATACCAATTCAGTTTTTGAACGTTTACTTAGGATATTATCACGTTGCTAGAAGAAATCAACACCAGATTTGATCTTTATTCTAGTTTCATCTGCTTCAATTTAATCTCAAGATCTTTGAAACTGTTTTTGCAAATACTTATTACGCAAGAAACTGTTTAATCGGCTCTTGCTCTGTTTTCTTTAATTACTTCCTTTCCAAGAAACTGTCTAGTTTAGTTTTCCTTTGTTTTTCTTCAGTTTAATGCTCTCTGTGTTTCTTTAGTCGCCATTTACTTAAGCCCCTTACTTCATTCTTAGAAACTTTCATATTGCTCATAGTTGTTACAACAAGTTGTATTCATAAATCAAAAGCGAAAACAATTGAAATTAGAGTTTCATGATAACATTCATATAGATATGAAGATAATGATGAAGATTCAGTGATCGGAGATGCTCTCATTACTTAGTTTTGGTGGGGAAAGAAGCCATCTTGTTGATACCACAAAGACCCTCTGGTTTCCCAGTGTTCCTCTTCATCCTGATGTAACCTTTCTCTCCCCACTTTGGTCCCCAAGAATTCTTCACAATGATGTAATCGGAACCCTTGCTTGATCCGTACCCAACCGCAGCCACACCGTGGTCGAGATCAACCCCGCACCGCCCATCAAACACGCCCTTCATATACCAAAACACACCATGATTCAAATATCAAGAAGATTAATATATCTATCAAACAACCATTTTCTTGATTCATAGGTTTTATCAGATGTACTTACGCCGCTGTAGAACTGGAACTCTCTACCAGAGGCATCAATGGCGACACTGAGAGGCTGATGAGCCAATGCCTTCAAGAGACTCTTCTCGTCGTTCCTAGGTACATCTTGGTGCCCATTGATAGTCACCATTTCAGATTCGTCCTGTATAAAAACAGAGAGGATTAGCGTTGTCAATTTGACTATCATATTTTCTTTATCCTGATTTTTTTTTCGCATTTACGCAAAAAAAAAAAAAAACCTTTTGTGTCTCGCAAGTTCCTTCTTTCATTGAGTAAGGATAATCCTCTTCCTTGCGAAGACCTCCGTTCTTGACAATGTACTCAAAAGCATAGTCCATGAGACCACCGTTGCAGCCATTGTTGTAGGTTGTGTCACAGTCTATGAGTTCTTGTTCAGACAATGTTGTCAAATTTCCTGTCACAATCTTGTTTATACCTTCCACTGCAGCTACCGTGGAAAACGCCCAACAACTTCCTGCGAAACAATTGAAAAACGAAAATGATAACGAAAACAAATCGAGACTTTAACACGTCGGATGAGACTTTAAAACAAAACCAAGACTTGAGATTACCGCAAGAGCCCTGGTTCTTGACATAGCTCACGGCTCCTTTCTTTCTCCAGTCCACAGATTTAGGCAAAGCTTCAACGTCCTTGTAGGCAAACTCTTCGTACGATCTTTCCTCGTCGGGCCTCGCAATATCAGTGTTGAGCCCCAAATACTTATTCTTGAATTCTTCGTGGCTCAAGTCCGCAAACTCGTTCAGACCAAGCCAGTAGCTTTTCACTTTCTTGTTAGTCTCATCGATGTGCTTCAGATTATCCTTGAAAACTTCGAACCTAAGCAACTTCTCTTCAACGGTTTCGTAAGCTTTCTCGAAATTGGATATCCAGTTCTCGAAGAGCTCGATGAGTTTGTCATGAGACTCCAAATCCTCAGGGGAATATCCAACGATGGAGTAATCGTGGGAAGCAGCGAAAGAGAGGGAGAGAGATGCAGCGGATAAGGCAAGAACAAAACAGAGGATTCTTGAAGGCGAAGAGACAGCCATTTGAGTAGTTCGAATTTTTCTTTGTTTTTTTGTGTTAGTTGAATAGAGTAACTGGAAGAGAAGAGTTTGTTTATATAGGCTGAAGATTTTGATAGATGATCTTTATGCTTTAGAGTAAAGTTGTCTGGGTCTGAATCTTGTATAAAGACTGTATCTTTAAGCTTAGTTTTGTCTTCTTAGAGGTTACTTTCACTTCAAGTAAAAATTGTATATGATTTGTTTAGTCTTGCTCAATCATCTAAGAGAGGCATTTGGATGATTATATGACCATTCTCCTAATCAAGCCCACATTGAGCCCACATATTTAGAGGTGGTCGTGAATTTGAAGAGTGAGAATTGGCCCTTTATAGAAATGGCACGATGTTTTACGTTCCCGACATTTCCCTTGCCCGGAACAACGCGCCGTTCTGGTCTTTGAAACGGCACAGTGTTTAAAGTTGGAAAGTAATTTATTACAATGGAATTTTTTTTTTTTGTTTTTGTTTGCTAACTACAATGGAATTTGTTTAGCCATAGGCTTTAATTTAGTCAAGCCATGTATTATTATGATGGGATCGAGAGTTACATTAGAACTATAGTATTTATAAAACATGAGATTACAGTGAAGTGTTTTTCTTTGTCATTTTATAAGATAATAATCTGTAAAGAACAAAGTTTGACCTGTCAATCCACCAAGATACCTGATAACAAGTCAGGAGGATCAGATCTTCATGTTTAAAACTTATTTTATTGTATATTGATGATGACCACCAACCACTATGAAATAAATCATCACCATATATTCATAAAAGTGGATCATTCCCTCATTTAAAACATGAATCATATATGTAAAAGTTCAATGGAAAACTCACTGGTTCTATCTTTACAGGACATCTACTACTACTTGCATAAATGAAAATAAATAGTTGGTATTTCGTTTGTAGGGACAAAATCAACAAAAGATATAAAAATGAAAAATGGAAAAAGAAAAACATATCATTAGATCCGTTTGAGGTGGAGACACGTGGTCGGAGATGCTCGAATGATTTGGGAGCACGAACTCTACGTCTCTACGAAGAAAAAGACCCTTGTCTATTTTTCTTAGGTCATATATATATTATTTCAGAATTAACATAGATATAGAAAAAGAAACGTTGAATATTATTTCTCAAATTGCGTTGCGCAAAGAAAGATAAAATCATCATCAACTTGTGGAAGAAGAATTATAATTATTGATACATATGCTATCACTGTTGAATTTTTTAAAATTATTATGGTGTATCCTCTTGTCGACTAAATATTTCATATTCGATTATCTATAACATATAAAATACTAGTTGAGGAGAAGTAATTGGTAGGGCATAAAATGGTACGTGAGAAAGTGACAAAGCACTAATGGTATAAAATCACATGCCCTCTCTCTCTCGTTGACGCCATGTTCATCTCCCATTGCACTTACCCCATCTGTCTCCTAATTATAATTTTTCTTCCTATACTAGTTAAACTTTTAGTTTTGTTTAATAGTAATTTGTGTATTTTCCTTCCAAAATATCTTGTTTCTTTAACGTAAATGTACAGTGTCAATACATTCACGATTGTGTTGTGTTTATGTGGGTGTTTTATATATGTCTATGATTATGTGGGTGTTTTATATATGTCTATGAAGTAAATAAGCTGATATAATTGAGCTAAATGATGATCACTTGTGAATTTAGGTTGTTAAATAATATTTTGCAAGAAATGTTACCTCCACCAAGCAAAGCAATTACCAATATATGTTTGTAAGTGTGACATTCCAAATTTGAAATATTAACACAGTTTGTTAATATATCTGATCAATTCCGTATTAATATTACGTATTAATTTGTCAACTTGAGTATGTTTTTTTCGTTCGTTAACATCTGGAAGTACGTTAGTATTGTAAGTTTGGATATGTACATGTATATACTAGTTAAAAACTGTAATTTGAAATTTTAGTTAATTAAAATTATATGACTAAAAGAAGATTAACGAAAGGAAGATTATGGAAGAAACAAGACCAATTAGCACGTTATTAACTTTGGACAACGGTTGAGATGTTGGTTTATAACGTGGATCCTCTGCATTTGCATGTTCCACGTTTGATCCAATCCTAAATTATTAAAACGTTTTCACCTTCATTTCATTGCTGTTTCTTTTTGGTCTCTTCTGCTATTTGGATATCATAGACATAGAATATTAAAGTTATGTACGGGTAATTGTGTTAACTTCTGAAGATTCCAACTCGTGACATGGGAAGAAAGAAAAGATTCAGATTAGTGACCAGTCTTTAAAACGGTGCTTTTTCATTGGAACAGAACGCTGGATATTTAGTTACGAGGGTGAAAAGAATAGTTGTATGTTAAAGTCAATAGAGTACAGATGTTGCAAAACTAAAAAAGTTAGCGAGCATATCAAGTTATGAATGTAACTTTCTTTAGAAATTAACATAGTCAACAGAATCAACGGTTTAAACTCTACTTCTTTTGTTCCTTCTGTTTCAAATTAAGTGTTACTTTCACACTTTTCACATAAATTAAGAAAATTACTAAAAAATTTGTTTTATCATTCGTTCACACACAAAATAACATTATATTTCTAATTAATACATTAATATAATAAGGTTAAAACATAATTTTTATTTAAAATTTTACATTAAATATAAAAAACGATACTTTTTGTGAAACAAAAATAAAATTCGACATTCTTTTTGAAAAGAGAGTAATAAATAGCAAAATTAATGGTTAATTATTTCCAAGTAACTAGAGTCAATTCTTAACATGCTCATTTTTTGAGTCAAAGCCATTTGCCTAACATTGGCAAGAAAAACATATGTAAACTGATTAGGAAACATACTTTCCTTTTATAAATTTGGTTAATTCAAATGCCACATGTAGTTATGTCGTTTCAATTAGTTGTATAGGTCCAACATTGCTGCAATTTTAGTTACCAACCCTAGTACATCCGGTTGGATGCTCAAAAGACAATCTTCTTTTTGTTCTTTTCTATGTTTTTGTGATATTATTAGATAAAAGAAGTTTTGGATTTTGGTATATAATACTTTGCTAGTAAAAACAGATCAAATCATCTTGAATTTGGATTTTTGTTGAAATAATTAATATGAGTAATTAAGATTTATTGTTCTTTCTAATTTTTTTCATTATATTTAATAAAAAAAACTCTAACTAATCTTTACACAATAATTAATAGTAATTGTTCACTAATTTTTAAAATTAATTTAATCATTTGTATAAGCTATCTTTAATGCTTTTTCAATCTATTTCTTTTAAGGTTTATCCGTTCACAAAAAGGTCCAACTATAAAATAATTTAACCAATTATATAAATTTTGGTTTTACAAAAAAGGTCCAACTTTTACACGAAAGTGACAGACAACCGGACCACTTAGATAGATTTTGGGAGGGAATGTAACTTTCATATAATTAAAAATTATATTATTTTGACGAAAAACGAAATTTTATCCTTTGTCGTAATCCATGTCGCAACGAACGGACCCGCTAAATTACTAGATTACTCCCAAATCTACTCATAAATGAGTCATGACATTGATTTTTTATTTGTATTCATATATATATTTTTTCCCCAGATCTTTACATCGGATATTTGATTATATTAAAAATGGTTAGATCTTTATAATCTTCATTAGTCAAATTTTTTAATCCGAATTTTCCTTCATGACTGTGTCTATATAAAGTTTCCAAGAACATTACAATCCTCGTAAATCGCTCTCCACCACATATTTTTAGCCGCCAGAAGAACTGATGTAAATGCAGTTTTGTCCTGTTTTCAAAAAAAATTAATCCCGGCGGTGAGAATTTTCTCGGCAGATTCTGGAGCATATTTCTCTTGGGAACTGTCTCCGATCTCCTTTTTTTAAAAACAAAACTTTTTGTAGCAATAATTTCTTTTTGACTTCATATGTAGCAATAATTTTAAAAACCATTACTTGTCCTTATTGTAGATTCCATCGCCGGTCCTGCTTGTAATAAAACTAATCTCTAAACTTGGTAAAGATCAAGCGAGTCCAAATCAATCTTACCTATTTCAACGCCTCTTTTCTTTCTTGATTTATATAAATTGAAGACTTAAAAGCACAGGAACAAAAAAAAGAGAGAGAGCTCAGTTTCTCGTAATTGCCGGAGAATTGTACTTTCAGAAGAAAAGGTGAGACCTTTTTTCCTACAATGTGAAGCAATCTTTTGGGTTTTATCTCTTTGCTTTCGCATAAGCTTCCTTACTGTTGAAACTTCACAACAGCAATCCTTTTCTCCCTTAGGTTTACTGCATTTTTCACCTCTATTGATGATATTGATATTATGTTTAGTTTGTTTTTTTTTTTATAAAAAAATTCTAACGGAGCAAATTCTTATTGGTTTTATCAAATTTATCATTTTGGGATTTAGATCTGGATTGTGAGAGATTTAGAATTTTTTTTTGTTTGTTTTAGTTTCATGGTTGCTAAAAGTTCAAAACTTGAAATGTTGAGAATCACTGAATCGAACTGATTTTGAATTTTGATGGTGTTTAGGGTTTGTTGAGCAATGAAGGGAGCGACGCTCGTTGCTCTCGCCGCCACAATCGGCAATTTCTTGCAAGGATGGGACAATGCCACCATTGCTGGTTTGATTTTTGTTTTCTCTCACTCTTTTTTGCTGCAATGGAATATGTTTGGATCAGAGATTTTCATTTTTGAATTCTTGAAAAAATGTGCCGTTTGCTGAAATTCTTTGCAGGAGCTATGATTTATATCAATAAAGACCTGAATCTACCAACCTCTGTACAAGGTCTCGTGGTAGCAATGTCACTGATCGGTGCCACGGTCATCACCACTTGCTCAGGACCCATATCTGACTGGCTGGGAAGACGACCGATGCTGATTTTATCATCGGTTATGTATTTCCTCAGCGGTTTGATAATGCTATGGTCTCCAAATGTGTATGTCTTGTGCTTAGCTAGGCTTCTTGATGGGTTTGGCGCCGGGCTCGCGGTTACGCTTGTCCCGGTTTACATCTCCGAGACCGCTCCTCCAGAGATCAGAGGACAGCTAAACACTCTTCCTCAGTTTCTTGGCTCTGGTGGTATGTTCTTGTCTTACTGTATGGTTTTCACCGTGTCCCTGAGCGATGCGCCTAGCTGGAGAGGGATGCTCGGTGTCCTCTCGATCCCTTCTCTCGTTTATTTGTTCTTCACGGTGTTTTATCTGCCCGAGTCTCCTCGTTGGCTCGTTAGTAAAGGAAAAATGGAAGAGGCTAAGCGCGTTCTTCAGCAGTTATGCGGCAGAGAAGATGTCACCGGTAAGGTTTCTTTCTCGCTGTCTTTCTTCCGTTCTAATCACTTTCGTTTTTCCTCTACTTAACGGTTCTTGTTTTGCAGATGAGATGGCTTTGCTTGTTGAAGGGCTTGATATCGGAGGAGAGAAGACATTAGAGGATCTCTTTGTAGCTTTGGAGGATCATGAACCACACGATACGCTTGACACCCTTGATGAGAACACAGTACGTCTCTACGGAACCCACGATAACCAATCCTACATTGCTAAACCAGTCCCTGAGCATGAGAGCATGCGCTCTCGGCACGGAAGCTTAGCACACCAGAGCATGACCCTTAAAGATCCCCTCGTGGATCTATTCGGAAGCCTCCACGAGAAGATGCACGAAGCAGGTGGAAGCGGTGTCTTCCCTCGCTCCGGGAGCATGTTCAGCACTAACGATGCGCCACACGGCAAACCAGCTCACTGGGAAAAAGACGTAGAGAGTCAATACAACAGAGACAACGATGACTACGCGACCGATGATGGTGCGGCGGACGATGACTCGGATAACGACCTGCGTAGCCCGTTGATGTCGCGGCAGGCAACGAGCATGGACAAGGACATGATCCCGCACCCTACGAGCGGGAGCACGCTCAGCATGAGGCGGCACAGCACGCTTATGCAAGGGAACGGAGAGGGCAGCATGGGGATTGGTGGTGGTTGGCATATGGGGTATAGATATGACAACGGCGAGTACAAAAGGTATTACCTTAAAGAAGACGGCGCTGAATCTCGCCGTGGCTCTATCGTTTCTCTTCCCGGCGGACAAGACGGTGGTGGCAGCTACATTCACGCTTCCGCACTCGTGAGCAAATCCGTTCTTGGTCCTAAATCGATCCATGGATCCGCCATGGTTCCCTCGGAGAAAACCGCTCCCTCTGGACCGCTCTGGTCTGCTCTTCTTGAACCTGGTGTCAAGCGTGCGTTGGTCGTTGGTGTCGGCATTCAGATACTACAACAGGTGAAAAAATGACACATTTCACCAAGTGTCATCTTTCTTTTCCTCGAATGTTTCTATCCATTAACCTCTTTTGTTAAACCCTTGAATGCAGTTTTCGGGTATCAATGGAGTTCTCTACTACACACCTCAGATTCTTGAACGTGCTGGTGTAGACATTCTTCTTTCGAGCTTCGGACTAAGTACCATCTCAGCGTCATTCCTCATCAGTGGCTTAACAAGTTTACTCATGCTTCCAGCTATTGTCGTTGCCATGAGACTCATGGATGTCTCCGGAAGAAGGTCATTGTTGATAAGCTCTTTACTTAATGCCTTGTTTTCTCATAAGATCCTCTGGTTTCTGAAACCATCTTCTTTTCTTTGCAGAGCATTACTTCTGTGGACAATCCCGGTTCTTATCGTCTCACTCATCGTCCTCGTCTTCAGCGAGCTCGTACACATCAGCAAAGTCATAAACGCAGCGCTCTCCACGGCCTGTGTTGTGATCTACTTCTGCTTCTTCGTGATGGGTTACGGTCCGATTCCGAACATCCTCTGTTCCGAGATCTTCCCGACAAGAGTCCGTGGTCTCTGCATCGCCATTTGCGCTATGGTTTTCTGGATCGGAGACATTATCGTCACTTACTCGCTTCCCGTTCTCCTAAGCTCGATCGGGCTCGTGGGTGTTTTCAGCATTTACGCAGCGGTTTGCGTTATCTCGTGGATCTTCGTTTACATGAAAGTCCCCGAGACTAAAGGTATGCCTTTGGAGGTTATCACAGACTACTTTGCCTTTGGAGCTCAACCTCAAGCTTCTCTTCCTTCCAAGGATATATAATTTGTAACCTTGATTCTTCTTCTTTTGCTCTCTGTACTTAAAGATTCTCTTCATCCCCCCCCCTCCCTTTTTTGGTTTCTAAGGTTCTCATTTCGTTTTCTTTTTTTTTTGGTTACATTGTTTTGTTATCGCAATCAATTTATAATAATTAATTTTCTCTCTATCTTTAACACTTTTCAAAATGGTTTGGCACGTTTATTTGGTGGAATGCATCGAAAGTACTGATGCTTACGAAGATTTGAGATTCAAGCTCCTTCTCTTCTCGTCTAAGTAAATAATTCAAAAAAGAAAACATAGATTTAGGGCTTTTGAAGGTTTTTACTACAAAGGTTATATCCGGTTTCTTGAAACGCAAGTGTGATTCGTCAAGAATACAGGACGGTCTCAACGGAAAAACTCTATTTACAATTAGCTTAGTGCGTCTCAGGACTTGTTCGTCTCCTCAGAGGATGAATTGCCTGTATGATTCTCCTGGATGTTCTCGTCGTCGAGCTTGGCTGAGAACTTGTATGGCCTCTGAAAATCTCTGGCATTTTGACTGTCTATACCCAGATTATTCAATTTCTCCTCCTGTAAGAAACACTCATCATCATCAATCATTATTTCTCAGTACTCGTTGATTCACCCAAACACACAAGAATGAGCTCTCAAAAGTAAAAAAAAGAAGCTTACATTTTGTAAAGCTTCAAGCTTTTTCTGCATAGCTTCATGCTCGGCTCGAATACGGAAAGGAACACCTTGCTTTTGGTAGACATTGTTCTGGGCAAGGTCCTGATCAATATCGCTAACCGTTGTTGCAAACGGATGATTGGCCGGAATCCATCTGACTGTATCAGGATCAACATCAGGCGGTACCGAGTCTCCTTCTTTGAGAAAAACCGTTGGACGCTTCCATTGGTAAGCCCTTGACCTTCTTTTCTGATGAATGGTTTGTTCTTTCTCTGTAAGTGTGACTGGAGCTAGCCGATAAACTTTCCCGCACATCTCTACCGTTGTGCTTCCTTTACCAAGTTTAACAAAAGGGTTGTTGAATGGGTCTTCGTAGTTAAGAGTCTTTGAGCTGACAAAAGAGAATGAAAAAACACCATGAGTAAGTTAGACCAATCCATTTACATGAATCCGCATTATGTGTTTATAAATGACACTAATTTGAAAGTGGCGGCTTTTGGGGAAGATAAAGAGTGTGTGTGAGTTTCATACATGCCTCTTCTATCACCAGATCTCAGCTGGCCTCGTCTCACAAGATCAGCAACAGAGCCAGCAGGACGGTCATCTCTTGACTTTCTTATTACGTAAGCCCGAATAGCAGCGACCAAAACAGTAGCTGCGATGCAGATCCCGATCCAAATGCTGTTCCCTGAGCACTTTTTCATCTAAAGAGAGAAGATTTCGAAAAACCCAAATGAAAATCACCACAAAGTTTATCTAAATCTGTTTTCTTTTGCCATTTCCTATGAAGCCTCATCAACATAAAACCAATTCAAGAAGTAAAAAAAGTGCTTAAGGAAACTAGGAAAGTAACATTTTCTATTGAACTAGTCACTGGAGACTGCCTGATTCTGGACAACCAAACTTAAGATTTGACTAGACTTTATCAACTATCCAGCAAAATCAGGAAAGACTCAAAATTTAGGTAGCATCAACGAACTGAATATCATATAGGTAAAGAGAAATCCTACGAATACAGGCCCCAAAATCATATTTTGTTAACAATTAAAACTCAAGCCAGAACAAGAGAGAATCATACCACGAAGATGACAGGAGGAAGTGTGGTAATCATACTCCGGAATCTCAAAACTGAACCCTCGGAATCACAGGAAATGTTGGTAATCATACTCCGGAATCTCGAAATTGAGTTCTCTGAATCACGCGAAACGTCACCCTGAGCCGTGGCAACATCATCGTCATCATTCTGAGTATTCTGAATTTCTTCATCTGGAGTCGAGGAATCACCAATCGATTTGCACACGAACCTTCGGCTGGTTTCGACTTGAAACCAGTTCAGATTTTTGGGTCTCCGTTTGAACACAACGAAACTTGAAGGAATCAGGAGCTTGGATCTTCCAAGCGACGACTATGGTACCAAAGACAAAAACAACGCGAGATTTAAGATTTCATTCACCGATGAAAGGACTTAGAAGAGAACGCAGTATCGGTAAGTATGAATGGGGAAGCGATTGGCCGATTTTACCTGAGGATTGCAGAGAGAATGGAATTGGAGAGAATCAATGGACGCCATTTCATGCTGAGAAAGGAACAACACTCACCACCATACGGGTGTTACGATTTATTCGACCTATTTTTTGTCGTTTATATAGTTTAAAATGTACAGATTAGACATGGGGATTCGTGGCGCAATGGTAGCGCGTCTGACTCCAGATCAGAAGGTTGCGTGTTCGATTCACGTCGGGTTCAAAATTCCCGAAACAGTTCGGAATTCCCCAATTTTTTTTTAATTTAGATTGTTAGTAGAAACGGCACGAAGATGACTGGGATGTACGCACAAACGGCACACATGTCGTTTCTGTTAAGAGAATCATCCAATTAAACAAGAGAAAGTGGCCACTTGGTCGCTGAGGTTGGGCCGTTAAGAGAATCCAAGAAAGACCCAAATATTTATTCCTCAGTCAAAATGCTCAACACTTGAAAAGTTAAACTTCTCACGGATGCTTTTTCATTCACCACTATCCAATATTCCCAAAAACTTTTTTTATAATCATTCATAAGGGATCAATTAAACTGTATATATATAAAGGCAAAATCATCGAACCACCCACTAGAAATGGAACTTTCTAGTTGTGCAAAAAGGTCACACTCAGTACAAACTACAGAGTTTGGTGGATTCTTTGCCTTTGCTATATTGGATTTTTATTTATTTTATATGTCAGTTTATGTTTATATATTACACACATGTAATGAAGCCACGTTTTTCAAATATGAAACATTTTTTTTAGTTTTTCGTAAACTGTTATTCTAAATTGTAAATGTAATCAGATAAATGAACTTGCTCGTAAGTTGCGTTTGCATGCATAAACACATATCTGATGAAACAAACTAAATGTAGTGTTTTTCAAGATGCGAGCATACTAATCTTAACATGTTAACAATGTATTTTAAATAAAAACTACGCATAAAGATCACATCGAGATCAAACCTCATAGCTTTGTTTTTAAGTATTTGGCAAATCTAGACGCATAAATCCATATAAGCAATGGTGTCAGAATCTACACATGAAATACTGTTTTATTTAGCAGGTATTTATTTCGCAACATCCATTTTTTAAAAGTGATACTATTAAACATTCACGTAATAAACAGAAACAACCAGTAATGCACAAAATAGTGCAGAACATAAATATGAGAATCTCCAGCTTCATTGGTAAACTTTACATCTCTCCTCAATTTAGTCTGCGAATTTAAAGTCGTTCAGCAAAACATAATTGCATCTCCTCCTCACTTTCTGGTTCCTACTTCTCTTTGTTGGTCATGAAATACATTTTATTTTTGTTGGGACTTTTTCTCGCATTGCTGCAGCGGAGAGCTTCAAAACAACGAGAATAATCTTCATCATGTCATATCTAACAAATTAGTTACACTTTGTAATTTTATAAATAAATATAATGATATTTAACCCCTAACACCTCCACAAAAATTGTCTAACCAACAAATTATTTTCTTTTGTTGAGAAATTTCTTTTTATGTTTTGTGACAAAGTATATATATGATTTCAGTAAATATAATTATTGGTATGCATAAATATTCAATATAATATATTTTCTCTCAGAATCCATAGCTTGAATTTGATGTTAATAGTCGCAAGTTTTTCGTTAAACTTCAGGTGAATGGTCATAATATTTTTTTCAATTAAAAAGGGATTTAATTAGAATATAAATATGTATATAATATGGTTAGCAGCACTAGCACAAGGACGCACTCTCCATAGTGGAAATGCTTGTGATGGGATTATATGGTGGACCATCCACCGTATTAAATTCAACGGCTCCCCTAAAAACGAATAAATAATACTCGTTCTAAATAACTAGATCAAACGAAAAATAACTAAATCACTCAATTGTTGACAAAAAAATACAAAAAGACTAAACAATTAATTTATAAATAAAGAATCCCTTTCTTAAAACATGAACTTAAAACTCTCAATATATTTGTTAGGTCAAAACTCAGAAGGTAGAAGACGACAGACAATACAAAGAGAATGTCTGGCAAGTTGCAATTATACTAATCAGTAATCACTATTTAATTTCGACTAGACATATCTATGTTCTGATATTCCCAGTAATTTCTACCAATTATAAATTATGATTATTAGTTATGCATATTTTATGTATTGTAATTTACATTTGAATTTTATTTAGGTTGAATTTACTTTTAACGTTTTCTTTTCAAACGTACTATTACAATATTTAAAAGGTTCGTTCGCACAAAAAAAAAATATTTAAAAGGTTCGTGTTCCTAAAATTCTGTAAACCCGAAAAACAAAAAAAACAATTGAAGAGACAATACTCAGCCATACGGAAAGTATTTAATTCTTGCTTTACAAAATAAATGTATTGAAATACGGAAAGCGAAAACTCAGCCAATGCATTACGTACCATTTGTAACACACACAGTGGTCAGATTTTACTTTCCCATTTATTAGGGAATATTCCATAGTTAGCAATCAATTATAAAAAAATAAAGTAATCAACTGACTGAATAGTCTTTCAAACCACAAAAATCAACTGATTGAATAGTCTTTTCGTGCTTCTATTTTTTAAAAATAAAATTATGTTGTATTCATATGATTTAATAATATTGCCTTCAGACATTATACACTGGAATCCAGTGTTCACTCCAGTTTCGTTTATGACTATTTTAGTGAGAGCATATTATTTTTTCAACCAAGTTAAACAACATAGTGGTTAAAGCTAGCGACGAATTGTTAAATTCAAAAATAGCCTTTGACTAGTTAACTTGAGGTTCATAGAACAGGCTATCGATCGATAGTGTCACTAATGAATATATTTATCTCCTCAAAACCATACTTTTCAGTTTAGTTTTCATTCTAAAGAAATCAACAATCAATGCAAATCGTTAAATTTTTCATAGACATGTAAATCTTGAGGAATACATCTTAGAAAATATCATATATTTTTTTTAGCCTGCTCGACCCGACGATTATTTATTGCTGTCGTGTCTTTTATTCTTTTTTTCTTTATGGAACTAGTCTTTTTTCTTTTGTCATGTAACCAATTAAATCGGTTAGATCACTTTGTTAATCAATTTGTAAAACCTAAATTTTCATTTTTAATGATATTTTCATTCATAGCAAAAATAACAATTTGTTCTTTCACACATACGTAAAACTAAATGACTGACACAAACTTAACAAAATGATCAATGCAAATCGTTAAATTTCCATTTCATACAATATTTACAAGTTACAGTAATGTACATAAATAGAATAAACACTATCCAGTAAAAGTGATCTGCAGTAAAACATAGAGATATCTAAAAGGCGAAGGTAAAAAAATAAATGGGAAAGTAAAATAAAGAAGAAAAAAAATCAGGGCAAGAAGGAATTTGGATCATCTTCGCCTTGCTTGATTCGGATCTCGATTTCAGGTTCAGGTCCGGAGCTAGAGCTACCGGGCAAACCGCCACACTTGTGACACCTGGCAACCACCAAGATCTGACGGCAAGAAGGGCAAGACGAGTGAGACCCGAGCCACGTGTCAATGCAAGACACGTGGAATCCGTGACCACACTGCGGTAAAACCCGAAGCTCGTCGCCGGCGGAGAATTCCGTCAGACAAATCGCGCACTCGGCGAATTTCTCCGACGATGGTGATTCCGGCGAGAAAGTCAGCTTGGGGAGAGATTGGAGTACTTTCTTCTTTAGTCCTTTGTTCGCCGCTGCGACAGGAGGTGAAGGAGATTGACCGGAACTGCCTTGAGCTCCGGAGGCGGTTATGTTTCCGGCTGCGAGACGACGGAGCCAGACGCATCGAGAAACTGCGATGAGGCCGAGGACGCAGATCAAGGCGCAGAGGAGAGCAGCGAGGATGACGACGAGATCGGAATTCAAAGCTGCGGTGGAGGTATCAGCCGCCGGCAAGGGAGAGTTGGATTCAAGGAGAAGACGGAAGAGAAGGCGCGCCATTTCGAGAGAGAAAGAGAGTTTTGTTTTTGTTTCGGTTGTTTGAGAATTTGAAAATGGAAGAAGGATTGATTTGAGTCTGAGAGGTTTTTGGAGAGGCAAAGCGGAGCAGAGATTTATAGAGCGAGAGAGAGAGTTCTCATGGTCGTCTTAACGATATTGCTGTCGGTTAAGGTTATTTTGGTAACTAATACGGTCTCTTTAAATAATACTTACACTTGTTGCTTTGTGTCCAAAAGACTAATAAAAATGTTTATTTTGATTTATGTTGAACATTAATTTTTTTTTTTCACAATTTACTTATTGCTTATAAACGAATCTCGTTTGGTCAGCTTAATTTCTTTTTTCACAAAATTTACTTATTGCTTATAAACACAGATTTCTTAGTTTTTTTAACCAAGGGTAGTTTTTTTTGGGGTGGTGGGGGGGGGGGGGGGGGGGGGGGGGGGGGGTTTGTGAAATCTGATTTTTAAAATATAAAAATGGCATTCTTTAAAAATTAGAAAAATCAGCGTAAACAATTTTTACAAAATAAAACGGAATAAATGTTTTGACATATTGAGGAGTAAAATTATAAGTTTGTAAGAAATTGTATGCGAGTGGTGTGAGTGACCATGTTTATTGTGTTGCCATTAAATATGTACTACCGATTAGCAAATGTGGGCGCCTGCTTTTATGTTCTTGGACCATTGAAAGTTCGGAACAATAACCGAAGATTCTTTGGTCAATTTCTCAATAATTGTCTGATACACACACACATACTCTCACATACTCGCATAGTCACATACACGTAGAATGGTAACTAATATTACTAAGTTACACATACTCTCAGATACTCGCATAGTCACATACACGTAGAAAGGTAACTAATTTATACTACTAAGTTACGAGAAACTATCGCGCGCGATTTATTAATAATCATAACATAATCAAGTAGTATATTGTTGTTTAAGGTTATAAATCAAATAAAGATAAACAATGGAATAACTTAGATAATATCCCAACAATAGGCAGAAAATTCACCTTATTATGACCAAATGTGTGGATTCTTATATTTTTTTTTGTTGTCACATGTTCCATTCAAAGTGCAAAGATGGATGTTCTCCTGACCAAGAAAAAAGTAAAATTAGAAAAAGATCCATGGATGGTTGTAAACCTGCAAAGGCTATGAAAAAGAAAAAGAAATAAGAAAGTTTAATAAAAAAGGTAGAGTCTTAGTGAAGATCAAAGATGCCCTGGTAAAGAAAGAGCATTGCAATATGTTATTAGATGCCAATTTAACTCGAACCGTCCATAGTAAGATCCTACAATTGCACTCAAGAAACTTTTGAACGCTTATTGGTTTATAATTTAACAAAGGTCTTAATATGAACTTTAATTAGGTAAAACTAATTATTCAATAGTTTGAAGTATTTGCCCAATTGATGATTTTGGTAGGAAAGAGAACTAATTAATGACGATTGCCCTTGTAGAGAAATAGTATGATTCTTGTTCGTTAATGCTGGGTGATTAATATCTGCAAACCACAAAATTAAGATTCTTTAACTACATCAAATTCTTCAATAAAGACAGCTTCTAACGTAGTTTAATTCAGATTTTTTTTTTTTAAATATACGTTCCGTATGTAATTTCTTACGCGTAATCTATTAGTATCTTACCTTTGATAGCCGATTACCCAAAGGAGAAATAAAGTATGGAACAATTATTTTCGAGGTACATTACTTTGTAGGGCAAACACATTCCGCCATCACAATGATGACACGTGCACGCTAAATGAACACCTGTCTGTCAATCAACCTAAGAAAACGAAGATCGTTCGTGTGCACTCGAGGGCAAACTGAAACTGCAACTCCAACTTACTAATTAGCTTTGCAAGTGCATTAATTCGTAAAATCTAAGTTAAAACTCTAAAATCCAGATTGTAGAATCAGATTTCAAAAGTTTCAACAATTTATCCACAAAAATCGCTTCTTTTAGGTTTATATATTACTATTATGCATTGTGTATTCTTTAATGGTTATATATATTGTGCATGCATTAAAAAACCAAAGATGTGTTTATATATCTATATGTATATATGACGTAGTATCAAGATTGTAGTACGATATAAATGTGGCATGTTTCTAGTTTATATTTCGGTAAATATGATTATGTATGTACTACCGAAAGTTGTTCCAAGTTTTGTATGTTTTGAGCTGACATATATGTTTTCGATATATTAGAATAATAAGAAAAATATGTGGAGAAGCGTAACCAGACTCTGCCGAATACATGGTCGTCCTCATGTTACTTGTCAATGGTCTTAATAACTTTGTCCCAACGATGATGATACATAACTAACTTCAAAACAACAGGTGTAAGACTCAACGATTTGGCAAAGAGAGTGGAGAGACACTTGTCAATATATATATTTTTAATCTAGATATCATTTATATAACTATAGTTGTTTTTAGAACATTATAAGCTTTTGTTCTTTTTCTCTAATCTTGTTATAGAAGACAAACAAGGGAAACACCTTTTTATTTTGGTTGAAACTAAAATAAAAAAAAAAAAATTTACGAGATAATCGGCCGATACATTTGACGTTTTAATTTGGAAGAGAGACAAAAAAAGAAAATCTGAGAAATGAGAAAAGAGATTTGTGATATCGTGAAGAACACCATAGATCTCTTTCATTTGAAGACCTAAATTAATAGCTTGGTTAATTTCTGTGAATCGGAAGGCTATGCAGATTTTTATCAAACACAAGACCTTAAAAGCCAAATACATTTAATTTTTGTTAGAAATGCAATATAAATTTTAAAAGTTACTAATAATTATCTGATGACAACTAGTATTGGTCTGTTTTAATGATTAGGTATACGGTTTAGTCTACAAAAACTAATTAACGGACTATATATAACCATCCCAAAAAGTTTTTTTGTTGGCTTCTTAAAAAGTTTTTTTTTAAAAAAAAAAAGGGTACTAATGCATGAGATGATGCATGCTAAGAGAGGTATAAGAGGAGGAAACGTGTGATAATAGGAGTTTCTAAATATGGTAAATCAAGAATTTTCTTTTAAAATGAGTATTAATTTTCTGGTTGACTCTTTCTCTTCTCAGTGCACTCTCCACTCCCTGTTTTCTCACCGCCCATTCCTTCTTTCTCCACACATGTTCTATTTTTTTTACTCGTTAAATTTATAATTTTTTTGATAATTAATAGGAAGATCACATCTACACATGTCACTATATACAAAACCCCTTTTTTCAGACCATATATTATATGATTATGGGTAAGTCTATAATCATCTCGCATTACTAATAATATAGTCAAAGCGAGGAGAGGAAACTTCGTTCCTTCACTAATTAATCAATTGCGACTTTGAAAAATGATGGAGCCTCGAGGAAAATGCATTGAAATTGACCAAAATCAATCAACTGTGGGCACGGGATTGCTCTATGCCACATGTTCGGTTTATGACAATGACTCTCGCAATCTCCCACGTTATCTAAAGGCCAATCTAATACATTCAACTTTTCAAAATGTCCCTCGAGTATTTCACCATAGAAGTCAAAAATGATTTCTGTTAATAAAATTATCCAATCAGTTAAATAAGTTCAGGCTATTAACAAGATAACAGTCCCGATTATGTTGGGATTTTAAAAAAGTCTGATATATTTGTCAATGTTTATTCGATCTACTGTTGAGAACTATGGTTTTTGTTGATTCTTGGTCCTTCTGGTTGTTCTTTGATTCATGACCATCAGAAGCAAATCTTTAAAGATTAAGAATTTCCTATGTGGGACTCTATTGTCGATTTGATACTGATGGTGATGTTCTATGGCTCATAATAGCCGCATCCCGATCTCAAAGTCAACCAAAACCGGGACGAATCTATGAAACTATACCGATCTGAGATGACCGGATTTCTAATGTTTGGTTTGTGAACTGCATGTACAGTTGGTACAGACGAAAGAGGATTGATTGGTTTAGTTTGGCTTCGGATCGGTTTGGTTTGTATTTTTCCGGTTAACTACAACTTTATTACAAAGTAAAGGAGAGATCTCTAAGGAACCCAAGTGAGTTTAAGACCACACATAAAGTCAAACCTAGTAGATACGGATTCTATCTCCAGACATGGAAAATATGAGCCGAGGAGACAAGAGCTAAGGTTCCACTTCCACATTGTTGCAAGAATCAAAAAGTGATTGATAACAATGGAAGAACTTTTATATTAGCCATCAAATGGTTGAATGAAAGCGAGTTTTTCAACTATCAAGTAATACATTTCTCAAAATGATCAATTACAAATTGTAAGCTTACTTTTCTGTGCGTCTGTTCTTGTGTTCTCCTCACAGGTCAAACCTCACATTCCATATTCCTTTCAAGTTCGTGTTGAGAGTCCAATTGTTTTCTCTGATCTGAATATAAGGGACCTGCAAGAAAGAGAGAGTCAGGGAGAGAGAGAGGGAGAAGAGGCAACACATTCATTTCAACAAAATCCAATGAGAGTAATTGCTTTGTGAGGCAAAAGCTCCGAGTTTTGAACAGTGAGCTCAAGAGTAAATCATAGTAGTATCTGCATAATTCAAAATTTCAATACCTTCTCAAACATTTCGTAGCCAACTCTAAGGCGTAGATCCTGATCTTTCTGAAACTTCCATATGTTCCAATCAAATTCAGCAGCTCCTCTCGGGTTCCTCTGTCCCACAAAAAATCATAAAAATGTCGAGGTCCACAATAGTTTCAAAAACCATGAAGAAACATAACTGATGAAGAAAGTTCCTGAAGTCCCGAAGAAAAACATAAGAGGCGAACCTGAACAAAGTCCTGGTCAAAATCACATCGTCCTTTAATATTGAAAGTTACAAGCTCATCAGTTCTCACAGGAAACTTCTTTTTCCCACGAACAAGACATCGAAGCTTTTCGCGTTTATTGTAATGCAAGCCTACTCCAACGCTTGCTGAACCCTACAAGCAATTTTATGACATTCAAAATGGTTGTAAAATGTTCAAAGAGCTCAAGCAAAGAGACGCAAATTTTAGATGAAAACCTCATGGAAAAAGTGTCTTAACATCGCACACAAGTAACTTGGAGCTCCCACTCCCGTGTCTAGCTCTCCATGAAGCTATCGCAAATGAAATCCAACAAAGAAAGTCAAGAAGATAACCAATCTTAGCCAAACCAAGCAAGCCAAACATAACTCAAACTGACAATCAACTAATCGAGGTTTAGCCAAAAGGTTTGAACTTTCTTGTTGACATTAACCATGAAAATGGTTAGCAATCCAAAACTTAACCAAAAGAGCTGGCAATTTTTTCAGCAAAAGCTAAATACAGGCTAAGAACAAATCTTCATTAGAGAGACATCATATATTCATCTTTCAGCCTAAACAAGTAAAAAGATTATAAAAGCCTATCTATTAGTTTGTCTGCGTCTCATCTCCAAATGTAAGGAAACTTATCTGATTAGAAAAACCCTTGCTTGCAGTTTCTAAAACGCAGACCATAAACCCTCAAAATCTTAACATATAAATCTCAAGTAAGGAGCTTCTGACCCGTAAAGAAACGAAGAAACTAGTCAAGCAAGAAATTACATGGCGAAGCAAGAAATTACAGAGCGAAGCAATAAAGTTTTGAAAAGAATGGAGCTGAAATCCGAAGGAGAAAGAAGTAGCTAGAGCCACACCTGCAAACGAATGTCGGAGTTCACCGAGAGCTTCTCCTTGGCATGGATTTTCAGAGACCTGGAATTCGTAGAGTACCTCAGGGAGGTCTCCATTTTCTGTTTCAGTAGATTTTCTCAGGAAAAAGCTACCGGAAACACACTTACCAACCAAACTCCCCCACTTAGCTGTGGGCATATCGGTTTATTATTATCAGGTTCGGTTTACAAAACCTTGTCAAACTAAAACCAACGTAGTTACGGTTTGCAACACTTGGTTTGAGGTTTTCAGTTATGTGACTTCAAACCATTTAAATGTTTTTGATCTGGTTTCCCACATTCTCAAATAAAGAATCTATTTTTTAACATGTATTGACGACCAACAAATACCGGTTCGGTCCAAAAATTACATATTTATCTCTTTTCTCCTATGCAGTTTATCTTTAGACAAAAGATGGGAACAACGCTTGAAGCTTTCAAATTCTCTAATCAGCGTCCGAAGCAGGAATCTTGTTCACTTGTCTTCTGGGGGCTTCACCTGAAGCAGCTCTATGTTTAACTCAAAAGTAGCTCCAGGCTGCAACAACATACACATGTTTTCTTTTTTCTCTTAAACCCAAAACATCAAACCACATCTTGTAAATACTTTCTGCAACACAAAAAAAGAAAGAAGAAAAACGGAGCTTTCCTCATATACAATTTGTAAGTTCTCACCGGTATCTCGTTCATTCCTCTCTGACCATAACCAGCTTCAGGAGTAACAATCACCGTTCTCTGTACCAACAGAAGAAAAGAGAGTCAAAAACAACTTTTACACCAGTGTTGTAACAAGTGGAAAGCAAAAAACGTGGTGATGTTTTGTTTTTTACCTTGCCTCCGACTTTCATCCCTTCGGTTATGTAATACATAGCTGGAGGAGGCTTTGGTGCAGCCTGTGCAGAGAACAACCCGTTTGGATTGTCTACAAATTCACGTTTCCTTTCCTTTCCTGGCGTAGATCCAACCTTGAACTCGTAAGGCTGTTCCAGAAGAAACCAAGCCACCATCAATGAAAAATCATGCAGAGTCATAAACAGATTAGGTGATAGATGATGGTTAGGCAACCTGAGCGATACTACGATTTCCAGCCAAAAGCTTTGATTCTCGGGTGGAAATTGCAGTGATGCTTCTGTAACGGCAATCGAAATGCACCTAAAAGATGGGGCGCATTACAATGTAAAGGAGATAACTTTATTTTGATACAGAGAATTCGAAAAAGGGTTTTTTTTTAGAGAAAGACCTGAGCGGTTGATCCTTTTGTGGCTACTGGGCCTTTGCCTTCCTCAATGTCATAATATTTCAATCCTTCAGCTGCAAGAACAGAGCAACAACAACAAATTTTGTAACAAGCTTCAGTATATATGTTTGCAAATCCCTTTTTTCACAATTTTGAAACTCTTGGAAACCAAAATTCACTACGAGATTCGTCATCATAGCAAAAGCAAAGAAGCCTAATTTCTCTTGAAAACGTTTTGATTTCGAGATGAAGACATACATTCGGAAAATTGTGCGGAATACGAACCGATTAGTTAAGAAGAGAGCGAGGGACTTAACGGCTAGTGGAATACTCCTCGAGAGGAATAACTTTTCTGCTCCGTCTCTCTCTCGCATCCGAAGAGCTCGGCGGTAGAACGAAGAAGCTCGTCAGTGGAAGCGAGCCGAGAAGGATGACATTAGCGTCTCTTCTGGAGATGGGAACCGAAAAGGTTACGAATTGATTAGTGGGTCGAGGTTGATCTGCCTCCGAAATCGAAGAGATTCGAGGAAGACGAGAGCGCTGATGATATGACCATCTGTGTAAGCTACTAATGGCAGCCATTGATGAAGAAGCAGAGAGAGAGAGATGTCACAAACCCAGCTCGAGAGCCCCATATCCATATCCCAAATTCCACTTAGAATGACGTTTGTACCCCTACCGTTGGGTAAGAGACTAACAGTGAAAAAACAACACGAAAAAAAAAAAAACACACAACGATAGTTAACGTTGTGCAAAGTTTTTTTTTTTACCATACGAAGCAACAGATCAAAACCATACAATACCAATTAATTTTTATATTTTTATAAATACTTCTATCCCACCAAAGTTTAATAGATTGACAAGAAGAAGAAAGGTTCAATTAGTTTGCTTGTTTGTTTTGATTTGAAAGAGGGTTTAAAGATAAACTTTTGTTTTCTTTATTTCCTCGTAAAGTGTTTTTACCAAAACATAATAAGTCAAAGATTAGTGGATTTCTTTTTTATTTTTAACAGTGGAATAAGTGGGTTTAAATCCCTTCGCAATTGCTGAGACTCGAATATGACAATTAGACCATTTGCAATGGTCATTTCTCAAAAAATGTTTTATTATAATTTTTTTTTTAAAAGAATGAAAAAGAGATAGAAAGTGTAAGGTGAGTCTTTCAAACGAAAGATTATGAAATATATTTTGAGAAATTCTCTTAACATTTATCTTTTAAAAATAGTTCAATTTAAATTGCAATTCATATTTTTTAATTATAATTACATTACATCAAAATAATAATTTTATATTTATAATAGACTCAAAACAAATTTAAGACGCTCTTATATTTTTTCATAATTTATATATATATTTTTTCTCCTTAAGCATTATACCTTTTTTTACTATTTTTCTTGTTTGTTCATTGTATGAAAATTATTAATTAATGTATTAAATGGATTTGTTTTTCCTGTTAACTGCATTGACATGTTAAAAATAATCTCACTAAAATATTATTGTATTAGTATATAAATTTTATGAGGTCAAAATGAACGTTAATACTATATGATTTATAACTTATCGGATTTGTTACACGTTTTGATATAATAATATATATTAAACTATAATTCCAAAAAATTAATAATAAATATATATATAATTTTTTTCAGTGTTAACAATTGTTATTTCTATATATTATTAATTTTTCAAAATTATAATTTAATATATATCATTATCTAATTAGATATAGTAAACTATAATAGTTTGTTCTCTTAACTACATTCACATATTAAAAACAATCATAATAAGCTGTAGTCCCCATAAACATTGTTATCTTAATATGTAAATTGTATGAAATCAAAAAGAATTTTAATACTAGAAGATTTATAGCTTATTGAGTTTGTTACACGTTTTGATATAATAATATATATATGTTATATTAGACTATAATTTTAAAAAATTAATAATATATAGAATTTTTTTTGGTGTTAACAATTGTTATTTCTATATATTATTATTTTTAATATTATTAATTGATATATATCATTATCCAATCAGATATAAAAAAATATTTTAGTTTTTTCTGTTAATTGTATTGCCAGGTTAAAAACAATCCCAATAAATTGTAGTTTTGATAAACATTGTTATCTTATTATATAAATTGAATGCTATAAAATGAACTTTAATACTTGAAGATTTATAACTTATCAAGTTTGTTATACGTTTTTATATAATAATATATATTAAACTATAATTTCAAGAAATTAAAAATATATAGAAATTTGTTATTTTTATATATTATTAATTTTTAAAAATTATAATTTGATACATATCATTATCCAATCAGATATAGTAAACTATAATAGGTTTTTTTTTCGGTTAACTGTAGTGACAAGTTAAAAACAATCCTACTAAGCTGTAGTTCTGATAAACATTGTTATCTTATTATGCAAATTGTATGAGATCAAAATGAACCTTAATACTAGAAGATTTATAACTTATCGGATTTGTTACATGTTTTGATATCTGATTAGATAATAATATATAGAGATTAAACTATAATATCAAGAAATTAACAATATATAGAATTTTTTTTTCAGTGTTAACAATTGTTATTTCTATATATTATTAATTTTTTAAAATTATAAATTGATACATATCATTATCGAATCAGATTTAGTAAACTATAATAGTTTTTTCTGTTAATTGCATTGACTGGTTAAAAACAATCCCAATAAGACATAGTTTCGATAAATATTGTTATCTTATTATGTAAATTGTATAGATCAAAATGAACTTTAATACTTGAAGATTTATAACTTATCAGATTTGTTATACGTTTTTATATAATAATATATATTAAACTATAATTTCAAGAAATTAACAATATATAGAAATATTTTTTCAATGTAATATTTAATCAGATATAGTAAACTATAATAGTTCTTTCTATTAACTATATTGACAGACTAAAAACAATCTCGATAAGCTGTAGTTCCGATAAGTATTGATCTTATTATGTAAATTGCATGAAGTGAAAATAAACTTTAATACTAGAAGATTTATAACTTATCGGATTTGTTACATGTTCTAATATATCATTGGATAATAACATGTATTAGATTATAATTTCAAAAAATTAACAATATATAGACATTGTTTTCAGTGTTGACAACTATTATTTCTGTATATTATTACTTGCTTGAAATTATAATTTAATAGGTATTATCATCTAATCAGACACGATAAGTTATAAATCTCATACTTTGGCCTCATGCAGTTTATACACTAACCACACACTAAGTGAAAAAAAAAAAAAATGATCACATGAAAAGGAGTAGACAAGAAACACATAAACTCTCTGATCATGAATCGCTTAGAGTCGAACCTCCTCGACGAAATTCTCTTCAGACTAAACCCCAAATCTCTGGCCATGATGCGATGCACGAATAAGTCTATCGACTCGCAGATATCCAAACCGGGTTTCAAATCCGAGTACTTGAACCGGGCCGGATCCAGTTTGCTTCACGCCGCCAAAAGCGGCTCCTCGTTGGCATGCTATCACGCTTTCGGCGACCCGAGTACATTCCAAGGCCACTTAGAGAGCCGGTGTCGCATCCTCGGTTCATCTTCAGGCCTTCTCCTACTCTTTGTCGACAAATGTTTCTGCGTCGCGAATCCCGTCACGAAGAAGTACCTGTTCTTGGATAGCTCCGTACATAGAAGTACGGCGAGCATCGGGTTCGCGGTCGATCAAATCGATCACAACACCCAGAGCTTCAAAGTCGTCTGCGTAGACGATTTCGATCCAGGAGAAATGGGGTTCGAGATCGGCACCGATAATTCATGGAGTTTGTCAAACACCTCGATGACTTGGCCCTTAAGCGATCTCGTGGAGGACATGAAGCCTGTTTACTTGGACGGAGCTCTTCACTGGCTGAGAAAGGACGGGAGCATCCTAGCTTTCAACCCCGAGACAGAGCAAGCACGAATGATCACTCCGACCAATTTCCCAAACGAACCGGGTTCGAAACTCTTCTTTGGTCTCGGAGATAATCGCCTGACGTTGATATCGGCGACGGAGGAAACGATTCGCGTTTTCGCCCTGGAGAGTACCCTCACCGACCCTGAATGGATCCTCGCGAGACAGATCGTGAACATGGCGGTGGAGCAAGGTGTGACGGTGTCCTGGAACGTGCATGCGTTCGACGGCAAGTGCTTAGTGGTGAGGACGACGGATAGAGTTAGATATGGCCCACTGCTTCTTGGCTACGACTTGAGAGCGAACGGGTGGAGATTCTTGGGTTGGATTCCAGACTTCTGCGATGCAAATCGAGAGTTTTGTCTGTTTACGCCGTCGTGGTCTTCTGTGATCGGAATGGAGGATGAGGAGGAGGACAACGGTTGGTGGTTTCCTACAATACATAGATCCAAACGCACCGGCTCAGTGGAGACTGTTATTGAACTGATCAATCGTAATTTGAAAATCTAAATCCTTTACTTCATTAAAATGAAGTAGTGCTTTTTTTTCTTTCTTTCTGGTTTTCTTTTATACATTTGTTTCCAGTACTTTTTGATTTTTTGTTAACCATGTAATCATTGTTTGCGGACAATAATGCAATTTTATCATATATATTCAGATCTTCAGGTGCCAAACGTGAGGGATTTAGCTTGACGATTACTGTTAATAAGCAAAGATTCCCTCAACAATCTGAGGCTGATCAAATGATTCCAGTTTCCAGCGTACGATGTAAACAAACAAATCAAATAGCTTAAAAAGCACACGCAACACAAGAATCGAAAATTTACAATATTATATACCCAGAAAAAAACACCGGATGTGCTATTAACAAAAAAAAGTCAAAATGTTTTAAATCACTAAAACTCACTGGACAGATTATAAAAAAAACAGAGATCCCACACTCTCTCTATCCCATGTTTGGGAATATACCTGAGAAGTTTGGGATCTTATCGATGTGTTTCAACGCGTTCTCAGCGATCTGCCGCGTTCTAAAATCAGCGTTTTGGAAAGCGTCCACAAGCGCAGCTCCCACGTTCGGTTCTTCTGCGACCTCTCTTGCTATATCCTCAATCCGCAAGATCCTTTCCACCGCCCAGACCGCTCTCCTCGTCAGCTTCTCTGTTCGGTTCTCTGTCAGAACGTTTAGTATATGCCGTATCCCGTCCGCCTCCTCGATTATATTGACCCCTTTCTCTACATCTAACCCGTCTTCTAATAAGCTCGAAAGAGCTGCAAGCGACGCCTCCACCACTTTGTCGTTTTCATGGTCCAACAGAGCCACTAGTTTCTCCACGGCTTCTCCTTCCACAAGGCAAAACGTTTCCCTCAGCGAACATATTCCCTGGTGGATCCTGCACAGCCCGGTTACAACGTGCGGTCTGCTCATACATGAAAAGATGGAGCCACAGTAGTTTGGAGGAGGCAGATCGGGCATCCGTGACAGGTTTATAGACTCTAGCGAAAGATTCTCTAGAGCCATGGCAGAGACCATCTGGATCTTGTCTTGACCGTTGGACTGAAGCAGATGGATGAAGAGCGAAGCGACGTTGTACTCACGGCAAAAGGTTACGGCCCGAGGGTCATTGTTGAATGCAAAAGTGATCCTAGCAAGTATACGCACAAGCCCTTCCAGGAAATTTCTCTCAAACCGCATTCCCTTGATCTCCCCTTGCCGGATTCCAATCACTTTGGAGATGATTTTCTCGAAAGCACCGACTCCTAACATTTCCCGAGTAAGGCCCAAATCCCTCTCCGGCAATTCAGACAAGAGCCCAGCGGCTGCAGCCTGTTCCTCGGAGATTGGTGTCTTCTCTGAAATGATCGCAACAAGGCTCCCGAGTTGTCCAGCGGTGCCACGTAAGGCGTCGGCTAGCTCTTCACTCATGAACGGGGAGAGGTTATGGAGAAGCTTTATGGAAGCCAAACGCAAATCATCGTTCTCTCGGACCTCTACAAACTGAACCAAACTGATGATTGCGCCGGAGGTTTTAATCGCGGAAACAACGTGTATAACTGTTTTAGGGCAAGTGGTGAGTCCAACAAGAACCTCCAACAGCTTGCACTGGATCGCTGGACCCGTGTTGCTAATTAGATACAGCAGATTCTCCACTCTGTTTTCTGAGACAAGAGTCGCTTTGTCAAAGTCATATCCAATGTTCACTATGTTTGCGAGAATAGTGGCAGAGACTTCTTTCAACCGAATCGGAAGTTGGTTTGGCCCTACGTAGAACAGATCTTTGATAAGTGGGGGGATGATCCCTATGCTGATCAAAACCTTAGCACTCCCTTCGAACGATGAGATCTTGTTAAGAGCTCTCAGGGCAGCTTCCCGTTGGGGCATGTCACCACTTCTCATAAGTTCCACAAGAGAAGATCCCACAGTCTGAGCCACAAGAACCTTGGTATCATTATTTAAGGCAAGCTCCCCAAGAAAGGTAGCCATGGAGAGCTTCGTTTCAGGTGAACCTGCACATCATGTCATGAAAGTCAAGACCTGACCATGTTTTATGCAAATAAAAACAGAGGGGATGTCGTTAAACTAAAACCAAAGCAAAAAGAAGCAAATTCTATCAGCTAATCGATAAAGAAAGTAGGGATCAATCAATCAATCACCTTCAAGGAGTTTTCCTAGAAGAGGCTGGAGTCTACCATAAGAAGCCATCTGCCTAACAATCTCCTCTGACCTCTCCAAGTTTTCCAATGTTCTATCAGCTTTCTCAACAATCGAGACGTTCACTGAGTTGCTGCTCGTCAGACCAACCAATAAAATAAGTGCTCCATTAATGGAACCAATCTTCTCGCACAAAGCTTCCGACTTGGAGAGCTCAAGGAGCAAGGAAACAGCTGCCTCCCTCCCCTTCGACGGCTCGTGTGATAAGAACTTCACCAGCGTACGCACGGTATCTCCTTCCCCTAATATCGCCTGCAAGATGCTGAAAAAACTTTCATTAGCACCCGCCTGAAATTTTACCATCAACAATGCACAATAATCAGAGAGAAATCAGAGACAACCTTGCTCTCCTCGTCTCCTTCAACGACAACCTGAAGAGTCTGCAGAGCCTTATACCGCACTTTATGGCTGTTACTTTTCAACATGTCGATGATCATACGGATAAGCTGAGAGTTGCGCACGCCCTGCCTGTTTGATCGGATGCTCCTGCAGATCTGTCTCACATGCATCAATGCTTGCAAGATATCCGTCTCGGCGTTTCCTAGAAACAGCGCCTGACGAGCAATGTCAAGCTTGGCTGCATCGTTCCTGGATCTCCACTCCTCGATCGTGTTACGCAGAGCTATGCTCGGGCTCACATCGGCGGTACTCAGCTCCTGAGAAGTTAGAGGGCAAGACGGAGGTCTCCCACCGTCACGACACTCCTTGAACCATTTTTCAATGGCTTCACGCTCGAACGTTCGACCATTCTCTAGAGTGACGGGATCGTGCATCACCTCCTTCGTCAACGGGCAGATGAATGCTTCGTAGATATGGTCTACGCCTCGCTCGAGTTGAGAGCTGTCATCTGACTCGTTTCCATCCCAGCTTCCATCCATCTTGAGATTGAACAACTCACTGCAAATAAACCAAATGCCTCATCATTATCAAACAGGTGCTGCTTTGAATTTTGAAGGAGAGTGCGAAAAAGCCAACTAAAATCCAAATTCATAATCGTGAATGAGAGTGCGAAGTAAGAGTTTGGTAAAGAAAGAGTCCAAATTTGGTAGTTAGTGAAAAGCAGAAAGTTTTTGGAAAACATAAAAGGGGATAATACCAGATTTAGCTTTTAAGTTCTTTCACAGTTAGGTTCACGGATTCTTTCACAGCAAAGGAAAACAAACTAAGTATCTCAAATCAAAACGATAACACTGGATTACGAAAATCAAAGAGTCTACCAAAATCGTCATTTGCATCAGCCTAATATAGAAAGATTACCAGATTTAGCAATACCCATAAAAAAGAGAGAGAGGGGGAGAAACATCTCAGGAAAGCATTTTCAAAACACCAAAAGAGAAGAAGCATACCAAGCACACAGTTCCGATCTCAGAAGCGCCTCAAAGCTACAGGGAGGGGCAAATACAAAAACCTAGTTGCTTCTTCTAATAAGTTGACAAACTCCACAAATGACCACTTCTCAATCTCCTTGAGCAAAAAACGCGCCAGAAAGTGTGACTTCTTCGTCTTCCATAGATCCAATCCCAAGCAATTGAGCTTGCTTCCTACTCTCTTCTCGAGCTTGAATTCAACAGGATTTTGTCTATCCCCGTGCGATAGCGAAAGAGACAGGGAAGAAGATGGGCTGGAGGAAAATGCAAAGAAAATCGAAATTTTAATTATAAACAAAAAAAAAACTGGAAAAATATATAGAAGCACGAAACGCTGACTAAAATCGAAAAGTCATGAGAGAGAGACGTGGAGCCACCAAACGCCAACTTGACAAACAGCCTGGCTGTGTACACACTGGTGGACTTGCTCTGGATTCCGATGCGGATAACATTGGGTCGGGTTATTATTATCCGGGCTTGACCAGGGTTAATGGGCTTAAATATATTATCGGGCTTTTATAAACGAAATATTACGAAAATAGCCTCGTCTACTCAAGAACCGCTCTCTCTCTCGATCTCTCTTCTGGGCAGAAAACTTCTTCTAAGCTCTGAATCGCTTGTACCACGTTCTGGTGTAAGCTTTGATTTGCTCATTCTTGTGTGTTCGAGCTAAATTTTCGATGTCTGGAGATGAACGAATTGAGATTTACGAGGAAGGAGAGGAATCCATGGATGTGAATAACGAAGCAGAAGTGAAGCCCGAGCTGGAAAAAGGGAACGGAGATGAGAACGTCTTGCAGTTCCTTGATTCGCTGGATGGCTATTTAACGCTTATGGATTCTGTGAATTCAAAGCTTCGAGAGGTAATGGAAATGTTATATTTTTTTTTTTTTGTTACGAAGCTAAATTTATTTGGATCTTATGGGTTCTTTCTGTATTTCCTTTTGATTTGATCCTCCCTCCTTTATTGTTTGATGGGTGTGTATAATGGCTCTTGAAGAGTTTGTTTCTACATCTAAGCTGATTGTCGATGATCTCTGTATCATTTCGAAATTAGTTTTTGGAAGAGTTGACTACAGTTTCCGTTTGTCAGATTTTTGGCTTTCGCTTTATAACACCTAGAAACTCTGTAGAATCGATCTGGGATAAAAAAAAAGGGTAGCAAAGGGTCATGTGGAACATGTTTTACGGATTAGCTAGAAAAGAAAGCCATGAGAAGAAACTTGTTTTCATGAGTAGAGAAACTCACTGGTTCTGAAAAATGTGTTCTTTTGCAGGGATGGCTTGATCTAGCTAGTGCTCGACACTCTATGGGAACTTTGCGTATCAACAGCACTCTCTTAGACCTCAAGTATCATCCCGCTGCTTCAACATTGCAAGTGACAGACCAGGAAGGTAAGTTTGGCTTCAAATAAGCTGTCAAAAGTTTGCTCCGAGCGTTTGATAGCTCAATCTTTCACATTTATAAGCATATACAGTATGTAATCTTATCATTGAACTCTTGTAGTTGAATCTTTGGGATCAGTACCTCGTTTTGCTTTGTCCAAGTGGGCTTCCAAGGGCAGTAGTGGGAAAGGCAAAGACTTCTCTACTGATGCAGATTCGGGGATGGGCTCACCTCGTAGCCCACAGCTACGGCATCGAGGCGTTTCTGGTATTGAAAAAAAAGAGTCTGATCTGTTGGCTATTCTGTGCCCTTGGTTTTGTCTGTGTCTCATCTCTTGCTTTTGTAATTTGATAGAAGAGAAACCATCAGCCAAGGATGAAACCGTGTTAGCAGCTGATGAAGAGGTGAGCAATCATTTTATCTTATGCACATAAACTCTGTTTGTTTTGGTAAGGTAAGCTCATGGGTCTTGCTAATTCTGATGTGTTCATCTCCAGATTAAGAAAGAACGTGCGAAATCTCTGTCGGTATTTGGAGGTCTAGTCTCGCCTAAGCTGCGTGGCGCTCAATTATCATTTGAGACGGGTAACATTCATCACCGCAAGTATATATATATACTCTCAGATATATATATATATATATATAATGACAATTTTATGTTTCTTTTTTTGTCTTGGGACAGCTCTTGAAGCTCTTGTGGAAATAGCCAACACGCGATCAACGATGCTGTCTGCCTTTGACCGGATCACAAAGAAGTAAAGTTCATAGGAAACAACTGACCCTGAAATATGCTCAATGGATTCAGAGAAAGCATAATGGAACCACTCTTGAAGACGAGGTTTGGTGATGCCTTTCATCGAGCCAGAGAGATAGAATGTGCCAATGTATGAGCTCGATTTTTATTTTATTTTTACAATTTGTAGCTACCACATTCGGGTGTTAACACAGTATCTTCCGATCTGGTTACCTTTTACCAGATTTTTTTACAGACATTGAGCTAAAGAAAGATCCAAATAATTAAACATTTTGGAGAAGAACAGAAAATCTTGTACAAAGTACATTGGTCCTTTTAATAGTTCTCCAAGACGAAAGCAACAAATATTTCTTTCATATAAAGCAATTGAAAATTCTAATTGTTTAGAGAATGATACCATTAAAAAGGCAGAGGAAAAGGAGAATCTACCTAAAGAAGATGTGAATGGTGTTGCTGAACAAGAAAGAATTTTGGATAAAACTGATCCTGCAAACTGGAAAGTAATTGATCAAAGTTTGAAAAATTTGCTAGTGGAAAAGAAATTTCTTGTAAAAGATATTGTAAGTTTTACATCTATTGCGATCATTTTTTGTTTTTGTTTGTTTAGCAAAACTGATTTCCTAAAATGATATTTGAAAATCTTGTTAATAGCATTACAAAATTGAACTGAAAGAGAACTACGTGGTACTCACGAAAGAATGTGATTTGTGGGACGAAAGTGATCCATGGGCCAGGTATTTATAAATGAAAAATTTCACTTCAATTCCTTTTTTGCACAACGTTTGAACTGTGAACATTTAGAATATTATTTATCAATCCACTTGGTCTGATTGCTATTCGGATGATGGGTTTTCACATAATTGATCCAAGGATTTTTTTTGTGATTAAGAGTCGGAAACCACCGGGGACCAATCTTTTTTTTTCTGTTCTTTGAATCCGGCTCAATCCCTTCCTCCTCCTATATTTCCTTTTTTTTTCAAATTGCTTACTTCCTCCTCTATTTTATTATGGGTTTCAAAAAAAGCTTTTGTGTGTTAAAGAGAGGAGATAACCATTTTTTAGAGGATATACCCACAGAGGTTCTGGCGGAGATTCTTCTTTGTATTAGACAGAAAAATGTCAAATACATGGCTCATGGATGGTGATGGGCAAGCGCGCGCTTTACATCTTCACCACAAAATTAATTACAAGCTTAATGGCTAACTGGTGAAAATTAATTATTGTCATTGTATCGCAGTTCCTAGATTCGTTTGGTTTAAGGTTTAATTATAAGCTTAATGGCTAATTGGTCTCTGTATCATTTGGAAGTTAAGATTTTGTATGAGTTTACTCCAGTTTCTGTTTGTCAGATTTTTGGCTTTTGCATTATATCATCTAGAAACTCTGTAGAATCGATGTGTGATACAAAAAAAAGTAGGAAAGAATCGATCCTTTTATTCGTTCTCCAAGACGAAAGCAACAAATGTTTCTTTCATATAAAGTAAATGAATTCATAACAACAGAACAGAGATAGAAACAGTAGGAAACCCATACAGAGACAAACTTTACAAATTACAAATGCTCTAACGCTATGGTCTCGTCCAAAACCAGAATTTGGGGGACAAAATTATAAGATTTTTATGAAACAACCAACAAGCCAGGAAATATGAAGGGGAAAAAAAAGAAGAAGATTCAAAACAGGAATGATAATAAACTGTGGCTAGAAGGAATTCCAGTTATCTGACTTTTTCTTGGGGCTTTTATCATCCGAGGAGACTTTGAAGGGACCTGTGGAACCAAACGGGTCTGCATCATCAAACGAGTATCCATGGCTGCCAGTGAAATCCTTTGTACTATTCATGGAGTCGAATCTTGAAAGCGAGGGACCACCAAAGTCTCTGCTACTGTTGATGGAATCGAACCTGGAGAAGGCGGCTCCGCCAAAGTCTTTGGAGCTGTTGATGGAATCAAATCGAGACAGTCTCTCAGGCTGGGAGGAGGCAAAACCGCCGCCAGCTTCACTGGCATTGAAGGAGTCGAATCTGGAGAAGCTATCAAAGTTGTTATCTCTGGCTGATGCATCGCTGAAGCGAGGTGGAGAGTTCCCAAATCTTGAGAGTGGGGTGCTGGGAACTGAATCATCAAATGCAAATGGGCTCTTTCTCTGACCCGCGAAGCTTCTTGAGCTTGGAGAATCTGCTCTTTCCGAGTTTCCACCAAAATCGCCACCAGATCCATAATATTCTCCATCCTGCCAATGTCATATTTAAAATGGTAAGCTTAGTCAAGACACTGAATAGGTACTGAATGGTTTAGCATACGGAAGGCATATGTACCAAATCTGAAAGCATGAACTTAATCAAGATACAGGTTTTCAAGATCTTGTATAAAGTACAATATCAGTTTAATGTCTACTCGAATATCACAACTGAAACGTCGATTCAGTGGTTCAATGGATGGAAGGATTTGTTAAAATGGAAGACACTATCGATTTTGAACTAACCTGGCTTTTTGATGCATCAAATCCCCAGACTGAATCCACATCATCGTTAGTGTCAAATGCACTTGCCCAATTCGAATCATCAAAGAATTCGGAACCTTTTCCATGAGAATAATCTGGAGATGGGATCTCAGTAGCAGTCCTAGAGGCAGGACTGTCTCTAGGACTTCTGCCTGATTCATCTTCACTGTGAGTAGTCCCATATTCACTCTCATGGTGGCGGTCTGAGGTTTCTGAGAAAGGCCCATAATTCTCATCTAAATGAGTCGGCGAATCAGGTGGTCCACTACCATCATCCACCGTACCGTTTTCCTTCTCACCAGACGAGTTTTGCTCTTTTGATTTGTCAAAACTAATCTCATTGCCAAATCCTAACAGTGGGAGGATTATCAGTCAGTGTCCTTTGCTACGTGCTTCACTATAGATATCTAAATGTATTAGTGATAGAAAGATGGGAAAAATTGTACCTTCATCGTCAAACTTATCCCATTCTTCATCCCAAAGAGCTGCCCCTTCTTGAATTCCAGGTTGCCAGCCTGAGTCACAACATTACACAGTTTTCAAACGAATTGTTTCGTTTATAAATTACATGCACTTTGCATTTATCTACAATGAAAGCAAGAAGTCACAAGACCACAGAATCATAATTAGTACCAGCTGGAAGGTCCACAAGGGCCTTCGACTTAACCTCCAACCCATGTTTCTTGCAACGTTCAGTTAAAGCCTTCATCAGCTCCTCTAGATCTGATTGTATTCTATCAGCCCGGACCTAAGTATGCCCAGTAAAGCATCAAATCAGGTATGCACAACAGATAACAGTTTAGGCATCACATAAACTATAAAGAACAGCATGTACCTGAAGGAGACCATCAGCACTACCACCTTGCTCCATGTTCACAATTGCTTGACTCAGCTCCATCTTCCTCCCCTGGAATGTGTTAGCAAAACTTCAATAAGTAACAAAATTGTGTGAGAGATCTGTCACAAAATTATTCAAAGCCCTTCACCAAGGTGGAAGAAGTGAAAATCGGGCCATAGAATAAGGGGACAGGACAAGACGCACAACACAACCCAGAGAATGTGAAAAAAAATAACAATGATGAAGTGTGGAAAAACGAGAAGCCTAGTATCGGAGGGAAAAAAGCACATATAATAAATGAAGAAACAATATACTGCGGGAATGTACGTTTGGTGTTGCCAGCCAAAGGAATTAGTCATACCTCAATCTCCCGGAACCTGGCCTCTTCAATAGTTAATTTGGATCCTATTTCTGCAACTTGCTTATACTTCTCCTCGTACTTCTTTGCCAATGTTTCAGCCTGCAGCGGAAATTGTTCTGGATAAGACAGAAATAGCATCGAAGTAAATGAAAAAAACGTTTTTTTATGTGAAAAGCACCTCACGCTTGTCAGCGGAAGCCCTTTCGGAGATCTCATTTAATCTATTGTCACACCTGCTTTTGTACAAGACCTGACAGAGAGAATACAAAAAGCTTGTCAACATAATAATTGGATCTTACATGAACCTTACTGTAAAAGAAATGGCATCGTGAGACAGATAATAACCGTTACTGCTAACCAAATAAGAAGAGTAATTTATAATGGAGTACTCACAATATCCTGCATTTTCGTCCGGTAGTATTCAAGTTTCTCCCTGGAGTCCATATAGACATTCTTCTTTTCATCAACCTACAGAGAATAGAAAATTTTGTTTAACAAGCATCGGAGAAAAATGCACATGGAATTTTAACTTATCGCATGAGAATTATTGTTTTCTTTATAATTAAGGTGAAAATGTAAATGATTACCTTTTCCTCATCCTTTTCCCCATCAGTTGCGGTTCCATGAAGATTTGAGCTCGCAGAATAACCGTTACCTAGGTGACTAGCAAACGGATCCTCCAAAGCTGGCGCTTGATTCCTTTGCTGATTAGGTGCTATACCACTGCCAGGGTGAGGGACTGGTGGTCTCATGCCACTCGGTGGAGTGATTGGCCGTGCACCCATCCCTGGCTGCTGTACAAAACCTTGCAATGGAGAAATTTGACTTAAAGTAAAGTATATAAGGGAAAGGGAGAAGATCACTAGAATACATGAAAATCTGAGAAATACCTTGACCAGATCCCCATCCAGCATTTGCATAACCATGACTAGGTGCACCTGAGATAGATAACAGTGACTCATCGAGCATGATGCTGCTAGGAAGTGTTGTTGGGAGAGGACGGCCTTCTCTAAACCGCTCCATCAAATACAATGAAATGCAGAACTCCCTCAGAGACAGCATAGTATCATTGTCTTGATCAGATAATTCCCATACATGCTTCAATACCTCTGGAACCGAGCAAAGGGAAAATGTTAGCATAAAACCTTTAAAGCATAATCACCTGCAGATATTATTATTAAAGGAACAAAAGTCTCCGGAGGGTAGCAAATAAATTTAACAAAACAAAACATGGTCTGTCCATGAAGAAAAGAGACGAGAAAAAGTTTCGAAAAGATTCTTCAATCCAAATTCCTCTAACTTCAACAGAGGCGACAGTTAAATGTACGAATGAAAAAAATGTACTCTTCATGTGAAGTGGACTGAAAGATAGAAGATCTTTACCCCTGGGTAGCCTCCAGCTTAAAAACAGATTCCTTGCCTGCTCACCAGTGATTTTCCCATCCTTGTCACTATCAACTTCCATAAATACCTTTGTGTATTTCTGTACATCGGATGGTTTCATTTTTGGCCACGGAGGCTGATTATTTCCAGCATGAGATGAATGGCCAGAACCAACTGCACTTCCAGGTGGTAAACCAGAGGATGGAGCTTGTGAAGACACTGCAGGCTGCAAGCTTGCTGCTGGCCTTGGCTGCTGAGGCTGAATTCCTGCAGGTAGCATTGAAAAAGTACTCTCTAGGGAGTCGAGAGCATTAGGCTTTGGTGGGGGTTGGGTTCCAGCGGAAGCGGGAACAATGGCTGAACTGATTGGAGTATTACTCAGAGTGGGTTCTCCTTTTTGCTGGAAGGAGGAAAACATGTCACCTCCATTTCCAGAGACAACCAGCGCTTTTGGATCAATTCGTGACTCTGGTTTTAAGCCAGAAGAAGGTGCTGCTGAGCCGCCCCCTCCAAAGCCCGATGAGTATCCGCTGGTGTTTCCAGGATACAAATTATTTACATTGAACGTTGAACTACCAGGACCAGATGCAGTAGTGGGAACAGCCTGAGGAGGACGAGTAACATTACCAACAGGAGCTGGTTGAAATTGTCCAGGTAATGCACTTGGTCTGTATTCTGGACCAGCAGTTGGTCTAAGCGAAGTCATCCCCGATATTCCTTGGTTTGGTCTCACTAACTGGTTTTGTTGAGATGGAACATAACTCTGAGTGACATTTGCATTTGGAGCCCCTGGTCCTCTATACCCAAAATTTTGAGGAACTGCTGAGGAAACCGGACGGACTGTGGTAGCAGCAGGATTAGGTTGGGGTGCAGGAATAGCTGAGAGGTTAATTTTAGGCGCTGGTATTTTCGCTGCCGCAGGAGTATTCAGTGCTGCATTAACAATGTCAGGCGTCAGGTCTCTCTTGCTCTGTGCTACTGTTACAAGCCTCAGAGAATTATAAAAGTCTTGTCGACCAAGGAAACCACTGCGTGACCGATCAGAGAGCGACCATATCTACAAATACAAAGCAAAAGACGGTTAACAGAACTCCTCCAGGAAAATCATATGCCAGAAAGTTTCCAGATTCAAATACATAATTACTGCTACATCGAACTGTGAATTTAAAACAAACTGCAGTCATGGAGAATGCTCATAGATTAAAGAAACATAGCCACAAGATAACTGGCATCTCAACAAATCGATAATCCAATTTCTTCAGGCTATGCAATGATGACAACCTCATGTAGAGGCTGTCAAATTCGAGCAAAAGCAAAAAGCAAAAGCAAAAGCAGTGCCCTATTCGAAAATCAAATGGCAAAAGCTTTTACCAAGCATAGCCTTACCGAGAGAACTCTAGCTGATTTACCAAAACAGCAACACAAAGGAAAGTTTTTATTACCACCAGAGAATAAATCCCACTAAATTTTCTCCGTTACTGCAATGAAATTTCAGCATCCAGTTGCCCAGAATCAAATATTAAAGGAAACCCTAAGCATCTTACTGTCATACACTCGTAACTTCTTCACGACAGATCCTAGCAAAAGCTGCTCTTATGAAGCAATATCCTAAAGGACGAAATAAACGCCTCAAATCTACCCCGTAACTTCTAATTCAGTTCAAAGAATTTCAGATTATAGCGAGTAATTGAAATGGAAGAATACAAATTACGGCATTTTGCAAACCCAAATAAGCTGCGCAGAAAACTATATCAGATCTTTCCCTCTGGGCAGCTCAAAAAATCTCGCCAGAAACAATCAGAAAGCAGAGATCCAAGGAAGGAATTTCACCTGGGCGAGAACTTGCTTAGGCAAACCAGATCCTTGAAAAAATCCCACAGCTTCGGCTCCACTGATCCGACCATCTCCGTCCAAATCTGCTCTCCTGAAGTACGCCTCGAATTGATCCATGTTAGGATTCTGCCCCGCCATCTGAAGGATCACCGGGAGCTACCGAAACTTAGATCAGAGCTTCGAAATCGATCAAACTCCTATATCTCCAGAATTCTCCTTGTCCAGATGAAAATTGCCCGATTCGAACAGATGCGACGAAAAATTAAAAGGCATTAAAAAAAAAAACTCGTAAAAAATGACTGTGACACAGCAAAAAAATATCGAATCGTCTTGTCGATGTTTCAATAGAGATCGTTGTTTTTTTTTTCCGTTCGAAGTTTTCTCATGCTTTGCTAATAAATGGGCTAGCAAATAAAATAACTGGGCTTCGAAAAGCCCATTATGGTCCATCGTCACAAACTCACAATGGATACAAAAGAGTTACCGTTCTCTCTTAACCGATCAGAACTCCACGCCGTTTTAAAAATCTTTAGCTTTGCCAGTAACAATGACGAGCGCCAAAATACGAGAAACTCGAAAAAGCGACGTAATTTTCCCGCTCCAACGCGAAATTCACGAAGCTCAAGTGCTCATTTTCTTCCGTCACCGACTCCGAAGTCCAAAGTGTCTCAGACGAAGATGGTTTCCACAACCAGCAAATCGGATTCGAAGCAAGAAGTGAAACAAACCCTAAATTCCAAAACCCCCAAAAATGTCTACCAAATCGGAGGCCTTCAAGTGGAGTTCCCTTATCAACCCTACGGAACCCAGCTTGCGTTCATGAGCCGGGTCATATCTACGCTTGATCGTGCTCAGAGGGACGGTCACTGCCACGCGCTGCTCGAGTCTCCCACCGGTACGGGCAAATCTCTTTCCTTGCTCTGCTCGGTGCTCGCATGGCAACAGAACTATAAATCGCGGCTTCTGAAAGGAAACCTGTCGCATTCGAAACCTGCGCCTGAAGCAGCCACCGATCCGTTGAACCATGGAGGCGGATTCATACCCGAAACGCAGCCCTCAGGTTCGTGATTTCCTGCCAATCGCATCTAATGATTGGGTTTGGATTGGGAAGATAAACCGGTTTTAGTTTTCAATTTCTGGTTATTGTCTTCAATAGATACTCCTTTGCCTTGCAATGCGGAGCCACCTGAAACTGCTGCAGCTAAGAAGAGAACAAAAATTCCTACCATATACTATGCTTCGTAAGCATCACCACATCAATGATTTTGGAAATGTTGCTGATAAAATGATGTTTTTCTTAAATATCATTGATTGTTTGTTTTTATTTTCAGACGAACTCATTCTCAGATTACTCAAGTCATTCGTGAGTACCGGAAAACTGGTTACAGAGTTCCTATGGCTGTATTGGTATGTCAAAATTATTTTTGTTCTCTTTGATGATTTGTTTATTTATGATTAATCAAGATAATTTGTGTTTTCTATTACACTCATACAATTTTTTTGTTTCTTTTACTGGATCCATCTTTGTCATGTAAGGCTTCGAGAAAGCATTACTGCACTAATCGTCATGTACATGGGAAAGAGAATGTTGATGAAGAATGGTAAATTTCATCCACATTCATTACTAATCTCATTATCCTTTTCAGCTACGGCATAGTATCTATACTAATTTTTGTCTTCTTCTTTTCTAGTCGGTTGCTTCTAAAAGATAAGGCAAACATACAATGTTCTGAGTTCAAGTGAGTTTTTTACTAATATTTTAAGTTCTTTGTTTTTCCTCTTCTGTTGTTAGCTCGTCGAATCATGTAACTGTTTTCCTTTAACTTCCAGGAACGTTAGTAAAATCACAGCTCACCCATCACTTCAACAAAGAGGTCACAATGAAGTTCATGATATTGAAGATCTTGTAAAAGTTGGAAAAAACGTTAGAGGTTAGATTTGGTTCTATTTTTTTACTCTAATTGATTGTATTTATATATTTCTTAATCTTAATTTTTTTTTTCTGGTAGGTTGTCCATATTATGCTGCCTGGTCATTGGCGGAGAACGCACAATTGGTTTTTTGCCCTTATTCATATATAGTTAATCCGGTCATCAGAGCAGGAGTTGAAGTAGATCTGAAAGGAGCGATTATAATCTTTGATGAAGCACAGTAAGTTTAATAGATTTACACTTATAGTTTTCTGGTATGAATCATTAGTTTGCAAAACCTTTAGCATGTTTGTGATGTTGGTAGTTAAGTCCGTCTACTAAGCACTTTCCCTGCCCACAGCAATATGGAAGACATTGCTCGTGAAGCAGGAAGCATTGACTTGGAAGAAGAAACTCTTTTCAGTATGTACTCATCAAACTATCTCTGCTGTTATTCATGGTTTTGTTCACTGACATTTACTTTACTAATGTCGTTGACATTGACTTTGCTAATGTGGCTTTGTGTTATACAGAATTGCAGAATGAACTAGAACAGATGAGCATGGCAGAGCCAATGATATATCAACCCTTGTGTGAAGTAGTAGAGGTAATTCATTAGCTGCAAGATAATATTCAGAGGTACATTTTATTACTACTTTTTAATATCGAGTGTTTCTATGTATTTAGGGATTGATAAGCTGGATTGGAAGAAAAAAAGATTCTCTAGAAAAACGTGATTTTCAGCACTATTTCTCTTGGTAGGTTGAAACTCTTCTTCCGATCATCTCTTTACTTTATAATTCTAAAAGGGCTCCATCTGTATCTACATTCTTGGTTTTCTTATTTTCCATGAGAACTGGTTTGTTGCAAAGGTCATTTGTTGGAGGCAGACAGATTTATATGCATTACTACTCATAAAACTTTTTGCTTATCATGTGACAGCTGGACTGGAGACAAAGCTTTAAGAGAGCTCGAGGAATCTAATATTACTCGAGAATGCTTCCCAATCTTATTGGAATGCTTTACAAAAGTAAGTCAATTCTTCTCTGTTGTCTGGCTAGGCCCACAGGCCTTTATACGATACTTGAATGTGACATTGTGCTTACTGCTCAAGGCGATCAGAACATCAAAGGAGGCAGAAATGGAACCAGATATGCCTCATTTAAGCGGGATATCTGTCTTGACACTAGAAGGTTTTTTTTCATCTCGCTAACTTTATTACGCATCGCTCTCTGTAATGTAATTATGAGGATGAGAGAGCTTATTGTGCAACTTTCATGCAGAGTTGTTCGCTTCACTTACATACTTCTTTTCAAGAAATGGAAGTCACATCTTAGATTACCAACTGGGTTTACAACGCTCTACTAAAAGAGGTAGAAGTGATTTTTTGAGAGACCTGTTTAGCCGTACGTGTGGAAACTTTACTTTTCTGTAAAAACAAAAGGTGTTCATTGTTGCTCTGCTGGGATGCAGGAAATTTATCTGGTGCCTGGACGCATACTTTCAGTTTGTGGTGCATGAATCCGTCTGTTGTTTTCAAAGACTTAGCTGATCTTTCTTTATCCATCATTTTAACATCTGGGTAAGCAGTATCCTGTCGCTTCTGCAAAGAATCATGTCATCCTTTTTAGAGTCATGTCCACATTTTTCATCTGATTTTTTTTTTTTGAGTAGTAACTGCTTGTTACTTCACTATATAAGTAAAGACCACAACGTCAGTTTACACTTATCATACTCATTATTTTTTAAGTTAAGTTTGGCTACACTTAGTCCTATACTCCTATTTGTATTGCAACATCATATCTATGCATAGCATTCGACTCTTGTCCTTAACCCATTGGCTAGTGGTTTGCTAAATTTCAATTGTTTTTTGCACCATCTCTTTTAATAATGATTAAGTTTAATTTTCTTGGTTGTGAAATATAGGACATTGTCACCGATGAACTCTTTCTCATCTGAACTTGGGATGCAGTTTGGCACTTGTTTAGAGGCTCCACATGTGATTGATGTTAATCTGCAGGTTCTGATTAAAGCCCTCCACTTAGCAACAGTTTCCAGAAATGAATGCATGATTTAACAGTCTCTTTGTTCCAGGTGTGGGCTGGTGCAATCTCCAATGGTCCTAGTAATTATCCTCTGAACGGAAGTTATAAAACAGCTGATGCATACTCATTCCAGGTACTGGGCATTATAGTCATTGGTTCAAGCTCGTTTTGCCTGTAAATCTGTTCTTCTTGTACTAAGATGCATTGTTTTCGTGTAATTTAAAGCACAATACTCTACTTGTCTTTGAAGGATGCTCTAGGAAGATCGTTGGAGGAAATTTTCACTATTGTACCAGGTGGCTCACTTGTATTCTTTCCAAGTTATAAGTTGATGGAAAAACTCAGCACGCGTTGGCGTGAAACTGGACAATGGTCTCGGCTCTGCTTGAAGAAAGACCTTTTTGTTGGTAAGGAACATATATCTTCTACGATCATTTATAAACTGTTGCACCCAATCATATACTGTCAAAAATCTCAAATAAATGTCCTTGGTTGCAGAGCCAAGAGGAGGAGCCCAGGATGAATTTGATTCTGTTCTGAAAGGTTATTATGATTCTATACGCGGGAAGAACAGATTGATTGGAAGAAACAGAAGAGCTAAGAAAGCAGGGCCTGTTAAAACTGAGGCTCAAGATGATTCCAAAAAAGGAGCTGCATTTCTTGCAGTGTTCAGAGGAAAGGTTTGTCCTTTTGTCTTGGTTTCTATTATTGATGTACAGTAAAACGTAGCAATTCAATGTTTAAAGTCTAATGTTTCTCACAGGTTTCAGAAGGAATTGACTTTACTGATGACAACGCCAGGGCGGTGGTATCCTTTTGAACTGCATTGTCTTTGCACCAATAGATGCTTTAATTTATAATAGGATTTATACTGCTCAATTTGGCTAATGAATGGGCTGTTTAACCTTGATGTTTACATACAGATAATTGTTGGCATTCCATTTCCAAACTTGTAAGAATTCTATTTCCCTTTTAAAAAAATTTCAGCTTCATTGCAAATCATCTTAGGGGAAACAGTTTTCTAACGAGTCACTTAATCGCCAGGCATGATATTCAAGTCGGACTAAAGAAAAAATATAATGATACGTACAAATCATCTAAAAACCTTCTTGGAGGGAGTGACTGGTATTGCCAACAAGCCTATCGTGCTTTAAATCAAGCAGCAGGTTCGAATTGATAACTTGTATTTTGTCACTTGGTTTTCAATTCAGTTGATTTTAGTACTGTAACAGGTTATTCTTCATGGTGTTTTTTTGTACAGGGCGATGTATCCGGCATAGGTTTGATTATGGTGCCATCATATTTTTGGGTATTTATAAGATTTCAATATATTTGGATCGTCGTCAATGCTCGATTCTATTTAAATGTTTTGTTTTCAATTCAGTTATATAAGATTTATGAGGTTGCGTTGTTTTTGATGTCCAGATGAGCGATACAAAGAACAAAGGAACAGAGCGTCTATTTCAAAGTGGCTAAGGCAGTCTATCAAACTGTATGATAATTTTGAAGAATCTATGCAAGAGTTAAGATCATTTTTCAACAGTGCCAAGGTTCGTATTATCTCATTCCCTTCCTTGAAACTTTATTACAAAATCATTAAAGTTCCTCGAGAATTGCATGCAGGAACGAGTTGACAGTAAGATGTTAGGGTCCCAGGATTATACAGTTGAGCAGAATTTTTCCTCGGAAAACCAAAGCAAGGAATGCAAAAGGGAGGAAAATCAGATTCAGAAGAAATGTAGTCATGCAGAACCAAAAGTACATTCTAAAAGCAAATATGTTTTCTGGTTTGTGGTGTTTTCAATTCATTTTGTTATTGATCATGAATTTGTGTGCAGGATATCACAGATAGGAAGGTGGTGGACGTGGAGGACTATACACGTTCGTATCCAAAATATCATTTTATGAACGAAGACTGGAAACCAAAAATAGCTGAAGGTTCGAGATCCATGCAACTTTCGGGAGTGAACTATGGAACCTCCATTGCTCAGACATTTATTCAAACTAAAGAGGAAGAAGTCACTGACCTTGAGTGTGGGGTCCAACCTGAGCCTGGGTAAAAATATCAGACATGTTTTGTTTAATACTTACCTGGATTTTACAAGATTCACACCATATAAGTATAATGAGCAGTATACTCGTCCCAAAGTGGCATGCTTGTTAGAGGTAGTTTCAACCCAAGAACTAGCGTGTCATATGAACTTTGAACTGAAATACTGCAGAATGTAAAGTTATATTATACAGTTATTTTAGCAAACTAAAAATTGTCATGTGCAGGTATTGTGAGGTGTCCTCGGTAACCCATTGTGATGAAGATCAAGTAACATCTTTTGTCAAGGAAACGTCTGGTATGATCAAAGGTATTTCAGCAGCCAGTCCATGTTCTTGCTCGAAAAATGAAAGCTCTAGCCCAGCAGCAAGTGTGAGATCTCCGACTTCTCTTGATCAATTCTTAAAGCAGCACATATCTACTGAAAATTTCATCAGGTCTCCTCTTGAAGCAGAGTCACCTTTGAACATGAGTGTGAATTCCCATGCTTTGAAGAGAAGAAAATTTACAAGCTCTCCTGTCATTGACCTTGAAGAAGAAAACGGTAACGCTCCTAGTGCTAGACCCACGGATCAGACGAGTTTCACAAGAAGAATTGAATTTGGGTTTGGGAGTACCGAATCAAGATCACAAAAAGACAATATATATGCTTTTCCAGAAGTGAATCAGAGAGTGATGAGGATATCTTGTTCACTCTGCAGAAGTTCTTTAGGTCACCCGGAGAACCACTCATATCTCAAATGCATGTTGACTTCGTCGTCCAAAACGTATTTGCTGTCTCTTTTAAAAGAAACAGCAGGAACAGGTTCTGCAGAAACGCCAACAAGTGTTTCAGTTGTCATGACAGATTGCTCATTGGTTAATCAGAGACTCTGCAGAAGTTGTGAAAGCTCAGAAGGTCAGGGAATTTGGTGCGAGCAAGATGGATGTGTTTTCAATACTATCTTTTGCCCTTTCTGCAGTATACCAAACACGTGTCTCGGAGTGCAAGTCATGGCTACGGATTCATCAAATGTCCAGTTTCTAAGCAAAGTAAGCTGGCTTTAGTGGTGATTCTTCAGACTGCCAAGTATAATCCCATTTATGATTTGGTTCATTGTCATGAGCTCTGCTAATATCAAGATATATATTTGCTTGTTGGCAGATTTTGTTCTTTGCTGATCAAGTAGCTGTCACAGAAGATGCTGCAAGCAAGGAAACAGCGTTAAAGCATAAGGTATTCTTGCATGCCATACCGCTATATAGTAGAAGTAATATGATTTTTCAGGTGGGAATAAATTTTAATGATTTTGAAACTGAAAGAAGATGATTTTAATGATTTTGAAACTGAACTAAGATGATTTTAATGATTTCAAAACAAAAGCTTGACAGGAAATACCACAAGTGTGGCATCTTATATGATGTGTCTAAATATAGATTTGGATCAATTTCTAGGAATAAACAACAATCTCTCTATTGGTGTTGTAGGAATCTGTTGATGTCACTAATACAGCTTTGGACAAGATTGATGCGTTTAAGTCAATAGAGAGATTTGCATACTCGGCAAAGCAGCAGCAAGACTCAGGAGGAGGCTGGAGAACTACAAAATCAAAGGTCTGGTTTCACAGGCATTCCGGTTTGAGACTCTGTTCTCTGGTAGTCCAGTTCCCTAACCGTCAATCTGAATCTTCTTCATCTGTTGTGCAGCTAAGACTACCAAAACGTGGTTTGCCAACAAGCAAGAAGTCATAGAGAAAAAAGATGTTTTCATGCATCAAACAAGCTGAACCGGTCTAATTCATAATAAGGGATAGCCAAGGCAGCCAAACCGGCATCAAGGAGCATGGAACTTTGCTCCTGTGGTGGAAGAAAGATTTTGGCTTTTGCATCTGAACATGGCTAGCTTCGTTCGGAACTTAGCTTTGTGTTCAAGTCGTGGCAATCGATATGTATATACACTTTTTTCAACTTGAAAATCTAATAACTACTGAATCTAATATGTAAATATATATGTTTTGATAAAGCGATTGATTTATGCTATTAAAGCGGAGAGAAGACCACATCCTAATTGTGTGATTCTCACTCTATCTCTCAAATCTTACAAGTAACAATATTTCCCACACAAAAACAAAAACAAGAATTGTTTAGATCAGCAAAGGCTTTTGTAAAATGCGATTTGCTTCCAAAATGGGCTTGATAAGCCCGCTTCTGAGTGACCCAATGCGAATAATATCGCCGAGAACTGTACGGCCTTTTTTGAGACCTAAGCTTCCCAGTGAAGCTAGATTTTTTCCCGCCCATATTTTGGACAGCGCAAAATTCTCGTACCTCAAAGGAGAGATTCTCCTACTTGTTCTTTTACCTCCGTCACCGAGTCCGACGGATCTCCACGAAGGCTATGGCATCCACAACCAGCAAATCGGATTCGAATCACGAAGAGAAACAAACCCTAAACTCGAAAAACCCTAAAAACGCCTACCAGATCGGAGGACTTCGAGTGGAATTCCCTTATCAGCCGTACGGAACACAGCTCGCGTTCATGAGCCGGGTCATTTCTACGCTTGACCGTGCCCAGAGAGACGGTCACTGCCACGCGCTGCTCGAGTCTCCCACCGGTACGGGCAAGTCTCTTTCCTTGCTCTGCTCGGTGCTCGCATGGCAACAGAACTATAAATCGCGGCTTCTGAAAGGAAATATTCCTCGTTCGAATCATGGAAGTGGATTCCAAACTGAAACACAACCCTCAGGTTCGTGTAAGATCCTAATGTAATTTGCTATTTCTTGTTTAGATTGGGGCAAGTACTAATTTTTGGTTTTCTCTGAATAGATACTCATTTACCTAACAATGTGGAGACAGCTGCACCTGAAGTTCCTATTATATACTATGCTTCGTAAGCGTTATTACCTATCATAAATTATTTTAACGTAATGTTTTGTTTCTTATTGTTATTGATTGTTTGTTTTTGGTTTCTCAGACGAACTCATGCTCAGATCACTCAAGTCATTCGTGAGTATCGGAAAACTGGTTACAGAGTTCCCATGGCTGTACTGGTATGATCTTGCTCTCTTTGCAGGAACTTATTTTATTTATGGTTTAATCAAAGATAAATATCCTCCTTTATCTTTGTTTTTCCTTCGTGTGTCCATATTCATTGTGTTAGGGTTCACGGAAACGTTACTGCACCAATCCTCATGTACAGGGGAAAGAGAACGTAGATGAAAAATGGTAAATCTTCATCCACATTCATATGCAATCTCATTTTCCTTTCCAGATACGGCATAACCTCTATACTAATAACTTTTCTTTCTTTTTTTAGTCGGTTTCTCCTAAAAGATAAGAAGGACATAAAATGTCCTGAGTTCACGTGAGTTTTTTCCTGATATAACTAAGTCTCTTTGTCTTTCTTATTTTGCTGTTAGCTCTTCAAATCATGTAACTGTTTTCCTTTATCTCACAGACGCGTTGATCATGTCCTAGCATCACTTAAACAAAAAGCTCAAGATAAGGTTCATGATATTGAAGACCTTGTAAAAATTGGGAAAGATGTTAGAGGTTAAGATATGGTTTGATTTTTATCTTTTTAACTTTTAACTTTTCAGTTTCGTAATCAATACTAATTTTCTTTTAGGGTGTTCATATTATGCTTCATGGAGAATGTTGGAGGCCGCGCAATTGGTTTTTTGCCCTTATTCCTATATAATTGATCCTGTCATTCGACGAGGAATAAATCTGGAAGGAGCTATCATAATCTTTGATGAAGCACAGTAAGCTTCAAGACCTTCTTGGTTTCAGTATATTTACACTTAATAATTAGCTGTTTACGAGACAAAAGTTTGCAAATTTCTTGTGCTGTTGATGGTTAAGGCCGTCTACTAAACACTTTCACTGCCTACAGCAATATGGAAGACATTGCTCGTGAAGCAGGAAGCATTAACTTGGAAGAAGCGACTCTTTTCAGTATATATACTATCATTGCAGCTATATTAAACTAATGGGTTTTTTCACTGACATTTTACATTACTAATGTGGCTGAGTGTTATGCAGAATTGCAGAAGGAACTAGAAGAGATGAGTGAGGAGGAGCCAGATACATATCAACCCTTGTGTGAAGTAGTAGAGGTAAGTCATTACCTGCAAGATCATATTCAGAGGTATCTTTGCTTACTTTTAATATTTTTAAGTGTTGTATGTATTTTTAGGGGTTGGTAAGCTGGATTGGAAGAAGAAAGGATTCGCTAACAAAACGTGATTCTGAGCATTATCTTACTTTAGAGTTTAGTAATGGTTCCAACTCCATTTATATTTTTGGCTTTTTCTTGTTCTCTTGTTATCTGTATCACTTTTTTTGCTATTTATCATGAGGCAGCTGGAGTGGAGACAAAGCTGTAAGAGAGCTCAAGGAATGTAATATAACTCGAGAATGCTTGCAATGCTTTAATCAGGTAAAGTCATTTCTTTTATTTTAATCTGGCTATGCCCACATGCCTTCTTTATACAAAGCTTGATTGTGACACTGTTCTTACTTCTCAAGGCGATCACAAACTCAGAGGCAGTAGAAGTGGAACCAGATATGCCTTATTTGAGTGGGATATCTGTCACGACACTAAAAGGTTTTTATAATTTTTTGTGTCTCTCGCTAACTTTATCAAAGCAATTGATATCTGTAATACAATTTTGAGTATATATAAGAAGCTTAATTATTTTGCACAAAATATTCATGCAGAGTTGTTCACTACACTTACATACTTCTTTTCGAGAAACGGAAGTCACATCCTAGACTACGAGCTGTGTTTACAACGCTTTATTAAAAGAGGTACCAATGAATATTTTTTTTTTTTGTATAAGACCTATTTAGCCGAATGAGTTAAAAAAAAACTTTACCTGTATTCGTTGTTTCTCTGTTGGGATAAAGGAGATTCTTCTGATTCCTGGACGCATACATTCAGTTTGTGGTGCATGAATCCATCTGTTGTCTTCAAAGACTTAGCTGATCTTTCATTATCCATCATTTTAACATCTGGGTAAGCATTATCTGTTCATGATAGCATCCTACTCTTCCCCCTTAAACCCATTTATGGCTAAGTGGTTTGCTGACGACATCTTCATTGTTTCTTGAGCCATCACTTTCAGTAATGACTAAGTTAAGTTTGAGTTTCTTGGTTGTGAAATTATAGGACCTTGTCACCGATGAACTCTTTCTCATCTGAACTTGGGATGCAGTTTGGCACTTGTTTAGAGGCTCCACATGTGATTGATGCTAATCTGCAGGTTACTTCTCACTAAACCTCTCTACTAATTAGCAACAGTTTTTCCACAACTGAATGTATGATTTTAACAGCGTCTCTGCTTCAGGTGTGGGCTGGTGCAATCTCCAATGGTCCTGGTAGTTTTCCTTTGAACGCAAGTTATAAAACAGCTGATGTACATTCATTCCAGGTACTGGCTCAAGCTCTTTTTGTCCTCCACATGTGTTCTTCTTGTACTTTGTTGCAATAACTGATTGGTCTACTCTGCTTTTAGAGGATACTCTAGGGAAATCGTTGGAAGAAATCTGCACTATTGTACCAGATGGCTCTCTCATATTCTTTCCAAGCTATAAGTTGATGGAAAAACTCAGCAAGCGCTGGCGTGAAACTGGACAATGGTCTCGTCTCTGCTTGAAAAAGGAGCTTTTTATCGGTGAGTAACATTTATCTTCTTTGGTCATGTAAAAAAAACTCTTGCTGCAAAATCCTATAGTAATGTCATAAAACAAAACAAAAAAAACTCTATTCTTGGTTGCAGAACCAAGAGGAGAAGCCAAGGACGACTTCGACTCTGTTCTGAAGGGATACTATGATTGTATACGCGGAAAGAGCAGCAGATTGAGTGGAAGAAGAGTTAATAAAGCAGGGACTGTTAAAAAGGAGGCTCAAGATGATTCCAAGAAAGGAGCTACATTTCTTGCAGTATGTAGAGGAAAGGTTTGTTTTTAGGTTTCTATAATTGATGTTCGTTTAAAGGGTGCAAATTAGATCCTATGAGCATGTTTCACAGAATATAACGTATAGTCTAAATGTTTCTCACAGGTTTCAGAAGGGCTTGATTTTAGTGATGACAATGCCAGGGCAGTGGTATCCTTTACAAACATCAGTTATTACTGTAGTCCCTTTCCTTTAGGATTTATACTGCTCAAAACTGGCTTATTATGAGTTTGGATGTTGAAACCTTGATGATTACATACAGATAATTGTTGGCATTCCATTTCCAAATTTGTAAGAAATTCAATTTCCCTTTTTAAAAATTCTTTTCATCTTGGTGCCAAATCTTCTTAGGCATCACAACTATCTCTTGGCAGGTATGATGTTCTAGTGGAACTAAAGAGAAAGTACAATGATACACACAAATCATCTAAGAACCTACTTGGAGGGAGTGAGTGGTATTGCCAACAAGCCTATCGTGCTTTAAACCAAGCAGCAGGTTCGTTTGTGATGATAACTTTGCATTTCAGTCACGTTGGTTCATGTCAATATTAAGTAATACTCTCGTTTGGTTTCTTCTTCTTTTTACAGGGAGATGTATCCGGCATAGGTTTGATTATGGCGCCATCATATTTTTGGGTACTTTATATAAGAATTTTTCAATATCTCTCTTTATGTAAAACGTTTTGGTTTTGAATCCAGTTATATGAGGTTTGCCTTGTTTTTGATGTTCAGATGAGCGATACAGACAACCAAGGAACAGAGTGTCTATTTCGAAGTGGCTAAGGCAATCTATCAAACTGTATGATAACTTTGAAGAATCTATGCAAGGCTTAACATCTTTTTTCAACAGCGTCAAGGTTCTTACCATCTCATGAAACTTTATTACATAAAAGATCATTATATAGTTTCTTAGAGAATTTGCCTGCAGGAGCGAGTTGGCAGTAAGATGTTAGCGTCCCAGGAAAATCAGATTCAGAACAAATCTAGTCATGTGGAAGCAAAAGTACATTCTGCTCGGACATTGATTCCAGTCAAAAAGGAAGCTAAATGCTGCAAAGAAGTCATTGACCTTGAGATTGGGTAAAAATATATAAGATTCAGTCTCAAACTTTGAATGCAAGAATGTAAAATCTTTGAGCAAACTCAAAAAAACTGTCGTGTGCAGGTGTTGTGAGGGGTCGTCGGTGACCAACTGTGATGAAACCTCTGGTAAGAAATCAGCAGCCAGTCCAGGTTCTTGCTCGAAGAATGAAAGCTCTAGCCCATCAACAGGTCTGAGATCTATGAGGTCTCCTGATCAATTCTTAAAGAGGCATATATCTACTGAAACTTTCAGAAGATCTCCTCTTGGAGCTAAATCGTCTTCAGTAGTGACTCCAGAGAGACACTCCATTGGTGATACCCATAAATCGAGTACTCTAGAAGAAGAATCACCTTTGAACAAAAGTGTTAATTCCCATGCTCTGAAGAGAAGAAAGTTTATTAGCTCTCCAGTCATTGACCTTGAAGAAGAAGACAGTAATGCTCCCAGTACTAGTTTCACAAGAAGAATTGAATTTGGGAGTAACGAATCAAGATCCCAAAACGACAATATGTATGCTAATCCTGAAGTGGATCAGAGAGAGATGAGAATATCTTGTTCACTCTGCAAAAGTGCTTTAGGTCACCCTGAGAGCCACTCATACCTTAGTTGCTCGTTGGCCTCGTTGTCCAAAGCGTATTTGCTGTCTCTTCTGAAAGAAACATCAGGAACAAGTTCTGCAGAAACGCCAACAAGTGTCTCAGTTGTCATGACATATTGCACGATGGTTAATCAGAGACTCCGCACAAGTCTTGAAGGCTCAAAAGGTATTTGGTGCGAGCAGGATGGATGTGTTTTCAGTACTATCTTTTGCCCTTTCTGCAGTATCCCAAACACGTGTCTTGGAGTGCAAGTCATGGCTACTGATTCATCAAATGTTCAGCTTCGGAGAAAAGTAAGTATCTATATCATTTATGATTTGGTTCATTGTCTTGAGCTCTGCTAATAATCAAAAAGTATGTATATCTACTTGTTGGCAGATTTTGTTCTTTGCTGATCAAGTAGATGTCACTGAAGATGCTGCAAGCAAAGAAACAGCGGAATTTGCACGTCGTACCTTTAAATAGAGCTGCTTCTAGAACAAAGCTTAACAGCAAAGACCCACAAATGTAGCATTTTTATGTAATTTTGGAACAATTTCATCCTAGGGAATAAACAAACGATTTTTTTATTGATACAGTTGTGGATAAGAATGATGCGTTTAAATCAAATTGTTTCCAAATCCTCTTTCAATTTTTTTTTTAATTAGGGAGGGAGGGAGACGTAGCTGGAAATGATTTCATATATATTACCAATAAATCTTGTTTCATTTGTTGCCGTTTCAAACATTTTCCTCTTTTGCTTACAAAGCCATTTTTGTAGTTTTGTGTTTAAATATACAACATTTTTTTATGCTTTTTTTGTGTGCAAATACTTCATTCATTTAAAACGTAAAACCGGTTCAGATCCATCGTGAGCAAAGCATTTTTTGCCAAAGAGTCAGCATCTCGATTCCCCTCTTTCGATACTAAAATCAAATTGGGATTGGTGAAACACAAAAATCTATAAATAGAACTTGTTAAAGGTCTCACACACAGTACACATGACAATATCCTCTTATTGAGACAACCAAATATTGTTTCAAATTTTAGTTCAAACACACATAGAAGAGAATAGAGATCTTCATTGTTACTTTACGTCATCTGAAAACTTCTACTACTCAACAAATGCTCAATCCCTGAAAACAAAAAATTAGTAAAAAAATTGCATAGACGTAATATCAGATGGAAAAGAAAAACAAAAACAAATTATATTTTAAGATATTACCTAAATCGGGAGTTGGGAAGAGTATATGGTCATAAGATTCAAACCCTCCAGAATCTTCACAACTCTTCTTCTCCTCAGTCGCCGCCGCCGTATCATCGGCCTGGTCACCTGCAGTCATCGTCGTCGTTTGAGGCTGCTTTCGTTTAGACCGAGCTCGTCGGTTTTGAAACCAATTGTATACATTTTTCTCCGTGATCTCTCCATGTTCGGACAGCTCTGTGGCGATCTCTTTAACTCTCCGTGGATTCGGTGTTCCGCTTCCTTCCCCGTAAATGCTCTCAAGAATCTGAAGTTGCGTCAACGTTGGAGTCCATCGATGCCGAGTCGATATCCTATGACCGCTTGACGATGCCACCATCTGATCAAAGTTTCCGACTCCCATTGGATTCATTCCTATCGTATTTTTCTCAAATCATTAGCAGACCAAAACTAGTAACGTGAGCCTCAAGTTTCTTCGGGGTATTATATACGAATTATATTAACGCCTCCAGGGCATGAACATACAGCGAACAATGAGAAAAGCGTTTGATTTCGTGTGTCGCACGCAAACGCAGTTTTCGCTTTTCGATTTCGTAAACTAGTATCTCAGTAAGTTTGGTCACAATCTTGCATTTATAACAAACACATTCTTCTTTAAAAAACACGTATTTTCCTTTCTGTTTGCTCGTCTTTCATTGAAGTGATTGTTTGTAAATCAGAAGAAACACAAATATATATATAGAGAGATGAGACTGAGAGAGTTTGTAACCTGATGAGAGAGGATGGAAAGAAGAGAGAGAACTATGGAGGAGACGGAGCTGGTCAGAAATAACGGCGTAAATGGCGATCTGCTTACGGAGAATCTCCATTTGCTCATCCGTCATAACGCAACCATCATCATACGCACCGTATTGGATCTCTTTCTCCATTTCTCTCACCACACTTTGCTTTCTCCTCTTCCTTGTTTACCATATGAAGAAGACAACGAGAGAATGTACTTATTTATTAGCGATAAAAAAAGTAAACACCTCTTTTGGAAAGATCTCTTGCCTAAAAATCAATTTGCTCGATTTCATTTTCATTTGATGATGAGTAATTGGATTATAATTGATTATAAATGAATTCTTGATATGTGGTCATATTACCATCCGATTCTGTATACATCTCTTGGTAGATGGTAAAATGTAGAAATCAAAAGTTAAAAGCAAAATTCACCTGGATTGGTTCAGTACTGTTTTGTGTTTGAATTTCAATATTTTCAGTCGACTTTTACGGGTCAATATACATCAACTATCTTTGCACCCAAAAAGGAAAAAAGATATCAAGCATTTGGAACAAGATCATAATCAAACAAATAACTAAAATCAGGTAATATATAATACGTACACCACAGTCCACATTTGTTTGTAGCATTAACAAAATTTAACCTAACTAATTCCAAGTATGATGGTTTTTACAGCTTAAGTAGTCTTTTTCAGATGCATGCTTGTGGAACACGGATCGTGTATAACTTACATCCAACACATGAAAATTACAGTAATCAAAAACCAATTTTCAACTTAAAAATCATACGTACGATCTAAGGAATTAGAACTTCCTAGTAACCAATCCAGGTGATACGAAAATCACATGCATATCTTTTTTTTTGGGTGTAAATGTGAAGATATCACATGCAATCGTTAATTATGTTTTGCGGTTTAACTACTTTTCACTTTGCCAACGAGACTCCAGTGGGTCTTCGGCCCATCAAATATTCAGTCACTTTATTTATATTTTTCCTTCTAATCCCGAAGCAGAGAGTGGGCACATCAAATTTGTGAAACACAAATCTACAATAAAAGACTTGTTAAGAGGGAACACATACATAATAGTGTCATTTTCAATAAAATATTGCTTAGTTTTATGGAAACAGAGGGAAGAAAAGATATTCAATTTTTGTATGTCAGACTATACGAATTTAACTCTCCAGAAATTTCCCCTCTAACAAATGCTCAATCCCTGAAACCACAAAAAACACACAACAACCACATAAAATCACGACCACATGTCTTCACCTATTTTGTTATTTAATAATAATAGGGAGTATAAACATTTAAATAAATAAATAAAAAAACCGAACGAGAACGAAATTCATCAACCCAATTTGTAACCAAATTTCTAAACGAAAATGAAATTCATTAAAAATTAATATTTTCAAGTTTGGATGGAAAAATATCTATATTAAATATTAATATACTAAGTTATATTAACGATTTTATTTAGATTGTTTTTTATAATCAAAAGCAAAACCCGAACTGAGAAAACCAAACCAATCAAAAACATTTCAAACCATCCGAACTTAAAAACCAAATGCATGGGCCTAAAATCATATAGACAAAACTCAATTTATATAAAACAAAATTTACCTAAATCCGGACTCGGGAAGAGTATATGCTCATAAGACTCAAATCCTCCAGAATCTCCACAAGTCCTCCTCTCCTCCGTCGTCACCGCCGCATGTTCGGCCAGACCAGTCGTTGTCGTCGTCTGAGGATGCTTTCGTTTGGACCGAGCCCGCCGATTCTGAAACCAATTGTAAACATTCGTCTCTGTGATCTGTCCGTGTTCAGACAGTTCCGTAGCGATCTCTCTAATCCTCCGTCGATTCGGTGTTCCGCTTCTTTCTTCGTAAATGCTCTCAAGTATTTGAAGCTGCGTTGATGTCGGAGTCCATCGATGCCGAGTCGATATCCTTTGAGCGCTTGTTGACGCCACCATTGGATCAAAGTATCCACCGCCAAATGGATTCGTTCCTATACGTGAGCCTTAAGTTTCTTCAAGTAAAATTATATATATATACACCATAAAATGCAAAGCGCTAATAACTCTAGTTCAAACCAAGCTTCTAAAGAGATCATGAAATATATTTTATAAAACGCAATAAGTTTTGAAGAGAATTAGATAATTAATCATTTTCTTTAGCAACTAATCGATGTCAAAGCCGTAGCTAAAATGTCTTCTCCACGTCAAAGCCGTAGACACCAAGCAAAGAAAGAGGATGCTTACCAAAAAGAAAAATGGAGCAGAGGAAACGGTTACGTGGAGAAGATTCACGCACAGCACTAGATTGGTTTTCAGTTATGTGATCTTAAAAGCCACTAATTCTGAACTCGAGTATCTCCTTGCTCGACGTACGCACGTGATACGTCTTCCTAGATTAAATCTAATTTAATTGGTATTATTTCTGCAAGGACATTGGTATTAATAAACCTTAACCTAAATTCATCAGTAGGTGAAAACATTGCAAGTTTTTTGACGGAGGACGTGCTCTACGAGGTTAATCGAGTTGAATCGCGAGCTTCTCCGATCACGAAGAGATGCAGGTTTCTCTTTTGCTCTCTCTCACTCTCTCTCTCTCTCTCTCTCTCTATATATATATATATATATATGTGTGTGTTTCTGAAATCGTTCCATATGTATTTCAAAACTGAAACAACTTGTAAAACTCTGTCAATTAAAAGTGATGAAAAGAAGGAGTGAATTGAAGATGGATGAACTTATCGCCAGCTTCCAATCATCAGTTCGTCTTGGGTAAGAAGTTATTTGAGATTTATATTACAATTTTTTTAAGAAATATTAAGGGTTATAATTTTATTTGGTGGTTTTTGTTTAGGGGAAACCGACGGACGATTTGAAAGCGGACCCGATCTCCAACAAGAGGAAACACACTGATTCTCTCCACTATATGGTCGTCTTTGTTTTTGAATATAAGAGGAGTTAGTGACAACAATTGAGTTTAATCACAAAATATATATAATCTCACACAGTTAAACAAGTGTGTCCGAAGAATATTATATTCTTGATTTTATTATACATTTAAAGCGTTGTAATTAACACATCACATAACCGTTATAACTTCTATTTGGTGCATCTTGATGTTTGTGGTTCTTTGAGATGAATTTTAAACCGAAAAATTGAACCATGAAAAACCGAGTGCTTTTATAATTGGTGCATAAAGACTAAACCAAGTATATAATGCCAAGCTTTGGTTATTTTTCTCATTCGTTTACCCTAAACCGTCTGAATTACACATGAAACAAATGATTGTCAGTCTCTTAAGTGTTCGTGTGCTGCATACCAAACGCAAACGGAGTTTACACTCTCTTACACTATTTACACTATCGTAGCTAGCAGCTCAATGATCTAGGTGTGTGATTGAGAAAACGTTTGCATCTCAAAACGCTGCGTTTAGACTCTTCCTTCGAAATTAGAACACTTCTTTTACCGTTTGCAAAAAAAAGCTCATATGCGCATATGAAAAGGTCGAAGACATGTAAAGTGATTGTGTGTAAATCAGAAGAACACACACACACACAGAGGGAAAGAGAAGTGTACCTGATGAGAGAGAATTGTGGAGGAGGGCGAGCTGGTCACAAATAACGGTGTAAACGGCGATCTGCTTACGGAGAATCTCCATTTGCTCCTCCGTCATAACTCTTCCATCATACTCGCCGTGTTGGCTCCCTCTCTCCATCTCCTTCACCACTTTGCTTTCTCCTCTTCCTTTTTTACCATATGAATGAGAAAGTGAATGACTTATATATCTTTTCTTTTTAATGAATAAAGCATCTTTAGTTTATTTGTTACCGTTAAATTAAACACTTTTAGGAAACATCTCTTGACTAATTGGCCTGATTTGCTTTTCTTTAAATTACAGGTTTATTAGGGATATAAGTTACAATCATCCTATTTTTAATTTTTTTCTTAGATTGTTTAGAAATAAAATTATTGCTATAACTAGGATCGATTTTGGTCAACCATGTTCACTATTTAGTGTTGGAGTTTCAACATTTTATTCGAGTTTTACGGGTCAATCCACCATTTGAAAAAGAAAAGAAAAAGTATTAATCCAAAATATCTAAGATGATCTTAATGCTATGTGTTGATGACATAATAAGACACCACACTTATATATATAATATATATATATAATATATTCCAGGTATTATTACATCAATGTATTTTACTTTATAGTGGTTCGGTAAAGCCGGAAGCAAGGCTTAATCATAGCATAATATAAAATATTATCGTTGTGACTACTAATTAAAAATAATATAAGAAGAGAGCATGCTTTCTTCTTCTTTTTTTGTGATTAAGAAGACAATAATGTATCAATTTACGACCAAAACAGTTCTTTGATATAAAGATAAATAAAATTTAACCACACTATTGTGCTGCATTCACGCGGATTCCGCTCTCAATCTTCACTTTTGTCAACAACGAACGAAAAATATTCCTTATATACATCCATAGAAAATATAATTCCGTATGATATTGAGTATGTTTTATAAAAAGGTGAAAAGAGAACCAAATCATCATGGCCTTGGTCATTGAAAAGAAGGCATTAAAACGATTTTACCAAACCTTTGAAACTAAAGTCAATTCAACGAAATGAAAAGTTAAAGACATGGATTACACTTTTGTGGAAACACCTTGATTAAGAGCGTGTTAATGGTCAAACCCAATACGATCACGAAAGGGAAACAGTGTGTAGCACAAGAAACATGAATTGTATATTTGTATTGACTATTGAGAATGCATTGACAAACTAGGTTATAAAATATTCCAGTAAGCAATCATATGAATATTTTTAACCACAACTATAAGCAGAGAATAAAAAGAGCTTATAAAGATCATAGCATACGTAGAGGGATAAAGAAGCTAAATCGTTATATAGAGCTGCAAATCTCTCATTCATCATCTAAACATTCTACATTCACTTTTTCCATTACCCGTAGAATCAGTGGGAGAGAGTGATAGTTTTACTAAAACATCAGTAAAAAAAAGAAAAGAAAAAAAAAGACCCACTTTTAACCAGCCACGTTAACATTTTAAGCTTAAAAAAAAAAAAAGATAAAACATCCGAGAGATCCTTGCAGCCTTCCTATATTATGCTACCAACTTGTTAGTCATCGTCTTCCTCCTACATATAGAACAGAGTTATTAATACAAAGCTTTTATATGATTATGATAGTAATGCAGATAAAATAAAGAGGCAACCATTTACTGAGCTACATACAAAAGTAAGTTCCAAATAACGATGTAACTGTAACTAACTTTTACAGAATTAAGCAATTTACCTCCTCACTTCCATCCTCGGCATCATCCTCATCATTCACTTCTGACACTGACTTGTCAGATTCCTCATCCTCCTTGGGACCTTCCTCCTGAAAACACCAACCACATTCATATTTGTCAAGCACTACCGTTCTCAAATAACCCAAAGCATGCTCTGCGGATTAAGGAATGAGTTATGTTGTATACTCAAAACTATATATCTTACCAGTTTCTTGTTGTAGGCTTTCATGCTCTTCTCATACTCAACCTTGCGCTTGTCAGCCTTAGCTACGTAGGGAGCCTTCTCCTACATTATTGTGAAAACACAAAAGGTTTAGAAATACTCAAGCATGTAAACATTTAAGATAACACAAAACTATAATCAACTAGATTAGAGAACGCACAGAGTCTGACAACGATTTCCACTTTCCTCCACCAGCTTTTCCAACCTAAAATCCATTGAAGTTCGTCGTCATTATAGATTCAAACACCCAAGCCTATGGTTACAACAAATGGAGAAGGTAGTAAGAGATAAACACTCACAGCAGCAACAGATTTGTTCTCGGGGTGTTCCTTCTTGTAAGTCTGACGGAACTCCTCCCTTCAGATCGCAAAACCAGCAAAAGAGTATTAACACAAATAGTTTAAGTCAAATCGATATAGGATTACTAAATTGGATTATACAATTATCGCAAGTATTAACAAAGGATCACATCCAAAGCAACTCGTGAACAATTACAACACAAATAGGATTTAAGTGTTCTGAATCGAAGATAGCGGACCATGCTCATCTGCTAACAGATTCTCACAACTCAGCCAAACAAAGCGCGAAAAGACTAAACACGGAAAATTTGAGGGATCGGAGACGATGCTTACATGAAAACGAAGAAGGCACTGGACGGCCTCTTTGGTTTGTTTGGATCCTTAGCCGCAGCTTTGGCAGCCTTAGTAGGCTTTTTGTTCACAGAGAGCCTATCAATACAGAAAAGTCTAGTCAGGAATCGCTCCGAAAGAAGCGAAAGCGATACGAACACGATCTGAAATATCGAGATCTAGGAAATAACTATGGAGACCCCAAAAAAATGGAAGAATCGATCTTATCTAGCTGAGACTTACTTGTTGCTCCTGGTTTCAGTCTTTGAATTAGCTCCTTTCATGATCCGATTTCTGCAGGCAGATCACTAGATCAGCGAACAAAGTAGGAGAATAGGAAACTCAATCAAACAGAGAAAAACCTAGAAGAGAATAAGAACAAACTAAGCGGAGAGAATATTCGATTCGAAACGCAATAAACAATCTGGAGAAATAATTATGACCTACAGAGATCGATACATACACAATCGAGAGGAATTTGAGATATATAAACCGGAAAATTAACAGGAAAATCGAAGAAAATCGAAGAAAAACGGAGGAAATCACCTTGACGAAGATCGTAGGGTTTGAAAACGGAGAGAGAGAGTGAGTAAAAGGAATACTACGTGTTTGTGATTTCTACGACTTGAGAAGGATCGGAGTGAGAGGCTAAAAGGGTTAGTGGGGGGGTTGTAAATATCTTGTGAAAAAGATATTGAAATTTCAATTTCGCACGAAATGAAAATAATCTGAGGGGTTTAGGCGGGATTTCAAATATATTTAGCCACGTCATCGATCCGTGTGATTTGTATCATTGGCTCTCTCACATCCTCACCCTTTATTGATCCTAACATAGCCTATGTGCTTTCTTGTGTGCTTGCTTGTATTTATGTAAAGAAACGCAATTATATAACTATTTATAGGAAAATGTTATATATGAAATAGATAAAAAGAAAAAAAAAAAAGATTTGTTAGGTCAATTGGAAAGCGAGGCATAATGACAGAATAATACTCGAATCTTCACTTTCCCAAGTAGATATATACTCCACATAAATACTACTACTAGTGATCTCATGTTGTTTGGTTAAAATAAAAATCCACTTAAATGGTGTTTAATCCTTTTAAGCATAATAAAAAGAGAACCGAACCTCATCACAACACTGCTCTTCGAGAAGGAAGACCACTCCAAATGAGGATTTTTAAAGAAAATTAACACATCATGCCGTTGTTTCATTTTACAAAGTTGCGTGACTTATAGATCACACTTTGATAAATTTCACTTTGATTTCGAACTGTATTGCTAAAGAACCTTAACAAGAGTGGTAAGTCTTTAGTGATAGGTTTTACAAAGTTGCGTAACTTATAGATTACACTTTGATTAAGAACTTTATGGCTAAAGAATCTTAGCAAGAGTCGTAAGCCATATTTTATAGATCAACGCTTCCTTTTAACTGTAGTGATAGATTTAACATCATACAGAATAATAAACTGAGGAAAGAGTAAGTAAAAACTAAATCGTTTTATAGAGCAAAGAGTACAGAGCTGCAAGTCTCTCTTTCTTCTCACCATCTAACACATTCTACAATTCACTTTCTCCATCCAAAGGGATTAATCCGTAGCAACAGAGGAAGCTTGTGGAAATACAAAAACGAAAAGGAAAAGAAAAAAAAAAGATAATAGAAGATCCCTTTTAATCAGCACCATTAACATTATAAGACAAGATAAAAAAAACCAGAGAGATCTTTGCAGCCATCTATACTAGTGCTACCAAACTTCAACTTCTTAATCATCGTCCTCCTCCTGCATTTAGTTACACACCAGAGTAAGAACAAAGCTCAGTATACGCAACGACGTGTGAAATAACTTTAAAAAGAATCAAGCACTGACCTCTTCACTACCATCCTCAGCATCATCCTCATCATTCACTTCTGACACTGACTTGTCAGATTCCTCATCTTCCTTTGGACCTTCCTCCTGAAAAAAAATCACAACATATCATTATTGGTCAACGACTCAAATAAGTCTTAATAACAAAAGACTCGATTGACACTTGATGTACCAGTTTCTTGTTGTATGCTTTCATGTTTTTCTCGTAGTCAACCTTGCGCTTCTCAGCCTTGGCAACGTAAGGAGCCTTCTCCTGAAATATTGTTAAAACCCAACGTGTTAGACTTAAGCGCGCACAGCGCCTTTTGAGATGATAACACCAATTTAAAGTAAACTGTTCGGAGAACGTACAGCATCTGACAAGGATTTCCACTTGTCTCCAGCAGCTTTTCCAACCTGTTTAATCCAATTCAAAATCAATCATCAGTACAGCTTTGAAAATGAAGGTAAAGGTACACAGCACGTAGAAGAAGTTCATAGATGAGAACAAAAACTCACAGCAGCAACAGATTTGTTCTTGGGGTGTTCCTTCTTGAAAGTCTCACGGAAATCTTCCCTTCAGATCACAAAAAGTCAACGCCAGTGTTAAAAACACACAGAATTAAGTCAGAAACGATAATAAAAAAACAAAAAGATAAACCATCACATCCAAATCAGAAAAAGGAAAAATCACAGCTATAGTAGAAGGTTCGTTGAACTACTATCAGATACTATTGACTCGACGATAGCAGACAAAAGGATGATTCTACTAATCTCACCTTGAAAAGATACGTAGTAGCCAGATGAAAAAAAAACTTTTGTACGGCAAAAAAGTTTTTATCCATGGAAACTACTGAACACAGAAAACTGAAGAATCGGTAGGCGATGATTACATGAAAACGAAGAAGGCACTCGCTGGCCTCTTTGGTTTGTTTGGATCCTTAGCAGCCGCTTTGCTACGGCCTGCTCCCTTAGCCGGCTTCTTGGTCACAGAGAGCCTATTACCAGCAAAATCAAGTAACGAACCGCTCAGAAAACAACAACGATTTGAAAAAAAACGGATCTGAAACACAGAGATCTGGCTGCAACTTACTTGGAGCTCCTGGTTTCAGCCTTTGATTTACCTCCTTTCATAATTGATTCTGCTGCGAGATAATCACGAGATCAGCTAGGGAATTAGACAAGTACGACAGAAATCGCAAGCATCCAGAAGAAGAGCAACAACAAAAAACTACAGAAAATTTTGTTCTATTCACAAAAGCGACAATTAGAGAAAGTTTCACCTAAAGAGATCGATGCACTAAGCGAGAGGAATTCGATGCTACAGAAACGAGCAAGTGATGCTAATATCGCAAACGTATGAACACAGACCAGGCAGGTTATGTATAAAACAATTAACATCGAAGAGATCGCGAAAAACACAATCGAGGCGAATTCGATATAGAAACTGGGAAACAAAATCAAACTAGGAAACGAAGATCAGAGGGAAATTACCTTGACGAGGAACGTAGGGATGGAGAGAGGAGAGGAGAGGAGAGCAAAAGGAATTATACGTGGTTGTGATTTGTACGCCTTGTGGGGAGATTCAAGTGAGAGGCCAAGAGATGAGAGGGGCTAGTGGAGGGTTGTAAAATATCTCTCTGGTCAATAAAGGATATTGAAAAAATTGAATTTCGCACGAAATGTAAAAAACTGAGGGGTTTAGGCGGGATTTCAAAGATATATTGCCACGTCATCGATCCGAGTGATTTGTATCCATTGGCTCTCACTTCCTCAAGGTTTAATCCTTCGCCTCGCTTATGTGTTTTCTCATGTGCTTCTTCTCTGCGTGAGTATTCAGCGGCAAGTGATATGACTCATTGCCCTTCCTTATTATAATTAATTAAAAATCATAGCAATAATTACGATATATTTGTTCGCATTAATATCTCCTCGAGGATTCGGTTCGGTTTTCTGCGTCGGTCATCCGGTTTATTCAATAATTAACTTGACTCGACTCAATTCGGTTCGGGTCGCCTTGTGATTTCTATTTTTTCTAGGGTTTCTGATTTATGGAGGAAAGTGTATATATGAGCTCCTTCATCGCCGCCATAATTAAGGCGGACAGTGAGCCTTCAAATCATCCATTAATCTTCTTTGCGCTTTTTTTTCATCATCTTGGTTTATCCGAATGAGTTTCAAAATTAGGTTTTCTATTACAGTTTCCAATTGTTGGATTAGAAAAAGGTGTTTTTGATGAATTTTGCCGGAATTTTCCGAATTGATTAGAGTTTTTTTTGTTTGCGTTAAGATTAGAAATATGGTGCAGAGAGGGGGAGCAAATGATGGGATACACTTGATCTCTGAATTTTACAGGTAAGTTCGCTTGTTGAAAACTAAAAATGTGCTGATGCTCTCTCACTCTGCACCGGATTAAGATTTGTGTTCATGAGATTGATGATATGTAGGAAGATGATGTGACTTGAGTAGATAAAGTTTAAGCATGGAAGTAATCAAAATGCATCAGAGAATAGGATGATTAGAAAATGCGGTAAACATGTTCGATGAATTGCCTGAGAGAAACTTAACCCACCGTTGTTGTAAGTGGCACTTAGTATACGATAATGTAAAAGTCTGTGGAAATGGAAGAATCATAAAAGAAAGCACCAAATTGTGCCATTGCGGCAATGGAAGAATCAATCTGTCTTGTTGATCATTGATCATTGTGTTTGTGAATTTGTTCCTCTTTGCCCATTTTCATTTTCCAAAAACAAATGATTTCATTGAATAAAATACTTGAACCATGGGATTGGTTTATAGGGTTATATCAACGAGTCCCATAACCGCAGTTAGATAGGAGATGCGTGGGACATCGGAAGCTACTGCGTCCTTGTTCTTGCGCTCATCATCATCCTCGAGAAAGGAGAAAGATGGTGTAAACTTGAAGAAGTCTATGTCGCTTCCGGGTAAGTAGAAAGAATAGGTTGTCCCCAAAAGTCCCCAGCTGTTGGCTTCCATGTCGTACACATGAATCACACCGTTGAAGTTACGACTCTCTTTCTCGCTCACCACCAGACGCTTGCCATCGAACGCAACCACATGCCAGCGTAGAAGCTCACACTTTTCCATATATACGTTCTCGATACGTTTGGCGAGGGACCACTCGTGAGGATCGAGTGTGTAAAATGAGATCTGTTCTCTTGTCCCCGATATCAAGGTCAGGCGATTGGTCTTGTCATCGGACGCGAGGAACAGTTTCGAATCCGGTTTTCCACTGAATGTGCAAGGAACAAGGCGTGCTTCTTCTGTCTCGGGGTTGAAAGTCAGCTTACTGGGGGACAATCGGTGTAACCGTCCTAGGTTCACTTTCCAAATCAAGCAAAATTAGGATAATAATGGGACTTAAATTTAAATTTGTGTGTTTTATCAATTATTAGGGGTCCAAATTTATGTTTTTATCAATGAAAGGGCTCTAAATCTTTTTTGCCCAAATTTATATTTTTATCAAGGGCTCTAAATCTTTTTTTTGTCCAGAGGCCATTAAAAGTATTGAGCAGGTCCTGTTGAAAGCTACGATGCTGCCGTCGTTTCTCAGCCAGTGAAGAGTGCCCTCCAAGTAAACAGGTCTCACCCGCTCCACGAGATGCTCTCTTTCTGAGTCTCTGGTGATGGTCGTTTCGGATACCCTCTAGGAATCTCCGTCGCCGATCTCGAATCCGTACGTGGTCTGCGTCTCTAGTATGTAGACGATCTTGAATCTTTTGGCGGCTCGAACTCGATCTACTGTGAAACCGATGCACATAGCTCTCTGCGTACAAGAAAAGTTGCTCTTGGGGTAAGTGCCATCTTTCCAACACTCGCCATCGCCGCCAACGACCTCAGGGATAAGCTTTGAGCCATAGTGGTCCATGAATTGAAACCTCCTTGTGAGGGGATTCACGACGAAGAGGCCATCGACGTACAGTAAGAGAAGGCCGGAGCAAGAGCTGAGAATGTAATGAATATTATGAAGCTTGGCACACAGTAAGTAACAATCAATTCCATTAAATTATAATCTGACCATTATAAAACAGTTTATTAGTACATTTTGTACTGAAATCTAATTTTTCTGAAAGTGTCTTTGATGAATATATCATTAAGAATAAAATTATCATATATTTATAACTTTTTACTGCAAAATACTGGATTAGTTGATGATTTGAACAAAATGTCAAAAAAAAAAGGTATGATATCCATACTTTGTTGGTATTACATTATCATCATTCATGTAACAAGAGAGAAGCCTTGGTCTTGCCTTTTTTCCTCTACTAAATTTGATTTTTACTTTTGCTATAATTTGTTGGTATTGTATGTCTACGAGAAAAGCAGTCTTCCTACCTCATTAAAAAGAATAGAATCATTGAAATAAATGAAAATACTTATTATGATTGGATATCATACTTTTTGAAGCGCACACACCAAGAACACAAAGACTCGAACTTTTGTTTCTTCACACTCACGTTTGCCTCTCTCTCTCTCTCTCTCTCTCTCTCTCTCTCTCTCTCTCTCTCTCTCTCTCTAATATACGCGTTCTCACCGGAATGGAGAAATGCATGAACTAGGGTGAAAGTAAAGTGAAGGAGAAACGATATATATACTTCAAAGAAGAAGAAAGGATGAGACATCGCTTCAAGACAACTAGTTTGCAGATCCAAAAAGACTCCTGACAAGTCCGACGTCGATATACACGTTGTTGCTCCGGGTGTTCACACGCTCACTCTAAACGGACTCGATAAGGTACGGTGGTTTATTAAAAGAATCTTGACACTGTATTCCGTTTCATAAACTAAATCAATTAACGTCCCTCTTGCAGGATGAAGCTCTAAAGACCAGGTTTGCAGATACTCCCTAAACCTTCAGCTTTGGTAGTTGTTGCATGTCTTTTTGGATATGCAAACTAGTTGTCTTGAAGCGATGTCTCTCACAATTAGGTGATAGCTCAGGCCATTGGAACTCCTTTTTTCTCGGGCCCCTATCCTCGCAAAAATCGTTTGGACTCATAGTGCCCTTGCGACAAGATTCAAATAGATATATAGTTTATTAGGATACAAGAAGAAAAGGTTAAAAGAAAAAGACAAAAAAGTAAAAGCATATTAATCATATATACCTCAAGAAACTCGGTAGGTAGCAACTCGGAGCGGTTCCTACCGAACCATGTGCCTCCGTTCGGTTCAAGCCAACTTCTCAACACCTGGCCAGTTCCATCCCAAGCCGCCGCTCTGATCACCCTTTTAAACAAAAGAAGATGCAAAATTAACATTCATTAACATTGTTCACGCACAACATGAAATGAAGGCATATAATAAAAAAACTTGCCTTGACTCCCAATTGTTCCGGTTCTGAAACAGCGCAATTGTTCCTTCTTGTCCCCATTCGAATGCCACTACCCCCACCATTTTCTCTCTCTAATTACTTCTTCTGCTACTGAATAACTCTCTCTCTCTTATGGTGTTGTGAATTGTGATGATTCTGCATCTCCTGTGTTGTGACCCTCTCTTCTTATAGTCGATTTTCACCTCTGCTTCTTCAACTGCCCCACACGCGTTATCCACATTTGGTCTAGTCTCTTAATATGCTGTTTCGAATATTCTCCTCGTTTGAGTAATGAGGACTCGTGTCGTGTGTATGTGTGTGTAACCATTTAGAATATCTCACAGTGGTTTTTATAAATACTAGGTATTTACCCGAGCTATGCGGCGGGATATTTTTCTAAATTTTATATATATTTTAATATAATAAAATTATTTTTATAATATAAATGAGTATTATATTTATTTTTTATTAGCTTAAGTTATGTATTTATATGTTTTAAATCTGAATAAATATTATATTTTTTTATTTTTTTAAAATTATAATTTGCTATTAAATTTAGTTAGCTAACTAATTATAAATATATATATATATAAATAAAATATATAAGAATAAAGCAATACATCTTTAGTACCTTCATACTAATGGCAAATGTAATATATTTTCTCCAATAAATTATCACATGATCCTCCTTTGTAATTATATAAAGCAAAATGTCATTTAAAAAAAAGATTTATTAATTAATATGATTATTTTGAATTATAAAACTTATTTATTTATCAAATATTTTATTATAACATATGTTTCTAAAACTACCAAACTATAATCAATAAAATTCATATCAAAACAATTGCCATTGCTTTAGAACTAAATAGAAAATTATGTTTGAACTCTTAAAATACCGTTTTAGTTAAAGTTAAATAATTAAATTTTGGTTACTGTAAACATACTTTAACTTGGAAATTTAGCACATAGAAATTTCATCTTCTTACAAAAATCGAAAAAATCGTATTTTCCGTCAAAACAAAAAAAAACTTCATTTTCCCATTAAACTGAGAAATCGGCTAATCCCGCCAAAACCAAAAAATTCATTTTCTTGTCAAACCTAAAACCTAAAATTTAATTTCCCGCGAGAACCTGTGTTTTTCCACCAAAGCCGAGAAATTACGTTTTTTCACAAAAACCAAAAAATTTCATCTTTCTGCAAAAACTAAAAAAAAAAAATTGTATTTTCCTGCCAAAATCGAAAAATTTATTTTTCCTACGAAAACTGAGAAATCGTCTATTCCTGCAAAAAAAAAATCATTTTTTTTGTCAAGCCCAGAATCACGCTTTCCTACAAAAATAAATAAGCTACAATTTCCCGCAAAAACCAAAAATTGCATTATCTTCCGTGAAATTGTGTTTTTCCGCAAAAACTAAGAAATTATTATGTTTCTATCGGTTCAAATTTTTGGTGATGTGTGAGCTTCTTATAACATAAGGCTTTTTGTGTTGTTATCATGGAAGCATAGTTAATGCCGAGCCTACACTTTTTCAATCATATACGTCTATGTCAAACAAACAAATAGCTAGATTTTTTATTATTATTTATGTATTGTTATTTATTATTTGGATTTGGTTTTGGCAAAAAAAGAAAACAATGATTTAATTTTTTTTATTTGTTTTTTATTTATTGTTTGGATTCGGTGAAAAATAAAATAATGTTTTTTTATTTGTTGTTATTAGTTATTTGGGCTTGGGTTTGGTAAAAAATAAAATAAAAATTAATAGAAAAAATATTTGGGTTTTTAATGGGTTTAAGTTTAAAAATTAAAATAAGTAGATGAGATGTATTAATAAAATGTTTTGATTGGTCATTATTTTTGCTGATGTGTCATGTTTATTAAGCTTAAAAAAGCTGAGGTGTCAAGCTATGGAGAAACTTTAGTGTTATTGTTATGTTTATATCGGTTCAATTTTTTGCTGATGTGTGAGCTTCTTATAACATAAAGCTTTTCTGCGTTGTTGTCATGGAAGCATAGTTGATGCTGAGCCTACACTTTTTTCAATCATATACGTCTATGTCAAACAAATAGATAGCTAAAATTTTTTTATTATTGATTTGTTGTTATTTATTATTTGCATTTGGTTTTGGCAAAAAAAAAGAAACAACGATTTAATTTTTTTTTTTTTTATTATTATTTGGGTTTAGATTTGGTAAAAAATAAAATAATAATTTTTTTATTTGCTGTTATTAATTATTTGGGCTTGGGTTTGGTAAAAAATAAAACAAAAATTAATAGAAAAAATATTTAGGTTTTTAATGGGGTTAAGTTTAAAAATTAAAATAAGTAGATGAGATGTATTAATAAAATGTTTTGATTGGTGATTATTTTTGCTGAGGTGTCATGTTTATAAAGCTTAAAAAATCTGAGGTGTCAAGCCATAGAGACTTTAGTATTATTGTTGTGTTGACTAGAATTTTTTTATTATTTATTTGTTGTTATTTATTATTTGGATTTGATTTTAGCAAAAAAAAAGAAAACAATGATTTATTTATTATTGTTTTTTATTTGGGTTTGGATTTGGCAAGAAATAAAATTAAAATATTTTTTATTTGCTGTTATTAATTATTTGGGCTTGGGTTTGGTAAATTATAAAACAAAAATTAATAGAAAAAATATTTGGGTTTTTAATGGGTTTAAGTTTAAAAATTAAAATAAGTAGATGAGATGTATTAATAAAATATTTTGATTGGTGATTATTTTTGCTGATTTATTATGTTTATAAAGCTTAAAAAAGCTGAGATGTCAAACCATGGAGAGACTTTACTGTTATTATTGTGTTGATTTAATTGAGCTGCTTCATATTTCCCTTTTAATCGTCCAACATCTATATGATTTTTCACCGTTTGACTACCAAATTGATCTTCTCCGTCCCTTTGGACTATGTTGGTAAAGGGACATATATATATATATATATATATATATATATATTATTTGTAAGTAAATATAATATAAAAGTCAGCAAATATGATGCCTCTGTTGGTAGTGATTAATTTTAGAGTTTGTGTTGGTATCAGTCTCTTACTAGAAATGACTATCTACAGTACATATATGATGCATGACGGCATGACACCATCAATCTGTCTCCACTTCATGATGACTCACCAGTCACCACTTTTTTTCCATCCTTCTTTAAAATGATCGTTCGGTTACGGGTCACAACGTTGAAGATTATATAAACTGTACTGAATGAAAAGAATTTCCATTTGTTTAATTACTATAGAAACTATTTGAAACCATACGCAACATATTGTTTTTTATTTCTATAAATGATTATGTGGGTGTGGGCTGATTCGAACTTGAACATATATGGAAGTCCTTTTTCTTTTCTTTTTGACTAATGAGCCAGTACAGTGAAATAAAATATCTGTAACTGCTCTCAATAATTAATCTCTCATTTATCAACCTTTACTTCAATTACGATAGGAGTACCTATAACAAACCGTTTTATACAATGAGAACCAGTTTTTGAAAATCTCTTTTCAGTATTTTTATAGATTTTCTGTCGATTCTTGTTATCAATAAATACGAATTATCCAAAGTTAGACTTAAGGTTCAACATGTATGTAATGTACGTAGAAGAGTTACCATGCATTGTCTTTTCATGCTCCGGTGATTGCTCTAAATTAACAATTCGTACGTCCGCCGGAGATTTAACGTCAAACTCATATGATCTAGCTCCATCTAGGGCCATTCTCTAATTAGAACATCTCTTTCTCAAGTATATATATATGATGTTTTGATTATAATCCTCTCCATGAAGCTGATTACAGTTGGTATAGAGAGTTTTATGAACATTACAGTAGTTATTTTCACCTAACCCCACCATCTATCTTTTTTCTACACATGCATGGAATCTTTTCT